AAACCATGGTGAATTAAAAAGTAATTATTATAAAAAGGGAAACCGTTAAACCCACTAAAGAGTGCCTTTTTTGTTACAAGTGTGGAAAGTGATCACTTCTAGATTTGGATGACAAAAAAGTATAAAGAAACAACATCCGTTATATTCGCTTAACAAAGTAATCTTGAAAAGTTCTTCTTCTGTATTCTTTCCTGCCTGAGTGTGCGCGTCTGTGTGACAGGGAACCCCCCCGCCCTCGCTGCATGCTGAGCATGCTGCTCCTGCATTTAAATGGGAGTACTGCTTTAAGGACTTTTGGCGTTTCCATAGTAGATATACAAACCGTTATCACTTATGCAAATTATGCCATTTGCAACATTGTGTATCGACCCAGTATAACGCTTATTTATACCCACCACCACTTTAGCGACTAGAAGTATCCAACTAGATAAAAATGCCCCCCCCTCAACTACCCCAAGACCTCTTAGCAATACAAAAAAGCTTAGGCCATTCATCAAAAAAATCTGCGATGCCAGTATATAGTCAATCACTATTGAACCACTCATATATTTCATACCAGAAAGGGGTTCAATGGGACAAAGACATAACTTCACCCCCCCTCTATAAAAGCCCCCATAAACCCGAATCCACAGAACCCATATCAACAATCACATCGTCAACTAACCCCCGTCCCTCTATCCTCACTTATAGCCTCCGTACTAACACAAACAACCCCTCACCCAGAGACCCACCCAGCCCCCCAAAACCATCCTCTTATACCCAAGTCCATAAAAACTAACCCAACTCCCACCCATTCACCCATGCACGTCCGTCCACTTTGCCACGTTTTTGCCATGACTCCACCGCCTCATCCCTGTGATCCCTCCCACCCCCTGACTCCGGCCGCCCGCACCCCCCCATTGCGTTTTTATTGAAACCGAATCCAGTGTAGCCTGGCGCTAAATCTTTTGTTTGATTTCAAGTTTTGTTTTAAATGTTTTACAAATTAATGTTCATTTTTATAGAGATTTTTCATAATTTCATTTCATGGCGTTCTTTCAAGAAACCCTAAGGACGCATAGATAATTAATCACACAGTACAAAAGTTATATAATACATGTTTTAAAGTTGTAAAAAAAGGTCGTGTTTGTTTTGAGTATAATTGTTGTTTTGATAACTTCTTTAGTTTCTGGTTTTAAATGTCATCATTAGTAAGATAATAAGTAATCTTTATTTACATAGCGCTTGGGGAAAGCCAAGAGCGCTTCAAAAATGTTTAGACTTCAGAGAGAAAAACAATCTCATTCACAATCTCTGTTGTTTTTAATTTGACTATAAGGTTGTTTTCCAGAACCAAGAGCACACACTGTACAGGGTCACTGGGACTGCAGGACACTGGACACCAAAGCCCACCCAGCCACAGGTCACAGATCAAAGAGCAAAGGGAAATGCCACCTCTACGCCCTCCCCCCACTACAGAAGTAAGTGGGAGTGAGAAATTCCGGGGCCACAAAGTGGAGGTTTCTGGAGGCAGTGATGGGTGGAGCATCAGGGAGAGACCTAGAGGCAGTTGAAGAGTGTGTCCAGTTGGTTTTGCATCCACCACAGTGTGACCTTTGACACCTACAGGTGGTTCGAGGAGTCTTGAGACACAACCCAAACTTCACACACACACACACACACACACACACATACACTCACACATTCACATTTACATATAGATACATGAAAAAGCAGAACATGAGAAAAAAGCATTTTAAAAGTTTACTCCAATGTAAACACATATTTTTAATTGTCTATCACTTGAATCTTTTTGAATCAGTATTTTTTGAGACCAGAAATGTTCATTTGAATTCTATATTGTCATGGACTTAATTGACGTCTGTCCTGACACTTTTGATTTGTTGATTTTGTACTGTGTGAAGTAATTACATTGATTAGAATTAGATCTGATAAAAACACAAATTAGAGAAGTAAACTAAATCTTGCGACTTGCTTTTGTCTGAGGGACATTAGCAACAGCATGAATAGAAATTGTGTTAAAGTAGAATCAAAGTGACTTAACCATAGAGAGTAACTACTGCATTACAAGCTGTGTACAGGAACTGAGACACTGCACCATTGACCAGAAGTGCATCGCAAATGACCTGATGTGCTTCAAGTGAAAAGACTGTATCTGGAGATCTGATGTCCAACTGGAGAGACCAAAACCATGGCTTGGACCCTACTGATGTCCAAGATGACCTGACCTGATGACGACTGAGACTCACCCTCAGGGGACCCTGAGGAATCTGAGGACCTGAGAGAGAAAAACTGGGGAGTGATGTTTATATTTTTGAAATCATACATTGATGAGTGCTAAAATGAGAGAGATACTCATGATTCTTTCTTTTGTTTTTGTTTGTCCCTAGCTTCTGGACATCTGGATGATCTATTGGACACAGCCATTTGCAGAACAAGAACCAGCCAATGAAAACGTCTATTGCTGATGCTATTGCTACAACCAGAAACTGTGACCAAATGCAATATACATGTTAAGTATTCAGACATCTGACAGACAAAAACTTTGAAAATGATAAAGTATGATTATTGTAGCGTTTTAGTAGATGTCAAATAGTAGTAAAAGAGTAGAATTTGACTTCCTTTGTTTTTCATAAACACATTTCCACATAAGAGTTAAAATAGTACCCTACAATGTTATCCTTTTGATAGATCAGCTATAATATTAGAATCAGAGTATTTTAGAGATATTAAAAGTGACAGAAGTCACAGACTAGAAAAATGCCTTGACTCAAGCTGCAACCGAGCTTTGGAGTTAAAAAATAGAGGAAATAGAATTGGATAAATGCATCAACCATAGATGCTTTCAAAAATAGAGATTATTCTTAGCCAGTGCTAATATCAAATGGTAAAGGGACCATTTCACAAGCATTTACTTCAAAAGTAGATAAAGTTAATTACAGTTGTATGTACAGTTTTATTAGATACCTTCCAAATTCACTTGTGTTCAAACATGAGTGAATGTTGACAATGCAAAAGTCCATATGAGTGTAGCCTAGATTAATGCCTAGATTAATGAAATAGATTAGAACCAACAGAGATTCAAAAGCATTTAAAAGCATTTTGATGTATTTGGGTGTAGCACAAAAACACAATAGTAGATACTTAGATATTGAGAAGTTTCCAGCACAAACGCCATTGTAGAATAACTGACCCCAACCCCAAACCTGCTAAAGTAGATTAGCTCTTGTAAGGATAGTTCTAATTTGATTAAAGATGTACATTCATCCCAATCTGCCTGAGAGGAGGAAGTGACAGCACTTCCTGGTTCAACAAATATTTGGAAAACTGACCGCCATAATAATGTTCATATTAACCATTTGCCTTACTGTGTTCAGTTTTATTCCTGAGAATGAGAATAGACATGGAACAAAATCCCACTGATAATAAGCCACTGATAATGAGAGTGTAAAACCACAGAGAGATTTATTAGTTTAAGAATATGGCTCAATAGAAGCAAATATGCAAACATATTTGTAAATAGAGAGTAAAGTACACAGTGTAAGATTAAAAAGTGAAAATAATACAGTGAAATAAGTGAAGTGAAGTGTAAACAATTAGCATTAGAATAAAAGTATAGAGTAATAAAAGTGAAATTAGCTTCAAATTTGAGACTCAGCTCGTTTTTGTCTGTGTTTTGACTGAATCTGCTGAGTTCTTGTGTGTCCAATAGTTTTTGTTTGTTTTTATTTTTGTTTGTTTTTATTTTTGATTTGTTTGTTTGTTTTTTTTTTTTTTTTTTTTTCCCAGGATAGAGGATAAAATCCACTGATATTGATTTGATGATTATGAGTTTAATGCATACATTTTCTTTGTTTTTTAATAATTTTGTAAAGTTTTTTTTTAGAATTTTTTTCTTTTTCCACTTTATTGATTGATCGATTTGAGTGATCACATGTGATTATGTGATCAAAGGGGAGGGTATTAGTATTAGATAGCAATATGGCCTACGTGCAGGACTGTACAAGGACTCTACAAGGACTCCATGTTATGACTATGATGTGACTGTCTCTTTGTGACACGTATGTCTTTCGATGTGTGACGTGACAATGACTATATAAACTGTGTACTGCCTTTATTCTGTCTGAGGAAAAGAAACAGAGGAAACCAGTGGAACTTGAGAGAAACTTAAATAAACTTCCAGAGTTTGGCACACCACGATCCGTCTCTGTCTGCTAAATCCTTACAGGTCCTTTGGTTAGCTTTAGCATGTTAGCAGAGGGACCTTTGGTTAGCTTTAACATGTTAGCAGAGGGTCCTTTGGTTAGCTTTAGCATGTTAGCTTTAGTCTCACCTGGCAGGAAGTTGAGCGCCTGAAGCCCCGCCCTCTCTGTACTGAAGTCGACGGAAAAGTGTGACATGTGCGCTCGGAGCGGGCGAGGGGAGAGACGGAACGCTGTTGCCATGGTGACGCTGCGGGAACAACAAGCAGGGTTAGCATCACCAGGACAACAAGCACCAGTAATAATAATAATCATCGTGATAACAATCGTGAAGCACTCAAACTCACCGCTCTCGGATCTCCCTCGCCGCCTGGAACACAAGAGAAGCACAGCTGTGTATTTAAATACATATATATGTATGGACAGTACATACTGTATATATATGTATGTATTTACATATACACTCAGCTCACCTGCTGAAAATGGGCGTCGTCGATGATGTCGAGGGCGGAGCTTGCCATCGTCAGCAGCTCCTCACTGGCCGCCAGAGCACTAAGCCCCTCCCCCTGCTGAGCCTGCCAATCACAGAATCACTAAACATGGTACAACTGGCTGTGATTGGTTGATCGGCTGTCTTACTTGAAGTTCTGCCTCCTTCCTCTGCTGTGATTGGATAATATCTGCTCGTAGCTCCGCCCCCCTCTCCTCTAGGGCGGAGCTGAGCTGCTCTAGCTCCGCCTCCAGTTCTGACATCACTCGACATGACTCCTCCTACAGGAACAAGAGTTTCAGACCCATTGATATATTATAATAACTGGATAGGGTATTACAGCTTGGAGCTGAAGAAACATGTGCTTGGGGGATTCTTGCAGTACTGCAGACTGAACCAGACTGAACCAGACTGAACCAGACTGAACCAGACTAAATTAACGAGGGCTACAGAAATTTTCCCCATAGAACTCAATGCAAACTAAAACAGCTCGACCTCAGCTGACAGAGAACCTGACAGAGAACCTGACAGAGAACCTGACAGAGAACCGCTCTGACTCCGCTCTACCTCTGCTCTGATTGGTCAGAACGCTGCCCTCTGATTGGCCGAGCCCCTCTGTGCACATGCATGAGAGCCACGCACGCGTATTTGGCACAAAGCATCATGGGAGCTCGTCCACTGCACAGAACCGGGAGGACCAGACGATGCCCAAATATGGGCGAGTTCTGCTAATCTCCCGGTCCCCGTGCCGGCACATGTGCTGCTGAGCACAAACCATTTATTTTAAATATGGCGTCATCTTGGATCACTGGGGCTTGTTCACATAGGTGTGGCTGCCGGATTCATCCCGGAAGTTCCACTGTCTCGTACATTCAAACAGTCAAGTCTCATTGAACACATTTATTTATTAGTTAAACAAGTAAAGGACAGTGAATATAAATTAAAATTAACCTGTCTGTGCTCGCCTCATCTCCGTGTGTCTTTGAACGCATCTGAGCGCTAGCTTCGTGGCTACTAAAAGTATTTTTTTCTCGGAGCCCTTTTTCTGCCATTTCTCATAATAAACCCTGATACATGTGAGAATAAATCAATAATATAATCTGTGTATAACAACACAAACTGTTTACATGTTTATTTACACTTTTGGACATAAGCAAACTGAACTTCCGGGACGAATCCGGCAGCCACACTAGGTTCTGGTCCTGGTCTCACCTGGACCTAGTCTAGAGTCTGGTTCAGGTCTCACCTGGAGCTGGTCTTGGGTCTGGTTCAGGTCCTGGATGTAGTCCTTCAGGTCTTGGTTCTTATTGGTCAGAGTGAGGATGATGCGACGCAGCGCCTCCTGCAGGACACACATGATACAGAGTAACTAAGTACTTTTACTCTCAGTTCAAAACATAACTCTACACTTCTACACCATGTGAGCAGATGTGTTCCTGCTTCTACACCATGTGAGCAGATGTGTGTCCTGCTTCTACACCATGTGAGCAGATGTGTGTCCTGCTTCTACACCATGTGAGCAGATGTGTGTCCTGCTTCTACACCATGTGAGCAGATGTGTGTCCTGCTTCTACACCATGTGAGCAGATGTGTGTCCTGCTTCTACACCATGTGAGCAGATGTGTTCCTGCTTCTACACCATGTGAGCAGATGTGTGTCCTGCTTCTACACCATGTGAGCAGATGTGTTCCTGCTTCTACACCATGTGAGCAGATGTGTGTCCTGCTACCATGTGAGCAGATGTGTGTCCTGCTACCATGTGAGCAGATGTGTTCCTGCTGATTTAAGTTCAAATGAAACGTTTCTGACTTTGAGTCAATTATTACAGTTTTATTTGGAATTGAACATTACTGCGATATAAGTAATCCATTACTTTAGTAACGAGTTACTCCCAACATTGTCAAGATTTAGGCCCGCGGGCCGCAGTTTGGACACCGCTAAATGACCCTGCACGGGAGCGCGCACGGACCGGAGGAAGCGCGCACCATAGAGTTCCGTGATGACTGATCTGAGATTGCTGTCACTCACGCACACACGGGCACGCGCGACAGTCTGCCCCGTGCACGCACCTGTCCGCTCAGGGTCGCGCGCGGACCCTTTATGATAATTATTGACGGGATTGATACTCGCCTTCTGCGCGTCCATCGGCTCCAGCGGCGGAAGTGACCTCTCTGCACCTGCGCTTCCGGTCCAGCCCTTCACAATAAAAGCAAAAGAGAATTTACAGATACAAAAGAGAAAAGTGTGTGTTTGTGTGTGTCTTCTGTGTGTGTGTGTGTGTGTGTGTTTAGTATATGTATATGTGTGTATATATAAAACATAGTATATAGATAGTATATAGTATTATAGATAAAAACTAGTAGTAGTAGTATGTAGATAAAAAATATATATATTAGTGGGTCTCTGTATGTATTCCTCCACAGGTGGCGCTGCTGAGTCCTGCTGCAGCAGCAGAAGCAGCGCACGCCACAAACGCGTGCGTTCAGCTCTGCAGCCGCAGCTCGGACCGCGGAGCAGATGTCCGTCACTCAGGTGAGACACGTGACTAGAAACCAGAGAAGAGTTTTAAAAGCTGGGGTCTGTAAGTTTGAAGCTGGGGTCTGTAACTTTAAAGCTGGGGTCTGTAACTTTAAAGATGGGGTCTGTAACTCTAAATCTTAGAGTCGTAACTATAACTTTCAGTCCACACCAACAAACCTCTGTCTCTAGTTCCTGTGTTTTTACACTTTACAGATTCATTCACCTCCCCCTCTCCATCAGGGCTCATGTGACAGTCCCTCTGGTCTCTCTCTGGTCTCTCTCTGGTCTCTCTCTCTGGTCTCTCTCTGGTCTCTCTCTGGTCTCTCTCTGGTCTCTCTCTCTGGTCTCTCTCTGGTCTCTCTCTGGTCTCTCTCTGGTCTCTCTCTGGTCTCTCTCTGGTCTCTCTCTGGTCTCTCTCTGGTCTCTCTCTCTGGTCTCTCTCTCTGGTCTTTCTCTCTCTGGTCTCTCTCTGGTCTCTCTCTGGTCTCTCTCTGGTCTCTCTCTGGTCTCTCTCTGGTCTCTCTCTGGTCTCTCTCTGGTCTCTCTCTAGTCTCTCTCTGGTCTCTCTCTGGTCTCTCTCTGGTCTCGCTCTGGTCTCTCTCTGGTCTCTCTCTGGTCTCTCTCTGGTCTCGCTCCCGTCTTTTGACAGCTTTAAAGTCACGTACCTCAGCTTTAAAGGTCTCTCTTCAGGTCAGAGTACTGTACTTTGCTCGGAGCGCTGACCTCACAGGTTTGAGGGAGGAGCCTGTTTCGGTGGCCACACCCACCTGTGGGCGTGGTCTGTGGGCGGAGCTACAGCGGCGCCACCCGAGGTGTGTGTCTCAAAGACTGTAAATATTAAACATGTCATGTCTATCTCCGCTGTTGAAATTAATGTGACATCACTGTTTCCTTCTGTGACTTTACACATGGTATTGACCCAGAGTTTACACATGGTAAGACCAGATGTACTGTACATGTAGGAAATGACCATGGACCAGAGTTTACACATGGTAAGACCAGACGTACATGTAGGAAATGACCATGGACCAGAGTTTACACATGGTAAGACCAGACGTACATGTAGGAGATGACCATGGACCAGAGTTTACACATGGTAAGACCAGACGTACATGTAGGAAATGACCATGGACCAGAGTTTACACATGGTAAGACCAGACGTACATGTAGGAGATGACCATGGACCAGAGTTTACACATGGTAAGACCAGACGTACATGTAGGAAATGACCATGGACCAGAGTTTACACATGGTAAGACCAGACGTACATGTAGGAAATGACCATGGACCAGAGTTTACACATGGTAAGACCAGACGTACATGTAGGAGATGACCATGGACCAGAGTTTACACATGGTAAGACCAGACGTACATGTAGGAAATGACCATGGACCAGAGTTTACACATGGTAAGACCAGACGTACATGTAGGAAATGACCATGGACCAGAGTTTACACATGGTAAGACCAGACGTACATGTAGGAAATGACCATGGACCAGAGTTTACACATGGTAAGACCAGACGTACATGTAGGAAATGATCATGGACCAGAGTTTACACATGGTAAGACCAGGGTTGCAAAATGATGGTACATCAGTTTCAACGGCAGAGATAGGTGTGACTACGCTCATTATTATTTACCCGTGTGGACCAGACCCGTGTGGACCAGACCCGTGTGGACCAGACCCGTGTGGACCAGACCCGTGTGGACCAGACCCGTGTGGACCAGACGAGACTCACTAATCTCTTTCTTCAGTCTGGTCGCGCTGCAGGGGGCGCTGGTGCTCGCGGTTCGGCACGAGTTTGTTGCTATTGACGACGATCAGCCACTGTTGCTAGGCGACGGAGACGAGGTTGCCGTGGTCCCGCCCCTCAGTGGAGGATAGATTACATGGAGCCCACTGATTGGCCAGAGCGCAAGGACATCTTCCAGCTGTGCTCTGATTCGCTGTCAATCCAGGAAGTGATCGATGCAACAAAGAGTCCGAAGTGTGGAGCTGTTTCTGTGTTCCTCGGTGAGAACCAGGTCTAGGGCAGGTCTAGGGCAGGTCTAGGGCAGATCTAGGGCAGGTCTAGGGCAGGTCTGGGGCAGGACTTAAGCAGGTAAAACCTCCTGGTTTAAAACAGGTATAAAATTGTAATTGGGGCTGATAAGTGATCTCAGGAAAATTGACCACAAGACCTACATTTAATTTTAAAGTTTAGTTAGCCGAGAGCTAGTTGGCCGAGAGCTAGTTGGCCGAGAGCTAGTTGGCCGAGAGCTAGTTGGCCGAGAGCTAGTTGACCGAGAGCTAGTTGACCGAGAGCTAGTTGACCGAGAGCTAGTTCTCCGTTGTTTCTTCAAAGTCTTGATATTTGATATCTATCAGGAACGACCCGTGAGGACGAGCTCGGAGGCCGTAAGGTGATTGGTCTGGAGTATGAGGCGTACGATGCCATGGTCCAATCAGAGCTCTCCAAACTTAGCCGTGTCATCAGAGGGCGCTGGCCCCAGGTGCAGCACATCTGTGTGCACCACCGACTGGGGTGAGCTTATGTACAATAGGCTAACTTGGTTTTACGTACAGATTTACCCTAACATGCTAACATACAATACATGCTAACATACGGCAGTAGCTCAGTTGGTAGAGCGTTGGCCTTTGAGCCAGAAGGTCTTGGGTTCAAGCCCCGCTCAAGACTTTCACCATCGACTCCCACTGACTACTGTCGTTGTGTCCTTGGCAAGACACTTAACCTCTGGGAACAGCAGCCACAGTGGGGCGGCTGCGGCTGTAAAGTGCCAAACTGCCGTTGTGTCCTTAGGCAAGACACTTCACCCCCATTGCCTAGAATGAGTCTGGTGTGTGTGTGTGAATGGTTGGTGGTGGTGGGAGGGGCCGATGGCACAGACTGGTTGCCTCGCTTCTGTCAGTCTGCCCCAGGGCAGCTGTGGCTACAGTAGTAGTTTATCACCACCGTGTATGGAGTGAATGAATAATGACACATGTGAAGCGTCTTTGAGTGTCCAAATAAGCGCTATATAAAACCGATGCATTATTATTATTATTATTATACACTAACATGCTAAAATACAATACATGCTAACATACCCTAACATGCTAAAATACCCTAACATGCTAAAATACACTAACATGCTAAAATACAATACATGCTAACATACACTAACATGCTAAAATACAATACATGCTAACATACACTAACATGCTAAAATACCCTAACATGCTAAAATACACTAACATGCTAAAATACCCTAACATGCTAAAATACCCTAACATGCTAAAATACCCTAACATGCTAAAATACACTAACATGCTGACACACATACTTATTTTGTTATTTTTATTCTGTAAAATGTATACCAAACATATGCAAACACATGCTAAACACCTGCTAACATGCTAAGTGTAGGAGACACGTTTGGGCACTGTGTTTTGCTGATGGAGTTATGCGTTGTGGGCGTGCATGTATGCGTGTGCGTGGGCGTGTGCGTGTGCGTGCATGTGTGTTTGGGCGCGGTACACAAAATTATGAAAGAGCGTCCACCTGCGGGGGCACAAAAGGAGGAGAGAGGTCGATTTGGGAGGCCATCATTTTTGTTGACCGCTATTATAGTTTGTTTGATTTATTTTTGCTATTTTCTGGCTTAAGTTTATTCACTATTTTTTTCTGTTTACACGACGCATTTTGGCCTGTGACCGCTGCGTTTATTATGAATTAAATTAATGTCATTGCAACTGGATCCAGCCTTCGTTTGTTTTCTATACTAATTTAATTATATAAATAAATAAATAAATAAAGATTACTAATTTAGCGCGTCATACAATTTTACCGGACCCACCTGGCCTCTCCGCGGCTTTAGGCAACAGGCAGCCGCTATACTAAGGCTATACTAAGGCTATACTAAGGCTATACTAAGGCTATACTAAGGCTATACTAAGGCTATACTAAGGCTATACTAAGGCTATACTAAGGCTATACTAAGGCTATACTAAGGCTATACTAAGGCTATACTAAGGCTATACTAAGGCTATACTAAGGCACTCAGTGGTCTGGGATAGTGCTTCATTGCAATCAGGTCCTGGGTTCGATTCCACGTCTAGACGAGGCTTTTCTGTGTGTAGTTTGCATGTTCTCCCTGTGTTGGAGAAGGTTTCCTCCAGGCTAACACACACTTGATTGGCTTCCTGACTCTGCTGTGCTCTGATTGGCTTCCTGACTCTGCTGTGCTCTGATTGGCTCCCTGACTCTACTGTATCTGATTGGCTCCCTGACTCTGCTGTGCTCTGATTGGCTCCCTGACTCTACTGTATCTGAATGGTTCCCTGACTCTGCTTTGCTTTGATTGGCTCCCTGACGGCTGTGCTCTGATTGGCAGATGGGTGGCGGTGGGCGAGGCCAGCGTTGCCGTGGCGATCTCTGCTCCTCATCGCCGCGACTCTGAAGAAGCAATTCAGTTTTGTGTGACGCAACTTAAAGCCAGAGTCCCGATCTGGAAGAAGGTCCAGGACCAGGACTAGACCACATCAGGACTAGACCACATCAGGACTAGACCACACCAGGACTAGACCACACCAGGACAAGACCACACCAGGACTAGACCACACCAGGACTAGACCACACCAGGACTAGACCACACCAGGACTAGACCACACCAGGACTAGACCACACCAGGACTAGACCACACCAGGACTAGACCACACCAGGACTAGACCACACCAGGACTAGACCACACCAGGACTAGACCACACCAGGACTAGACCACATCAGGACTAGACCACATCAGGACTAGACCACACCAGGACTAGACCACACCAGGACTAGACCACACCAGGACTAGACCACACCAGGACTAGACCACACCAGGACTAGACCACACCAGGACTAGACCACACCAGGACTAGACCACACCAGGACTAGACCACACCAGGACTAGACCACACCAGGACTAGACCACACCAGGACTAGACCACACCAGGGCTGGACCACACCAGGACTAGACCACACCAGGACTAGACCACACCAGGGCTGGACCACACCAGGACTAGACCACACCAGGACTAGACCACACCAGGACTAGACCACACCAGGGCTGGACCACACCAGGACTAGACCACACCAGGACTAGACCACACCAGGGCTGGACCACACCAGGACTAGACCACACCAGGGCTGGACCACACCAGGACTAGACCACACCAGGGCTGGACCACACCAGGGCTATACCAGGACCAGGGCCAGACCAGGGCTAGAACAGGACTAGACCAGGACCGGACCAAGAATAGGTGTAAACTCGGTCTTTTCATGTCTTTGTTTCAGGAGGTCTACGACGACAATCAGAGTCAGTGGAACGAGAACTTTGAGTGCAGCTGGAGCCAGAAGCACCAAAAGAAGATAGATGACTAGACCAGGACCAAGACCAGGACCTGGCCCAAGACCAGGCCTCTGCATCTTTTGTCATTTTCTTCATCATTGCTCCAGTTTCCGCTCAATTTAACAAACTAACATTAACTAAACTCAAGTTGTTCCAAATAATCCAACAGAAAATAAAAGCCAAACGGCGGTTTTTAAAAGTCATTCCTTCATTAAATGAAAATCTCTGTCCAGAGTGAGTCTGGGACCTGGACTGAGGCTCATGGTCAAGACTCTGTTCTCTCTGAAAAACGAAATAAATCCAGGTCAACTGTTTCCAGCTGCCTCTGTCTCATTGCTACAACATCCCATAATAACACATAACATGTTTTTCTCTGGTTAATGTACCTCATTATCCCTGCCTAGACGCTTGGTGAATCTAAGACACTGTAGTTTTGGCCTCTGATTATAAGTGATTCCAGTCTGATAGAGGAATTGCCCCTGCTCTAGTTTTCACATAAATATATTTGTGGCCTCTGCTCTGGTTGTTATTTCCTTTAATAATATACTTGTGGCTGTTGCTGTTGCTGTCTGTGCGAGTCGTTTCGTATATAATGTTTTAAGCATTTATTTTACGTGTTTATATCGTCATGTTACTAAAAAAATAAAACATGACCTAGTTCTCCTCACTTTCACTTCCGGACCTTCCCAAGATGGCGGCCGGGCTAGCTTCTGAACTTTCTGTACTTTGTTTTGTCTAACTCGTCTCTGTGTGTAGGGCTGTCTCTGTGTCTAGAACTGTCTGTGTGTCGGTAGAACTGTGTGTCTGTAGGACTGTCTCTGTGTGAGTGAGTCATTTCTTCCGTATATTATGTTTTAAGCATTTTACTAAAAAATAAAACTTGACCCAGTTCCCCTCGCATCCGCTTTCACTTCCGGACCTTCCCAAGATGGCGACCGCGCTAGCTTCTTGTCGCTGAACTTTCTGCACTTTGTTTTAACTCGTCTCTGGACGTCTGTACCGGGCGTCTGTACCGGGGATGAGCCTTCGTCCCCGGGGGAAAGAGCTCCGTTCACCGGGGCTGCGTGCTGCCCTGTGACCGGGCGAGGAGCAGCACACGGCGGAGTCAGGCACACAGGTACAGACGCTAATGAGCCTTTAGCAGCTAACGGCTAACACAAGCCTGTGATCAGCGGCAGTTTTGGTCGCGTTGAGCTGTTTCTTGTGAGTGGAAGGCGTCAGACAAGTTTCGTGAATAACCTCAGATACTACTGTTGTTTGGCTGTTGCTTTAGCTGCAGGTCCACAGCGGTTACACTGGACACATCTGGACTGGGTCAACAACAACAACACTGCATTTGTCCGATATAGGACGTAATGAATATTAGTTTAATTAGATTAGATTAGTTTAGGATTATTATTGGATATTAAAGTACAGCCTGTAAAGGTAGTAAGCATGATCATTGAGAGAGATGGATAAATGTATCTTGTTACGGGTCATTGTTGTCATGTTAGTCAAAGACAATTTAAAGCTGGAGTGTGTGTGTGTGTGTGTGTGTGTGTGTGTGTGTGTGTAGGACTGTCTGTCTGTGTGTGTGTGTGTGTGTGTGTGTGTGTGTGTGTGTGTGTGTGTCTGTCTGTGTGTGTGTGTGTGTGTGTGTGGGACTGTCTGTCTGTGTGTGTGTGTGTGTGTGTGGGACTGTCTGTCTGTGTGTGTGTGTGTGTGTGTGTGGGACTGTCTGTCTGTCTGTGTGTGTGTGTGGGACTGTCTGTGTGTGTGTGTGTGGGACTGTCTGTCTGTCTGTGTGTGTGTGTGGGACTGTCTGTGTGTGTGTGTGTGTGTGTGTGTGGGACTGTCTGTCTGTGTGTGTGTGTGTGTGTGGGACTGTCTGTCTGTGTGTGTGTGTGTGTGGGGACTGTCTGTCTGTGTGTGTGTGTGTGTGTGTGTGGGGACTGTCTGTCTGTGTGTGTGTGTGTGTGTGTGTGTGTGGGACTGTCTGTCTGTCTGTGTGTGTGTGTGGGACTGTCTGTGTGTGTGTGTGTGTGTGTGTGGGACTGTCTGTGTGTGTGTGTGTGTGTGTGTGTGGACTGTCTGTCTGTGTGTGTGTGTGTGTGTGGGACTGTCTGTCTGTGTGTGTGTGTGTGTGGGACTGTCTGTCTGTGTGTGTGTGTGTGTGTGTGTGGGACTGTCTGTCTGTGTGTGTGTGTGTGTGTGTGGGACTGTCTGTCTGTGTGTGTGTGTGTGTGTGTGTGGGACTGTCTGTCTGTCTGTGTGTGTGTGTGGGGACTGTCTGTGTGTGTGTGTGTGTGTGTGTGGGACTGTCTGTCTGTGTGTGTGTGTGTGTGTGTGGGGACTGTCTGTCTGTGTGTGTGTGTGTGTGTGGGACTGTCTGTCTGTCTGTGTGTGTGTGTGTGTGTGTGTGTGTGTGGGACTGTCTGTCTGTGTGTGTGTGTGTGTGTGGGGACTGTCTGTGTGTGTGTGTGTGTGTGTGTGTGTAGGACTGTCTGTCTGTGTGTGTGTGTGTGTGGGGACTGTCTGTGTGTGTGTGTGTGTGTGGGACTGTCTGTCTGTGTGTGTGTGTGTGTGTGTGTGGGACTGTCTGTCTGTGTGTGTGTGTGTGTGTGTGGGGACTGTCTGTCTGTGTGTGTGTGTGTGTGTGTGTGGGACTGTCTGTCTGTCTGTGTGTGTGTGTGGGGACTGTCTGTGTGTGTGTGTGTGTGTGTGTGTGGACTGTCTGTCTGTGTGTGTGTGTGTGTGTGGGGACTGTCTGTCTGTGTGTGTGTGTGTGTGTGGGACTGTCTGTCTGTCTGTGTGTGTGTGTGTGTGTGTGTGTGGGGACTGTCTGTCTGTGTGTGTGTGTGTGTGGGACTGTCTGTGTGTGTGTGTGTGTGTGTGTGTAGGACTGTCTGTCTGTGTGTGTGTGTGTGTGGGACTGTCTGTGTGTGTGTGTGTGTGTGGGACTGTCTGTGTGTGTGTGTGTGTGTGTGTGTAGGACTGTCTGTGTGTGTGTGTGTGTGGGTCTGTCTGTGTGTGTGTGTGTGGGGTCTGTCTGTGTGTGTGTGTGTGGGACTGTCTGTCTGTGTGTGTGTGTGTGTGGGACTGTCTGTGTGTGTGTGTGTAGGACTGTCTGTCTGTGTGTGTGTGTGTGTGGGACTGTCTGTCTGTGTGTGTGTGTGTGTGGGACTGTCTGTGTGTGTGTGTGTGTGTGTGTGTGTGTGTGTGTGTAGGACTGTCTGTGTGTGTGTGTGGGTCTGTCTGTGTGTGTGTGGGTCTGTCTGTGTGTGTGTGTGTGTGGACTGTCTGTCTGTGTGTGTGTGTGTGGGACTGTCTGTCTGTGTGTGTGTGTGTGTGTGGGACTGTCTGTGTGTGTGTGTGTGTGTGGGACTGTCTGTGTGTGTGTGTGTGGGACTGTCTGTGTGTGTGTGTGTGTGTGTGTGTGTGTAGGACTGTCTGTCTGTGTGTGTGTGTGTGTGGGACTGTCTGTGTGCGTGTGTGTGGGACTGTCTGTGTGTGTGTGTGTGTGTGGGACTGTCTGTGTGTGTGTGTGTGTGTGTGTGTCTGTGTGTGTGTGTGTGTGTGTGTGGGACTGTCTGTGTGTGTGTGTAGGACTGTCTGTCTGTGTGTGTGTGTGTGTGTGTGTAGGACTGTCTGTGTGTGTGTGTGTGTGGGACTGTCTGTGTGTGTGTGTAGGACTGTCTGTCTGTGTGTGTGTGTGTGTGTGTGTGTGTGTTAGGGCTGGGCAATAAGTCAAATGATTCGATTTTAAATCAATTTTCATTAAAGTCACCAAAGACAGACTTCGCCCTTAAAAATATTTTTTGATCTTTCCAATCAAAATTAAAGTTTTAAAACTATTTTTAATTAGTTTCCTCAGTACGTATTATAAAAGTCTTGACTGAGCTGATATTGCACTAATGATTCTTGTGCTGCAGGAACTCTCACAATATCCTTCATTCCATTTCACCATTTTCACATTTTTCACAAATTAGTTTTTTTCAAAAGCTGATTAATTGCCTAAGTTCAATTTATTGCCCAGCCCTAGGGTGTAGTCTGTTGAAGGAGCTCGGCTGAGTCGCTCATTAGGATTTTAGTTTAACGGCCTGTTAATTAGATCAATGTGATGTGTAGGATCTCTGAGATTAGACCAGTCTGATCCAGGTCTGATCCTAGTCCAGTCCCAGGTCTGATCCCAGTATCATCCCTCACATGTCTGTGAGAGGAAATGTAGTCGCTGCATTAGAGCAGATCTGTAATGAACTTGTTCTCAGGGGTCAGAGGTCAGGTTTTGCTGGACTCGGGCTGATGGGGGTCTGGGGTCAGGTTCTGCTGGACTCGGGCTGATGGGGTCTGGGGTCAGGTTCTGCTGGACTCGGGCTGATGGGTTCTGGGGTCTGGGGTCAGGTTCTGCTGGACTCGGGCTGATGGGGTTCTGGGGTCAGGTTCTGCTGGACTCGGGCTGATGGGTTCTGGATCTGGGGTCAGGTTCTGCTGGACTCGGGCTGATGGGTTCTGGATCTGGGGTCAGGTTCTGCTGGACTCGGGCTGATGGGTTCTGGATCTGGGGTCAGGTTCTGCTGGACTCGGGCTGATGAGTTCTGGGTCTGGGGTCAGGTTCTGCTGGACTCGGGCTGATGGGTTCTGGGTCTGGGGTCAGGTTCTGCTGGACTCGGGCTGATGGGGTTCTGGGGTCAGGTTCTGCTGGACTCGGGCTGATGGGTTCTGGGTCTGGGGTCAGGTTCTGCTGGACTCGGGCTGATGGGTTCTGGATCTGCTGGATCTTGAGCAGCAGTAGTTCGTGCGGACTCCTGCAGTGATGCTCAGTGACAGCCTCGCTCAGTCTTGGTATTGTGAGGCAGTTTAGCCCCCCTCCCCCCCTCTGCGGTGATTGGCTGTTCCGGAGCGCGTCCCCCCCTCTCTGCTGTGATTGGCTGTTCCAGAGCACATCCCCCCTCCCCCCTCCGCTCCGCTCTCCTCTGTCACAGCAGCCAACACAGCAATGGGGTAAGTCTCGCATCTTTTACACTTAACACCCAAAAACCGGCTCTGGACTGGGTTTAGACCTGGTCGGGCCTGGGTTTAGGCCGTGTCTAGACCTTGACCAGACCTGGACCAGACCCCATGGTGAAGGGTGGGTTGGCAGGGGCGAGGCAGGCGGCTGGAACACGGGAGGAGGCAGAATGTAGGGCACAGTGCTGCTTCATTGTGTGAGAGGAGAGATGATGAAGGGTACAAAAGGAGAGGAGAGAGGGAGGATGGAAGGAAGAGGAGGAGGGGAGACAAAAGGGAGGACCGAGGAGGAGACGGGAGGAAAGAGGGGAGAGGGAGGAGAGAGGAGGATGTAAAATGGCCGCCGCACAGGCCTGATGCAGAGATGCTGTGGTCAGACTCGGGCTGATGAGACTGGCCCACAGTGACAAATCCTTTTTCTATTGATGTTTGTGGAGTCTCCATCACACAGAGAGAGAGAGACCAGAGAGAGAGCGACCAGAGAGGGAGAGACCAGAGAGAGAGAGACCAGAGAGAGAGAGACCAGAGAGAGAGACCAGAGAGGGGAGAGACCAGAGAGAGAGAGACCAGAGAGAGAGAGACCAGAGAGAGAGAGACCAGAGAGAGAGAGACCAGAGAGAGAGAGAGACCAGAGAGAGAGAGACCAGAGAGAGAGAGACCAGAGAGAGAGAGACCAGAGAGAGAGACCAGAGAGAGAGACCAGAGAGGGAGAGACCAGAGAGAGAGAGACCAGAGAGAGAGAGACCAGAGAGAGAGAGACCAGAGAGAGAGAGACCAGAGAGGGAGAGACCAGAGAGGGAGAGACCAGAGAGGGAGAGACCAGTGAGGGAGAGACCAGTGAGGGAGAGACCAGTGAGGGAGAGACCAGAGGGAGAGAGAGAGACCAGAGAGAGAGAGACCAGAGAGGGAGAGACCAGTGAGGGAGAGACCAGTGAGGGAGAGACCAGAGGGAGAGAGATAGACCAGAGAGGGAGACACCAGAGAGAGAGAGGGAGACACCAGAGAGAGAGAGGGAGACACCAGAGAGAGAGAGGGAGACACCAGAGAGAGAGAGGGAGACACCAGAGAGAGACCAGAGAGAGACCAGAGAGAGAGACCAGAGATAGTCAAACGGTTTAAACGCAGGAAATTCAATGATAACAAACACAGAGAGGTGACCACTGTCGAATGTTAATGAATGTGTAGAAATGTCTTGGATCAACTTGGAAGCTCAGGACTGAGGCTGTAGACTCCTGTGTCTCTCTGAGTGTGCGTCCACATGTCTCTGCTCACGTCTCTCTGCTCACGTCTCTCTGCTCACGTCTCTCTGCTCACGTCTCTCCGCTCACGTCTCTCTGCTCACGTCTCTCTGCGTGTGTGCTCACGTCTCTCTGCTCACGTCTCTCTGCTCACGTCTCTCTGCGTGTGCGCTCACGTCTCTCTGCTCACGTCTCTCTGCGTGTGCGCTCACGTCTCTCTGCTCACGTCTCTCTGCGTGTGTGCGCTCACGTCTCTGGTCACGTCTCTCTGTGTGTCCGCTCACGTCTCTCTGCTCACGTCTCTCTGCTCACGTCTCTCTGCTCATGTCTCTCTGCTCATGTCTCTCTGCGTGTGCGCTCACGTCTCTCTGCTCACGTCTCTCTGCTCACGTCTCTCTGCTCACGTCTCTCTGCTCACGTCTCTCTGCTCACGTCTCTCCGCTCACGTCTCTCTGCGTGTGCGCTCACGTCTCTGGTCACGTCTCTCTGTGTGTCCGCTCACGTCTCTCTGCTCACGTCTCTCTGCTCACGTCTCTCTGCTCATGTCTCTCTGCTCATGTCTCTCTGCGTGTGCGCTCACGTCTCTCTGCTCACGTCTCTCTGCGTGTGCGCTCACGTCTCTGGTCACGTCTCTCTGTGTGTCCGCTCACGTCTCTCTGCTCACGTCTCTCTGCTCACGTCTCTCTGCTCATGTCTCTCTGCTCATGTCTCTCTGCGTGTGCGCTCACGTCTCTGGTCACGTCTCTCTGTGTGTCCGCTCACGTCTCTCTGCTCACGTCTCTCTGCTCACGTCTCTCTGCTCATGTCTCTCTGCGTGTGCGCTCACGTCTCTCTGCGTGTGCGCTCACGTCTCTCTGCTCATGTCTCTCTGCGTGTGCGCTCACGTCTCTCTGCGTGTCCGCTCACGTCTCTCTGCTCATGTCTCTCTGCGTGTGCGCTCACGTCTCTCTGCGTGTGCGCTCACGTCTCTCTGCTCACGTCTCTCTGTGCGCTCACGTCTCTCTGCGTGTCCGCTCACGTCTCTCTGCGTGTCCGCTCACGTCTCTCTGCGTGTCCGCTCACGTCTCTCCGCTCACGTCTCTCTGCTCACGTCTCTCTGCGTGTCTGCTCACGTCTCTCTGCTCACGTCTCTCTGCGTGTGCGCTCACGTCTCTCTCTGTGTGCGCTCACGTCTCTCTGCGTGTCTGCTCACGTCTCTCTGCTCACGTCTCTCTGCGTGTCTGCTCACGTCTCTCTGCTCACGTCTCTCTGCGTGTGCGCTCACGTCTCTCTCTGTGTGCGCTCATGTCTCTCTGCGTGTGCGCTCACGTCTCTCTCTGTGTGCGCTCATGTCTCTCTCTGTGTGCGCTCATGTCTCTCTGCGTGTGCGCTCACGTCTCTCTCTGTGTGCGCTCACGTCTCTCTCTGTGTGCGCTCACGTCTCTCTCTGTGTGCGCTCACGTCTCTCTCTGTGTGCGCTCATGTCTCTCTCTGTGTGCGCTCATGTCTCTCTGCGTGTGCGCTCACGTCTCTCTCTGTGTGCGCTCACGTCTCTCTCTGTGTGCGCTCACGTCTCTCTCTGTGTGCGCTCATGTCTCTCTCTGTGTGCGCTCATGTCTCTCTGCGTGTGCGCTCACGTCTCTCTCTGTGTGCGCTCACGTCTCTCTCTGTGTGCGCTCACGTCTCTCTCTGTGTGCGCTCATGTCTCTCTCTGTGTGCGCTCATGTCTCTCTGCGTGTGCGCTCACGCATCTCTGTGTGTGCGCTCACGTCTCTGCGTGTGCTCTTCCTGCAGGTCGGAGGAGGTGTCATGGCGTCCTATGACCAGCTGCTGAGGCAGGTGGAGGTGCTGAAGATGGAGAACTCGACTCTGAGACAGGAGCTGCAGGACAACTCCACCCACCTGAGCAAGCTGGAGTCTGAGGCCTCCAACATGAAGGTCAGAGGAGGACCCAACAGGACCAGACCAGACCCAACAGGACCGCACCAGACCAGACCCAGCAGGACCGCACCAGACCAGACCCAACAGGACCGTACCAGACCAGACACGACCCACTCACCTTCATGAGTGGGTTGTGTCTGTCCACCTCCCTCATGGACTGGAGCTGCTCTCTCTAACCTCTGACCTCTGACCCCTGAGAGCTGATTGTCTAAGTGGCTTTTTCTGCCTGAAAAATCTGATCTAGAGATGTGAGACAGAGATGTAGGAAACTAGTGACAAAAGATTGTTTCAGTGCCAGGACCCAGCTTTAAAGTTACGTTCCCCAGCTTTATGTGGCCGACAGCTCCCCTGGCTCCTCCCCTCTTCACACTTCCTGTTCCCACTTCCTGCTCGCACTTCCTGTTTCCTGTTGTTGTGGTCTGAGTGCTGCCGTCTCCTCGTGGTGAGACCAGAATCCTCTTCATGTCCCACGTTTCCTCCTGTTTTCTCCCTGGTCCCTCCTCCTGGTCCCTCCTCCTGGTCCCTCCTCCTGGTCCCTCCTGGTCCCTCCTGGTCCCTCCTGGTCCCTCCTGGTCCCCCCTCAAGTGTGTATGTGTGTGTTCAGGAAGTGTTGAAGCAGCTTCAGGGGTCGATCGACGAAGACACAGCCGACAGTGGACACGAGCTCATGGAGCGACTGAAAGGTGAGCTAACAACTGTATACAGGTGCTATACAGGTGCAATATGCTAACACAGACTGTATACAGGTGCGCTATGCTAACAGACTGTATACAGGTGCGCTATGCTAACACAGACTGTATACAGGTGCGCTATGCTAACAGACTGTATACAGGTGCGCTATGCTAACACAGACTGTATACAGGTGCGCTATGCTAACACAGACTGTATACAGGTGCACTATGCTAACACAGACTGTATACAGGTGCACTATGCTAACACAGACTGTATACAGGTGCACTATGCTAACACAGACTGTATACAGGTGCACTATGCTAACACAGACTGTATACAGGTGCACTAGTAACTTCAGTTTTGTTTCTTATTCTCCAGAGATGAGCCTTGACCCGTCGGGGATGAAGCCCAGGGCCAGGCCTCTTGTTCCCCCTTCATCCTCTTCCTCCTCAGCCTCCTCCTCTGGAGGTCCAGTCCCCCGAAGAGGAGCACCACCTGCAGGCCATGAAGGACACGAGAGAGCAGCTCCAGGCCGAGCAGAACGGGAGGGGCACGAGAGAGCAGCTCCAGGCCGAGCAGAACGGGAGGGGCACGAGAGAGCAGCTCCAGGCCGAGCAGAACGGGAGGGGCACGAGAGAGCAGCTCCAGGCCGAGCAGAACGGGACGGGCACGAGAGAGCAGCTCCAGGCCGAGCAGAACGGGAGGGGCACGAGAGAGCAGCTCCAGGCCGAGCAGAACGGGAGGGGCACGAGAGAGCAGCTCCAGGCCGAGCAGAACGAGAGGGGCACGAGAGAGCAGCTCCAGGCCGAGCAGAACGAGAGGGGCACGAGAGAGCAGCTCCAGGCAGAGAGGGACATGAGAGGGCAGCTCCAGGCAAGGCTCTAGACGATCTGGAGAAGGAGAGGTATGATTTGGTGACAGTTTATTTTACAACATTATAGTTTTAATTCCCCAAAATCTTATGTAAAACTGTGTTTGGCCTTTTTGGTTATTTTCTCCTCTCTGATTGGTTAATTTCCCGCTCAGAGCGCTCCTATTGGCTGAGCTGGAAAAAGAAGAGAAGGAGAAAGACTGGTACTACGCTCAGCTGCAGAATTTGACAAAACGCATCGACAGCCTGCCACTCACCGAGAATGTAAGGAAACGGGGCTAGACCGGGACTGGACTGGACTAGAGAACAAGCAGTAACGTGTGTGTGTGTGTGTGTGTGTGTGTGTGTGTGTGTGTGTGTGTGTGTGTGTGTGTGTTAGTTCACGCTGCAGACAGACATGAGCCGTCGACAGCTGGAGTTTGAAGCTCGTCAGATCCGTTCAGCGATGGAGGAACAACTGGGAACATGTCAGGAGATGGAGAGGAGAGCCCAGGTTAGTCCTGTTTTAGACCTGCTTTAGTCAGGTTTTAGACCTGCTTTAGTCCTGCTTCAGTCCTGCTTCAGTCCTGCTTTAGTCCCGCTTTAGACCTGCTTTAGTCCTGCTTTAGTCCTGCTTTAGACCTGCTTTAGTCCTGCTTTAGTCCTGCTTTAGACCTGCTTTAGTCCTGCTTTAGACCTGCTTTAGACCTGCTTTAGTCCTGCTTTAGACCTGCTTTAGTCCTGCTTTAGACCTGCTTTAGACCTGCTTTAGACCTGCTTTAGACCTGCTTTAGTCCTGCTTTAGTCCTGCTTTAGACCTGCTTTAGACCTGCTTTAGACCTGCTTTAGTCCTGCTTTAGTCCTGCTTTAGACCTGCTTTAGACCTGCTTTAGTCCTGCTTTAGTCCTGCTTTAGACCTGCTTTAGACCTGCTTTAGACCTGCTTTAGTCCTGCTTTAGACCTGCTTTAGTCCTGCTTTAAACCTGCTTTAGACCTGCTTTACACCTGCTTTAGTCCTGCTTCAGTCCTGCTTTAGACCCGCTTTAGACCCGCTTTAGTCCTGCTTTAGACCTGCTTTAGACCTGCTTTAGTCTTGCTTTAGTCTTGCTTTAGTCCTGCTTTAGACCTGCTTTAAACCTGCTTTAGACCTGCTTTAGTCCTGCTTTAGACCTGCTTTAGACCTGCTTTAGTCCTGCTTTAGTCCTGCTTTAGTCCTGTTACAGTCTTGTTACAGTCTTGTTACAGTCTTGTTTCAGTCCTGCTTTAGACCTGCTTTAGACCTGCTTCAGTCCTTCTTTAGACCTGCTTTAGACCTGCTTTAGTCCTGCTTTAGTCCTGCTTTAGTCCTGCTTTAGTCCTGCTTTAGTCCTGCTTTAGTCCTACTTTAGTCCAGCTTTAGACCTGCTTTAGTCCTGCTTTAGACCTGCTTTAGTCCTGCTTTAGTCCTGCTTTAGTCCTACTTTAGTCCAGCTTTAGACCTGCTTTAGTCCGGCTCTAGACTTGCTTCAGACTTGCTGTTTGTTTGGTCTGACTGACTGTTTCTGTTTCAGGCTCGAGTTTGCCGGATTCAGCAGATCGAGAAGGAGATTCTTAAACTTGGGTCCAAGAACCAGGTAACAGCGATGACATCACAGCGATGACATCACAGCGATGACATCACTGTCTAATCTAAAGTGTGTGTAGTTCTGTGTCAGTGAAGCTAACCTGCTGTTTGTGTTTCAGGACGTAGCGCACACGACCTCTGAGCCCGGTGCTTTGACCCCTGCTGCTGTGAGTCATGATGAAGGTGAGACTTCCTGAGTAACCGTGAGTAACTGCCTCTGTCCTCTGCAGAGCTCCGGCCGATTGGACCTGGACTCGGCCAATGACAGCGCTGCTTTCTCTGTGCCTCGACGAATCACCAGCCACCTGGGAACCAAGGTGAGAAGTCTGCCCGGCAACAGGACGAAGGTGATGATGCAGAAGTGAACGTCCCTAACCTGTGCTAACGTACGCTAACCCGTGCTAACGTACGCTAACCCGTGCTAACGTACGCTAACCTGTGCTTACACGCGTTAGTACATGCTACTAATGCTAACACAAGCTAACACAGTTGTCTTGAACAGACCTCAGTTTTCAGTGTCTTTTGTTTTTGCCTCACACATGGCATGGTCTACAGCAGGTCTTAGGTCTTCAGCAGTTCCTCCTTGTTCTCTCTGGTTCCCTCTGGTCCCTCCTGGTTCTCTCTGGTCCCTCCTGGTTCTCTCTGGTTCCTCTTGGTTCTTTCTGGTTCCTTCAGCAGGTCTGCTGTAGGTCTTCATGAGTGTTTTGCAGGTGGTTCCCTGTGCAGGGCTTCATGTTGAATGTTGTGCAGTTGGAGATGGTTCATTCAGCAGGTGTTCATGTTGAGTGTCGTGCAGGTGGAGATGGTTCCTTCAGCAGGTGTTCATGTTGAGTGTTGTGGAGATGGTTCCTTCAGCAGGTGTTCATGTTGAGTGTTGTGGAGATGGTTCTGTGAGCAGGTGTTCATGTTGAGTGTTGTGCAGGTGGAGATGGTTCTGTGAGCAAGTGTTCATGTTGAGTGTTGTGCAGGTGAAGATGGTTCCTTCAGCCGGTGTTCAAGTTGAGTGTTGTGCAGGTAGAGATGGTTCCTTCAGCAGGTGTTCATGTTGAGTGTTGTGCAGGTGAAGATGGTTCCTTCAGCCGGTGTTCATGTTGAGTGTTGTGCAGGTGGAGATGGTTCCTTCAGCAGGTCTTCATGTTGAGTGCAGGTGGAGATGGTTCCTTCAGCAGGGCTTCATGTTGAGTGTTGTGCAAGTGGAGATGGTTCCTTCAGCAGGTGTTCATGTTGAGTGTTGTGCAGGTGGAGATGGTTCCTTCAGCAGGTCTTCATGTTGAGTGCAGGTGGAGATGGTTCCTTCAGCAGGTCTTCATGTTGAGTGTTGTGCAGGTGGAGATGGTTCCTTCAGCAGGTGTTCATGTTGAGTGTTGTGCAGGTGGAGATGGTTCCTTCAGCAGGTGTTCATGTTGAGTGTTGTGCAGGTGGAGATGGTTCCTTCAGCAGGTCTTCATGTTGAGTGCAGGTGGAGATGGTTCCTTCAGCAGGTGTTCATGTTGAGTGCAGGTGGAGATGGTTCCTTCAGCAGGTCTTCATGTTGAGTGCAGGTGGAGATGGTTCCTTCAGCAGGTCTTCATGTTGAGTGCAGGTGGAGATGGTTCCTTCAGCAGGTCTTCATGTTGAGTGCAGGTGGAGATGGTTCCTTCAGCAGGGCTTCATGTTGAGTGTTGTGCAGGTGGAGATGGTTCCTTCAGCAGGTCTTCATGTTGAGTGCAGGTGGAGATGGTTCCTTCAGCAGGTCTTCATGTTGAGTGCAGGTGGAGATGGTTCCTTCAGCAGGGCTTCATGTTGAGTGTTGTGCAGGTGGAGATGGTTCCTTCAGCAGGTCTTCATGTTGAGTGCAGGTGGAGATGGTTCCTTCAGCAGGTCTTCATGTTGAGTGCAGGTGGAGATTGTTCCTTCAGCAGGTCTTCATGTTGAGTGCAGGTGGAGATGGTGTACAGCTTGCTGTCGATGCTGGGGACCCATGACAAAGACGACATGTCCCGGACACTTCTGGCCATGTCCTCGTCCCAGGACTCGTGCATTGCCATGAGGCAGTCGGGCTGTTTACCTCTGCTCATTCAGCTGCTCCACGGCAACGACAAGGACTCCCTGCTGCTGGGTACACACACAGACAAGCACACACAAACGCACAGACAAACGCACGCACAATATACACACACACACCGCTATGTACACACACACAGACACGCACAATATATACACACACCTGCTATGTACACACAAAGCACACGCACACACAAAGCACGCACAATATATACACACACCCGCTATGTACACACACACACACAGACATACGCACACAGACACAGAGACACACACACACACATTGCACGCGCACACACACACACGCACTACATATACACATATATAATCCTGCTGTGGTCAGCTCTAAGGCTGTGGTCAGCTCTAATGCTGTGGTCAGCTCTAAGGCTGTGGTCAGCTCTAATGCTGTGGTCAGCTCTAATGCTGTGGTCAGCTCTAATGCTGGGGTCAGCTCTAATCCTGTGGTCAGCTCTAAAGCTGGGGTCAGCTCTAATCCTGTAGTCAGCTCTAATGCTCGTGTGCAGGGAACTCTCGGGGCTCTAAAGAGGCTCGGGCTCGTGCTGCAGCCGCCCTCCACAACATCGTGCACAGTCAGCCTGAAGACAAGAGAGGCCGGAGAGAGACCCGAGTCCTGCATCTGCTGGAGCAGGTCCGGGTCTACTGCGAGTCCTGCTGGGTCTGGCAAGAGGACCGCAACCACCCCAGTGAGTGGACCATGGGGCAGGGACCATGGGACTAGGGAGAGGGACCAGGGAGAGGGACCAGAGAGAAGGAGAGACTGATCAGAAAGAGAGAGAGTGATCGACCGACCAGAAAGAGAGAGAGAGACTGACCAGAAAGAGAGAGAGAGACTGACCAGAAAGAGAGAGAGAGACTGACCAGAAAGAGAGAGAGAGACTGACCAGAAAGAGAGAGAGAGACCGACCAGAAAGCGAGAGAGACCAGAGTGAGAGAGTCTGTGTGTGTTGCAGTGCCGTCCCCGGTGGAGCATCAGATCTGTCCTGCTGTGTGTGTCCTGATGAAGCTGTCCTTTGACGAGGAGCATCGCCACGCCATGAACCAGCTAGGTACGGACTGAGCTGCTGCAGGGCTGGTCCTCTGCTGGTGCCGAGGTCCTGGGCCTCTCCTGGTGCAGAGGTCCTGGGCCTCTCCTGGTGCAGAGGTGCTGGTCCCCTCTCCTGGTGCAGAGGTGCTGGTCCTCTCTCCTGGTGCAGAGGTGCTGGTCCTCTCTCCTGGTGCAGAGGTGCTGGTCCTCTCTCCTGGTGCAGAGGTGCTGGTCCTCTCTCCTGATGCAGAGGTGCTGGTCCTCTCTCCTGGTGCAGAAGTGCTGGTCCTCTCTCCTGGTGGAGAGGTCTTGTATGTCCTGTTGTGGGATGAGGGAGCAGCGTCTGCAGTGCGAGCTCCTGTCTCACTGTGTGTTGTGCAGGAGGTCTTCAGGCCATCGCGGAGCTGCTGCAGGTGGACTGTGAGATGTTTGGGCTGAGCTCGGATCATTACAGCGTCACTCTGAGGAGGTACTCAGGGATGGCCCTCACCAACCTCACCTTCGGGGACGTGGCCAACAAGGTACGAGTACTGGGGGTACTCTAGTCCTGAGGGTACTCTAGTCCCGAGGGTACTCTAGTCCTGAGGGTACTCTAGTCCTGAGGGTACTCTAGTCCTGAGGGTACTCTAGTCCTGAGGGTACTCTAGTCCTGAGGGTACTCTAGTCCTGAGGGTACTCTAGTACTGGGGGTACTCTAGTCCTGAGGGTACTCTAGTCCTGATGGTACTCTAGTCCTGAGGGTACTCTAGTCCTGAGGGTACTCTAGTCCTGACGGTACTCTAGAACTGACGGTACTCTAGAACTGACGGTACTCTAGAACTGACGGTACTCTAGAACTGACGGTACTCTAGTCCTGAGGGTACTCTAGAACTGACGGTACTCTAGAACTGACGGTACTCTAGTCCTGAGGGTACTCTAGTCCTGGGGGTACTCTAGTCCTGAGGGTACTCTAGTCCTGAGGGTACTCTAGTCCTGGGGGTACTCTAGTCCTGAGGGTACTCTAGTCCTGAGGGTACTCTAGTCCTGAGGGTACTCTAGTCCTGAGGGTACTCTAGAACTGACGGTACTCTAGAACTGACGGTACTCTAGTACTGGGGGTACTCTAGTCCTGACGGTACTCTAGTCCTGACGGTACTCTAGTCCTGACGGTACTCTAGTCCTGGGGGTACTCTAGTCCTGGGGGTACTCTAGTCCTGAGGGTACTCTAGTCCTGAGGGTACTCTAGAACTGACGGTACTCTAGAACTGACGGTACTCTAGAACTGACGGTACTCTAGTCCTGAGGGTACTCTAGTCCTGAGGGTACTCTAGTCCTGAGGGTACTCTAGTCCTGAGGGTACTCTAATCCTGAGGGTACTCTAGTCCTGAGGGTACTCTAGTCCTGAGGGTACTCTAGTCCTGAGGGTACTCTAGTCCTGAGGGTACTCTAGAACTGACGGTACTCTAGAACTGACGGTACTCTAGTACTGACGGTACTCTAGTACTGGGGGTACTCTAGTCCTGACGGTACTCTAGTCCTGACGGTACTCTAGTCCTGACGGTACTCTAGTCCTGGGGGTACTCTAGTCCTGAGGGTACTCTAGTCCTGGGGGTACTCTAGTCCTGGGGGTACTCTAGAACTGACGGTACTCTAGAACTGACGGTACTCTAGTCCTGAGGGTACTCTAGTCCTGAGGGTACTCTAGTCCTGAGGGTACTCTAGTCCTGAGGGTACTCTAGTCCTGAGGGTACTCTAGTCCTGAGGGTACTCTAGAACTGACGGTACTCTAGTCCTGAGGGTACTCTAGTCCTGAGGGTACTCTAGTCCTGAGGGTACTCTAGTCCTGAGGGTACTCTAGTCCTGAGGGTACTCTAGTCCTGAGGGTACTCTAGTCCTGAGGGTACTCTAGAACTGACGGTACTCTAGTACTGGGGGTACTCTAGTCCTGACGGTACTCTAGTCCTGACGGTACTCTAGTCCTGACGGTACTCTAGTCCTGACGGTACTCTAGTCCTGGGGGTACTCTAGTCCTGGGGGTACTCTAGTCCTGAGGGTACTCTAGTCCTGACGGTACTCTAGAACTGACGGTACTCTAGAACTGACGGTACTCTAGTCCTGAGGGTACTCTAGTCCTGAGGGTACTCTAGAACTGAGGGTACTCTAGAACTGACGGTACTCTAGAACTGACGGTACTCTAGTACTGGGGGTACTCTAGTCCTGACGGTACTCTAGTCCTGACGGTACTCTAGTCCTGGGGGTACTCTAGTCCTGGGGGTACTCTAGTCCTGGGGGTACTCTAGTCCTGGGGGTACTCTAGAACTGACGGTACTCTAGAACTGACGGTACTCTAGTCCTGAGGGAACTCTAGTCCTGAGGGTACTCTAGTCCTGAGGGTACTCTAGTCCTGAGGGTACTCTAGAACTGACGGTACTCTAGTCCTGAGGGTACTCTAGTCCTGAGGGTACTCTAGTCCTGAGGGTACTCTAGTCCTGAGGGTACTCTAGTCCTGAGGGTACTCTAGAACTGACGGTACTCTAGTACTGGGGGTACTCTAGTCCTGAGGGTACTCTAGAACTGACGGTACTCTAGTCCTGACGGTACTCTAGTACTGGGGGTACTCTAGTCCTGGGGGTACTCTAGTCCTGAGGGTACTCTAGTCCTGATGGTACTCTAGTCCTGAGGGTACTCTAGTCCTGACGGTACTCTAGAACTGACGGTACTCTAGAACTGACGGTACTCTAGAACTGACGGTACTCTAGAACTGACGGTACTCTAGAACTGACGGTACTCTAGAACTGACGGTACTCTAGAACTGACGGTACTCTAGAACTGACGGTACTCTAGAACTGACGGTACTCTAGAACTGACGGTACTCTAGTCCTGAGGGTACAGAGTACTTTGAACTCTACTCCTGTGTGTCTTCAGGCCACTCTGTGCTCCATGAAGGGCTGTATGAGAGCCATGGTCGCACAACTCAAGTCTGAGAGTGAAGATCTGCAGCAGGTAAGACACAAGGATACACACATACACGCATACTCACACCCATTTACATATACAGGCATTCACATATACACGCATACTGCATACACACACGCATATACACACGCATACATATACAAGCATACGCACACATACACACATGTGTACATACACACACGCATACATATACTAGCATACACACACATACATACACACATACACACACACACACACACACACACACATACACACGCGCACATTAGGGCGGGTCAATATGGAGGTGTAAAAATCAGTTTTTTAAATATGTAGATATAGTGATATTTTTACAGGATAAATGACCCTCCAAAAACTACTGCCAAAAACAAACATGCCACATTTTATTTTTATTTAACCCCAAACAGGAGTTGGTTCAACAACGGGCTTCTGTCACATTTGTTTTATTTTCCTGTTTCTGAAGAATTTTTACTTACGTCTTCTTCATTAAAAAATAAAACAAGTGCTTAGACTGTAATCTCTGGTGAAATACTGTTATCAAAGAACCAGGGTTACGTTAAGTAACCCTGATTATGTGTGTACTCTACTCTACACTTACTCTACTCTACACTTACTCTACATGTGTACTCTACTCTACACTTACTCTACATGTGTACTCTACTCTACACTTACTCTACATGTGTACTCTACTCTACACTTACTCTACATGTGTACTCTACTCTACACTTACTCTACATGTGTACTCTACACTTACTCTACATGTGTACTCTACTCTACACTTACTCTACATGTGTACTCTACTCTACACTTACTCTACATGTGTACTCTACTCTACACTTACTCTACATGTGTACTCTACACTTACTCTACGTGTGTACTCTACACTTACTCTACATGTGTACTCTACTCTACACTTACTCTACATGTGTACTCTACTCTACACTTACTCTACATGTGTACTCTACTCTACATGTCTACTCTACTCTACTTACTCTACATGTGTACTCTACTCTACATGTGTACTCTACTCTACACTTACTCTACATGTGTACTCTACTCTACACTTACTCTACATGTGTACACTACTCTACACTTACTCTACATGTGTACACTACTCTACACTTACTCTACATGTGTACGCTACTCTACACTTACTCTACATGTGTACTCTACTCTACACTTACTCTACATGTGTACTCTACTCTACACTTACTCTACATGTCTACTCTACACTTACTCTACATGTGTACACTACTCTACACTTACTCTACATGTGTACTCTACTCTACATGTGTACTCTACTCTACATGTGTACTCTACTCTACACTTACTCTACATGTGTACTCTACTCTACACTTACTCTACATGTGTACTCTACTCTACACTTACTCTACATGTGTACTCTACTCTACACTTACTCTACATGTGTACTCTACTCTACATGTGTACTCTACTCTACATGTGTACTCTACTCTACACTTACTCTACATGTGTACTCTACTCTACACTTACTCTACATGTGTACTCTACTCTACACTTACTCTACATGTGTACTCTACGTGTGTACTCTACACTTACTTTACGTGTGTACTCTACACAGAGAAGGCAAAGCGGCGAAAGTGAACTCGGGCCAATATCTCGATAATGTGAAAGTTTATTGTCAAAGTTACTTTTGTGATATTATCTCCTACGATAATTATCGCCCACCACGAGCGCTCACACACTCATACAGACGCACACACGTGTGTGTCTGTGTGCAGGTGAATGTGTGTTTATATATGTGTGTATATGTGCAGGTATTAGTGTGCGTGTGCGCGCAGGTGATTGTGTGTTAATGTGTGTGTTAGTGTGTGTGTGTAGGTGATTATATTTGTGTGTGTGCGCGCGTAGGTGATTGTGTGTTAATGTGTGTGTGTGTGTGTGCAGGTGATTGCCAGTGTGCTGAGGAACCTGTCGTGGAGAGCAGACGTAAACTCTAAGAAGTCTCTGAGGGAAGTGGGAAGTGTGCGAGCCCTCATGAGCTGTGCACTGCAAGTGCAGAAGGTGAGGAGAGACACACACACACTACACACCACACACACACACAAGAGACAGACATCCTCAGCTGTGTACATATGACTGACTGTGGCGCCCCCTGCAGGAGTGTGTGTGTACTTGTAAACTGACTGTGGCGCCCCCTGCAGGAGTGTGTGTACTTGTAAACTGACTGTGGCGCCCCCTGCAGGAGTGTGTGTGTTCTTGTAAACTGACTGTGGCGCCCCCTGCAGGAGTGTGTGTACTTGTAAACTGACCGTGGCGTCCCCTGCAGGAGTGTGTGTGTACTTGTAAACTGACTGTGGCGCCCCCTGCAGGAGTGTGTGTGTACTTGTAAACTGACTGTGGCGCCCCCTGCAGGAGTGTGTGTACTTGTAAACTGACCATGGCGCCCCCTGCAGGAGTGTGTGTGTACTTGTAAACTGACTGTGGCGCCCCCTGCAGGAGTGTGTGTGTACTTGTAAACTGACTGTGGCGCCCCCTGCAGGAGTGTGTGTACTTGTAAACTGACCGTGGCGTCCCCTGCAGGAGTGTGTGTACTTGTAAACTGACCATGGCGCCCCCTGCAGGAGTGTGTGTGTACTTGTAAACTGACCGTGGCGTCCCCTGCAGGAGTGTGTGTGTACTTGTAAACTGACGTGGCGTCCCCTGCAGGAGTGTGTGTACTTGTAAACTGACGTGGCGTCCCCTGCAGGAGTGTGTGTGTACTTGTAAACTGACGTGGCGTCCCCTGCAGGAGTGTGTGTACTTGTAAACTGACGTGGCGTCCCCTGCAGGAGTGTGTGTGTACTTGTAAACTGACCGTGGCGTCCCCTGCAGGAGTGTGTGTGTACTTGTAAACTGACCGTGGCGTCCCCTGCAGGAGTGTGTGTGTACTTGTAAACTGACGTGGCGTCCCCTGCAGGAGTCCACGCTGAAGTCCGTGCTGTCGGCGCTCTGGAACCTATCGGCGCACTGCACAGAGAACAAGGGCGACATCTGCTGCGTGGAGGGCGCGCTGGCGTTCCTGGTGGGGACGCTCACTCACCGTAGCCATAGCAACACGCTCGCCATCATCGAGAGCGGCGGCGGCATCCTGCGCAACGTGTCAAGCCTCATCGCCACCAACCACACCCACAGGTACACTGAGACATGTATACTGAGTAGGGATGTACCGAATCCAGGTTTTTGGGGTTCGGCCGAATACCGAATCCACTGGTTAAGATTCTGCTGAATCCGAACCCGAATACCGAATCCTATTCCATCCTCAGTCCATTTATGTTTCATACGCAAATATTTTAACAGCGGCGGTGTTGTGTACTGTTTAGGGTCCTTACCACCACGAGACAAATCAGCATTGCAAATTAAACATGTAGCTCGACCAGAATCTATTATTATAACATTTATAATAATCCTGCTTATCATTAAACACAAATACATTCAGTTCACAGCAGTGTAAAACTTCAGTGATAAAGTACATATATTACTGTGCATGTCATGTAGAAATAAGAGCTAAAGCTCCACACATGCTTAAATAGCTTCCACTGGTTCAGGTCAAAACATTACATATATGGACATTTGAGAAATATGCCAAACTCGTCAGAGACAAGTTGAGAGAAGCTAATGCTAAGAGGCTAGTTGCCTAAACATGGACTCACCAACTCTGCTTCCACAGTCATACGCAGCTCAGATGACAAGTACCTGGCAATGGTAATCGGCTCCATAAAGTTGGTGAATAGGCAGTTAGTTTATGATCCATCAGAACCGCATTACAGGTGAAAACAAGAATCATAACATCCCCTCGCACCGGCATATAACTAGAGCTAATTGGTCCGCGGGGATCACATGACCAGGAAGAGACCTCAGTGCACCCGAAGAGGAACAGAGAGCAAGAGGATATAAACCTCCGCTAAAGTGCATGTTTATTTACACTTCCGAACGAATCTGATTTCCGTGATGAATCCAACAGCCACAGCGCGCATAGTGTAAGTGCAGGGTTCGGGTTCGGTGGGGAAAAATTCTAAGGTTCGGCCAGAAACCGAACCCCGTCAAAAAAGCCAATATTCGGCCGAATCCGAACCCGAATCCTGGATTCGGTACATCCCTAATACTGAGACATGTCTGAGGCACGTGCACTGAGGCACGTGCACTGAGGCACGTGCACTGAGGCACGTGCACTGAGGCACGTGCACTGAGGCACGTGCACTGAGGCACGTGCACTGAGGCACGTGCACTGAGGCACGTGCACTGAGGCACGTGCACTGAGGCACGTACATGTACACAGAGGCACGTGCACAGAGGCACGTACAGAGGCACGTACACAGAGGCATGTACACTCTAACCTCTGACCTCTGCTCACAGGCTGGTCCTCCGGGAGCACGGCTGTCTGCCGACGCTGCTGCAGCACCTGAAGTCTCACAGTTTGACGATCGTGTCGAACGCCTGCGGGACGCTGTGGAACCTGTCTGCGCGCGACGCCACCGACCAAGAGACGCTGTGGGAGCTGGGCGCAGTGGGGATGCTCCGGAACCTCATCCACTCGCGCCACAAGATGATCGCCATGGGCAGCGCGGCAGCTCTGCGCAACCTGATGGCCAACCGGCCGGCGCGCTACAAGGACACCAGCGTGGTGTCTCCAGGAGGGGGCGCTCCCTCGCTGCACGCACGTAAACAGAAGGCGCTGTTTGAGGAGCTGGACGCGCAGCAGCTGTCGGAGACCTTTGACAACATCGACAACCTGAGCCCAAAGACCGCGCACCGCAGGGGGCGCTGCGCCGCCCCGGGCTCCCGTTCCTACGCCAACACGCCCGTCCTGTCCAGCCCCAAACGCCACGACGCCCGCGTCTTCCCCCCGAGCGTGCGGGCCTCCAGCGACAGCCTGAACAGCGTCACCAGCGCAGACGGCTACGGCAACCGCGGCAAAACCAAACCCTCGTCCACCACCGACTGCTGCCCCGAGGACGGCGCCGCCTGCGTCTACAGGAAATACCCCGCCGATCTGGCACACAAGATCCGCAGCGCTAACCACATGGACGACGACGGCGCCGAGCTGGACACGCCCATCAACTACAGCCTGAAGTATTCTGACGAGCAGCTGAACTCCGGGCGCCAAAGCCCGAGTCTGAGCGAGCCGCGAGCACCGCGCTACAGCAACAGTACGTATGAACCGCCACCAGAACAGCCCATTGACTACAGCCTGAAGTACAGCGCCCCAAAAGACGCTGCCCCCGCACCTAAGCTCCGCCCCCTGCAGCCTCCCGCAGCCAATCGCGTGGCCCAGAAGGAGTCTCCGCAGACGTACTGCGTGGAGGACACGCCCATCTGCTTCTCTCGCGGCTCGTCGCTGTCATCGTTGTCTTCAGAGGACGAGGCCCATGAGATGCTGGCTGCAAAACGCCGCGGCGTTGCAGGGGGAGACCGCGACAACAGTAACTACCCCACGCTACCGGCGAGCGAGAAGAGCGAGGAACAGAAGCAGCGGAAAGAAGCAGAGAGCCAAACCGCAGACTCTGCCTCCAACGCCAAAAGCAAACGCCACCATCACCACGAGACGCGCCACCATCACCACTCTGCCTCAGGCGCCCGCACGCCCAAGAGCCCGCCGGAGCCGGCGCCGTTGTACGCTCAGGAGACGCCGCTCATGTTCAGCCGCTGCACCTCCGTCAGCTCCTTGGACTCCTTCTCCACCTCCTCCATCGCTTCCTCTGTGCGCTCCTCTGAGCCCTGCAGCGGCGTTCCCAGCGGCGTCATCAGCCCCAGTGACCTGCCTGACAGCCCGGGCCAGACCATGCCCCCGAGTCGTGCCAAGACTCCGCCCCCTCCTCCCAAACAGGAAGTGATGTCACTACGTCCCGAGGCGGAGCCCAGCGCGGATCTGCTGCTCCACTTCCACACAGAGAGCACCCCCCATGGCTTCTCCAAGGCCTCCAGTCTGAGCGCGCTCAGTGTGGATGAGCCGTACATCGCGGACCTCAAGCTGGCCGAGCCGTACGATGAGCAGGTGCGAGCGGAGCAGCAGCTGCAACCCGAGCACCTGGACAAAGCAGAGCTGTTGGAGGGAGAGTCGGACGATGACATCGAGATCCTGGAGGCGTGCATCAACATGGCCATGCCCAAGTCCTCACGCAAACACAAGAAACAGGCCCCGCAAGCCCCGCCCACTGATTCAGCACAACCAATCAGGAAGTCCAGCCAGCTGCCAGTCTACAAACTCCTGCCCCCACAGAGCCGCGTCCAATCACAGCTCAGGAAGCAGGACGAGTCCGACGACATGCCCAGAGTTTATTGTGTGGAAGGAACGCCGCTCAACTTTTCTACCGCCACCTCGCTCAGCGACCTCACCATCGAGTCCCCGCCCCCAGAGAAAGCTCCGGCCCCTGTGGAGGCCCCGCTCTCTCAGAGAAGGGCACCGCCCCCTCCGGCCAGGGCGCCGCCTCCTGAGGGCGAGAACGGAGACGACATTTTGGCCGAATGCATCAATGCCGCGATGCCAAAGTCCAAACTACGCAAACCACAGCCGGTGTCTCGACCTATAGCAGAGCAGAGCCTCCAGACCCCGCCCTCCCTGCCACCTCAAGTCCCGCCCCCTCTGAATGTGCAGCAGCAGAAGAAGAAGCCCACGTCTCCGGTGAAGCCGCAGCAGCGAGCGCTCCGACAGAAACCGGGCTTTACCTTTGACTCACCGCGACACTACACTCCCATCGAAGGCACGCCCTGCTGCTTCTCACGCAACGACTCTCTCAGCTCGCTCGACTTTGACGAGGACGATGCCAAAGCCCCGCCCCCTGTTGTAGCCCTGCCCCCTCCGGTTGTAGCCCAACTCCCTGCTGTAGCCCCGCCTCCTGCCACAGCCCCGCCCGCCGCCCCCAAGCCTGCTGACGAGCAGCTGCAATTCTCTATGGAGGACACGCCCGTGTGCTTTAGCAGAAACTCCTCCCTGTCATCGCTCAGCGACATTGACCACGAGAACAACAACAAACCTGAAGCTCCGCCCCCAGACCCTGCCCCCTCGGAGCCCCGCCCCCCACACTGCTACATCCCCAAAGCGTTTCACGTGGAGGACACGCCCGTGTGCTTCAGCAGGAACTCCTCTCTGTCCTCGCTCTCCATCGACTCTGAGGACGACCTGCTGCAGGAGTGCATCAGCTCTGCCATGCCCAAGAAGAAGAAGAAAGCTCCGCCCCCCGCTGAGGCCCCACCCCCCATCGAAGCCCCTCCCCCCCGCAGCCCTGTGTCACCTGACTCAGAGTCGTTCGACTGGAAGGCGATCCAGGAGGGCGCCAACGCCATCGTGTCCTCACTCCACGCCGCCGCATCACTGTCACGCCAGGGCTCCTCCGACTCAGACTCTGTGCTGTCACTCAAGTCTGTAGGCTCCTCCCCCTTCAGGCTCAGGAAGGCTCCCGAGGTCACAGAGAGCCCCGCCCACAACGAGAGCCCTGAACACAACGAAAGCGATGCCCACACCAACCCGCCCTCAGACCCCCCCTCCCCTCCTGAGCGCCGTGGCGCCCGCATCCTGAAGCCCGGCGAGCGCAGTGCGCTGGAGCCGCGGCCGGAAGAGGACAAAGGCGTCCGCGGTGGGAAGAAGGTTTACCGCAGTTTAATCACTGGGAAACCGCGCTCCGAGCCCAGCGCCCGTGGGCGCGCCAAACCCAGGGCTGTGATTGGCCCCAAACTAGGAAGTAATGCAGACGAAAAGACTGGCAGCTCATCACGAGACTCCACCCCCTCCCGCAAACTCAAACCTCCAAGCCCTGCCCCCAAACCTCTGTCTGCAGCTAGCCCCGCCCCTAAACCTCTGTCTGCAGCTAGCCCCGCCCCTAAACCTCTGTCTGCCCCGAGCCCCACCCCTAAACCTCTGTCATCTGCAAGCCCCGCCCCCAAACCGTCCTTAAAGCCCAAAGCAGCCGCGTTGCCGCGCAGCGACTCAGTGCAGAAGAAGTCTGATGCGGAGAAGCCGCCGGCGCTTGTGCGACAGTCAACGTTCATCAAAGAGACGCCGAGTCCGACGCTCAAACGCAAACTGGACGAGTCCCAGAGCTCCGCCCCCATCGACCCACCCAGTCCCGACATGTCCACTCAAAGCCGTGCCCACTCTGAGAGCCCGTCCCGCCCACAGGAAGTTACATCATCACGCATCAACCGCACTGGCACCTGGAAACGAGAGAACAGCAGCGCAGCTAATGCTAACGGAAAACACTCCACATCTCTGCCGCGGGTCGGCACATGGAAACGCACAGGAAGCTCGTCCTCCATCTTGTCTGCATCAAGCGAGTCGAGCGAGAGAGGGGCAAGTGAGAGGGGAGGGGCGAGCGAGAGGGAGGAGGAAGTGACATCACAGCGCAGAGGAACGTGGCGTAAGAAGAAGAGTAGCTCGGGCGAGCGCTCGGGCGGCTGTGAAGACGTGTGGGTGCGGCTGGAGGACTGTCCTGTCAATAACCCACGCTCCGCCTCTTCCTGCTCTAATGCTCCGCCCATAATTGATAGCCCCACCTCCCGGCTGCCCTCAGGCTCCGCCTCCTGCTCCAACCTGAACCTGCGCCGCAGCTGTGAGAGTTTAGATGACAAACCGCAGAGAGTGGCGCCGCGCGGAACGGTGGCCGCACGCGTCAGTCCCTTTAACTACACACCGAGCCGCAAGACGGAGCCTACGACCACAAGCACCACTGTGGCTAGCACCACTGTGGCTAGCACCACCCCCACGCGGCCCTCGCTCATCCCTACGCCTGTCACCAAGAAGCGTGAGCCCAAAGGAGAGGGAGGGGCTGGGGGCGGCGCCGGGGGCGGGGAGAGGGGCTCCTACATTGTCACTTCAGTGTGAAGGCGGCACGCCGAGGCTCCGGAGGTTTCATGTGGAAGACTCTGGACCAATCGCTTCACTCGTCACTGATGTTTCTGCACCGCCCACACGTCATGTTGTAAACTGTAGACCAGATAATGCTAATGCTAGCATACACACACAGATGTTAACAATGAGGAAGGCGCCATCTTTCTGCTTCTGTGCAGCGTTTAAACTCAGACCGAGTGGAACGACCACGACCAGATGAAGCCTCCCCGCCTCAGCATCCTGTCAGTCCATCCTTAGACTTTTCCACGTTTTTTGCCTTTTACGAAAGAGAAACCAAACACAAGATGGCCGCCGCAGGTGAAGACTAACGGAGACGCAAGATGGCCGCCGCTAGTGTTTGTATAAGTGTAAAGTTGTGAGTGGACGCTGTACATACGTAGAGAGATTAGATTATTTAACGCAGTGCTTTGCCTCTAACGCAACACAAAATGGCGGCGTCTGTGCGGCTGGACACAAAATGGTGGGTGTGAGCGCCACTGCAGCTCGCTCCCGTAAACAATGTGTACAAAGGAATGTGAAGCCCCGCCCCCTGTCCGCATCGATCTAAAGACTTTTTTATGTTTTTATACCACTAAAGTAGCGCTTATAGCTCCGCCCCTGTCATGCATGGTCCCGCCCCCTGACCCGAACAATGACGGTTACCATGGTGATGAAAATGGTGTGTTGCCGCTTCCAGAAAGACAATGGACAATGAAAGACAATGAGTTTTGTATTTATAAGTTTCCAAGATGGACGCCAAGCGGAAGGAGGACCGGGACTGAAGGATTCATACAACACTTTTATCGCAGTAAAAAAGTATTTTGTTGAATATTTAAAGCTGAGGTGTGTAACTTTGAAACCAACAGAACTGTATTAAACCCATGTAGTTCTGGCTCTAAAACAGTTTATTGTATTTCTGTTACATGTTCAGATCACAGAGGACCTCCCTCAGCAGCCAATCAGCTCTCAGCCCAAAGAGGCTAATAGTGACTCGCACGTCGTTTGAACAGAAAGTGTTAATGAGACATAAGTTACGTCCCCCAGCTTTAAAATGACCTTTTCTTAAATGTATGAATATAAAGTGTAAACACTACGTAGACCTCCTGAGCTGTGGTCTCGTTCTGGTCCACGGGTGATGTCATCCTTTTGACCTGTGACCCCTGAGTGCGGCGTCCATTTTGTGTCTGACTCTCGTTCTCTGTGGAGACGCTTCTGTTGCCTTTGATTAAACACTGAACCGTAACTTATTGCTGTAAAATGAATGAAGCACATAATTTAAAACCGTTTTGTTTTTGCCAAAAGTTTTCACCGTTTTCCGTTTTTTTATTTCTGTGATGTCACAATTTTCTGCGAAAGGAAAGTTTCGGTGAAAATGAAACTATAACAAATAAAGTTGACACTAAAGTCTGGTGTGATTGTAGCACATGTTTTTAAATGGCCAGACAAGGACCAGGACCGGGTTTAGGCCAAAGGGGGTCCAGGGACCAGGGATAGGAACCAGGGATAGGGACCAGGGATAGGGACCAGGGATAGGGACCAGGGATAGGGACCAGGGATAGGGACCAGGGATAGGGACCAGGGATAGGGACCAGGGATAGGGACCAGGGATAGGGACCAGGGATAGGGGGGACCTTTAACCAGTCTTGCGGCCCAGTCTCATGGAGGAATGTTCAAATACAGCTGTAATCTAGACACAATCTTGGCTGTTGCTCAGATGGCTCACACCAGTGACAGTATTCTGGTCTTTCTGGTCTCTCGCGCGCTGCTCATACGCGGGTCAGGGAGAGAAGTTTCTAAAATAGGTCTCATGCGGCCGGAATGTTTTGTCGCCCTCTAGTGGACAGAGTGCAACAGACGTCACAGATGAAGTGTCCAATCACAGCTCGTCTCAAACGTTTTTTTCAGTTGTTTATTAACATGATGAACGTGAAATAAATAAAACATAATAATCATGATGTCATTTTCACGTGTGACAACAGCGGAGCGTCTGATTGGCTCTGAGGAAGTGTGGCTGAGGATGTTGCCGCCCCAGTGGGTCTGGACCAGGACTGCACTAGTCGGCCCTGCTCTCTGTCTTCGAGAAGGTCCTGGTCTCAGTCCTGGTCCTGGTCTTGGAGAAAGTCCTGCAGAGCCGTCAGTCGCTGTAGCAGCATCACGTCCGAGTCGCAGTCATCGTCGCGGCAACCACGCCTGGCCGCCGCCCTCTTCCTGGGCACCATGGCAACAAGCCCCACCCCTAAAAGACACAAACAACAGCTGTCAAAAAATAAAAATAAAAGCCCCACCTCCAGAGTGAGTGGGTAGGGGAGGGGGGTGTCACTGTCTCCATGGAGATGTGTGGGCGGGGCTACCTGGACGCTTCCTCTTCCGTGGTTGGGTGAAATCAGGGAAGTGCAGCAGGCGCCGGCGTCTCTGCTGACCAATCAGAAGCAGCGCTCCGTCCTTCTCCCGCGGCTCCTCGAAGATGGTCTCCAGAGACGAGCTGTGGACCAGACAAGGTCCTGGTTTAGTCCGAGACCAGGACCAGAGAGAGACCAGAGAGAGACCAGAGAGAGACAAGAGAGAGACCAGAGAGAGACCAGAGAGAGACCAGAGAGAGACCAGAGAGAGACCAGAGAGAGACCAGAGAGAGACCAGAGAGAGACCAGAGAGAGACCAAAGAGAGACCAGAGCTGCTGGTGTGTCACCTGTTCGCAGATGGAGATCTGTAGTTTTTGTTTGTGTAGATTTCCTCCAAACTGAACTCCTTCTTTTTTAACCTGAAAACAGTAAGAGCCAGGCTTCAGTCCTGGTCCAGTCCTAGTTTAGTCCTGGTCTAGGATTACTATTGCAACAACACATCATCAGTAGGGTAAAACTACACCAGGACTAGACTGGTCCTGGTCTAGTCCTGGTCCAGACCGTTTGGCTTTAGGGAGTCCCAGAGGCGTCAGGTTTGATTCTTTGGGTGAAGTTCTGCGGATCCGAATCTGAGACACACGCTTCACCTGCAGGTCAGAGGTCACACAGTAATTACACTTCTCTGTGAAGTACTAATGGTACTTGTGGTACTAAAGCCTAGTGTATACTCGCGCGGCGTTGCTTACGTTAGCGGTTGTGCTGGACCTACGTAAGCACAATTAATTTATACTCCTTGCAGAGTTTTGAGGAGAATGTTGTAATCCCACAACCAACCACACGATGGCGATCTCACAGGAGTTGCCTGAGAAACCAAAGCGGTCTCATTTACGCTGCTATTTTCTCTTCAGAACAAAAACATGAACAAACAAAGCTGTTTGAGATCATTACACGTGTTTCTACTGTAGGCTTATGTGATAGTTTTATGGACTCATTATTTCTGAACTCATTTAACTGTGATGTTGTGAATAAAGATACAGTTCTGTTGGAAACAGTTATTATTAAAGTAGCAGTCTGTAATATTTTCATGTCAAGTCATCATTAAATGGCCCCATGTTTCCAAAGGTGTTTTTAAATCATGCTCTTTTCGAACACCTCTTTAACTGATAACAGTCGTTCAGAGATATTTAAATCAAAATTAGTTTTACGACCCGTAAAAGATGTTATTGTTTTGATGTTGATGTCCCGCCCTCCGCTGTTTGGCCAATCAGGAAGTGTCATGTAAGTCCGTGATCGGGTTGCCAGAACTCCGCTCACTGATCTCAGAGGAAAAATAACATGTGGCGCAGAACTAAAACAGCTCTTTTTATGACCCTCAAATAATTAATGACAAAACAAAGACTAAAACGAGGATTTATATCGGGACGCCTTTGAACAATTGAAACAGCTATAAAAGTTTACGTGTGATGCAAAACTTGCTGCTTTGAGTCCGTTCTTCAGGATAGTTCCACCGCGTGAATCGGTGATCCAATGGTTAAAACTACGCACTCACGACGCAGTAACCCGGGTTTGATTAAAGAATCATTTAAGACCACATGTAAAATAATGTTAGTCTCTGATGTGGGACTTACACATTAGCACGGCTCCTGGCAACGTGAGAGACAAACAACTGATTACATAGTTCCCTGTGTTTGCTGCTGGATTTGGTGAGTATCTGGCAACCTGAGTCCGGGAGAGAGGGAGAGGACTGCAACATATGGACTGTGACTGCAGTACCACTTTTGGCCAGATTTTTACATATTGTTCCTTTAAAGTGTATTCAGCACAAACAGCAAAACAATAATAGTGGTAAATATCTGAGACATATATATATGTTAGATATAAGTTATATATACAGTGCCTTGCGAAAGTATTCGGCCCCCTTGAACCTTTCAACATTTCGCCACATTTCAGGCTTCAAACGTAAAGATATAAAATTTTTATTTTTTGTCATGAATCAACAACAAGTGGGACACAATCGTGAAGTGGAACAACATTTGTTGGATAATTTAAACTTTTTTAACAAATAAAAAACTGAAAAGTTGGGCGTGCAATATTATTGGGCCCCTTTACTTTCAGTGCAGCAAACTCAGTCCAGAAGTTCAGTGAGGATCTTTGAATGATCCAATGTTGTCCTAAATGACTGATGATGATAAATAGAATGCACCTGTGTGTAATCAAGTCTCCGTATAAATGCACCTGCTCTTTGATAGTCTCAGGGTTCTGTTTAAAGCGCAGAGAGAACCATGAAGACAAAGGAACACACCAGGCAGGTCCGAGATACTGTTGTGGAGAAGTTTAAAGCCGGATTTGGATACAAAAAGATTTCCCAAGCTTTAAACATCTCAAGGAGCACTGTGCAAGCAATTATATTGAAATGGAAGGAGTATCAGACCACTGCAAATCTACCAAGACCCGGCCGTCCCTCCAAACTTTCATCTCAAACAAGGAGAAGACTGATCAGAGATGCAGCCAAGAGGCCATGATCACTCTGGATGAACTGCAGATAACTACAGCTGAGGTGGGAGAGTCTGTCCATAGGACAACAATCAGTCGTGCACTGCACAAATCTGGCCTTTATGGAAGAGTGGCAAGAAGAAAGCCATTTCTCAAAGATATCCATAAAAAGTCTGGTTTAAAGTTTGCCACAAGCCACCTGGGAGACACACCAAACATGTGGAAGAAGGTGCTCTGGTCAGATGAAACCAAAATCAAACTTTTTGGCCACAATGCAAAACGATATGTTTGGCGTAAAAGCAACACAGCTCATCACCCTGAACACACCATCCCCACTGTCAAACATGGTGGTGGCAGCATCATGCTTTGGGCCTGCTTTTCTTCAGCAGGGACAGGGAAGATGGCTAAAATTGATGGGAAGATGGATGGAGCCAAATACAGGACCATTCTGGAAGAAAACCTGTTGGAGTCTGCAAAAGACCTGAGACTGGGACGGAGATTTATCTTCCAACAGGACAATGATCCAAAACATAAAGCCAAATCTACAATGGAATGGTTCACAAATAGACGTATCCAGGTGTTAGAATGGCCAAGTCAAAGTCCAGACCTGAATCCAATCGAGAATCTGTGGAAAGAGCTGAAGACTGCTGTTCACAAACGCTCTCCATCCAACCTCACTGAGCTCCAGCTGTTTTGCAAGGAAGAATGGGCAAGAATTCCAGTCTCTCGATGTGCAAAACTGATAGAGACATACCCCAAGCGACTTGCAGCTGTAATTGCAGCAAAAGGTGGCGCTACAAAGTATTAGCGCAAGGGGCCGAATAATATTGCACGCCCCACTTTTCAGTTTTTTATTTGTTAAAAAAGTTAAAATTATCCAATAAATGTCGTTCCACTTCACGATTGTGTCCCACTTGTTGATTCTTGACAAAAAATTAAATGTTTATATCTTTATCTTTGAAGCCTGAAATGTGGCGAAATGTTGAAAGGTTCAAGGGGGCCGAATACTTTCGCAAGGCACTGTATATGTTAGATATAAGTTATATATATATGTTAGATATAAGTTATATATATATATGTTAGATATAAGTTATATATATATGTTAGATATAAGTTATATATATGTTAGATAGTCCACAGGCTCTGAGCCCAAACTGCTTTTCCTTGGAAGCACAAAGCTCTCTGCTCCATAGAGCCTCGTCCATGCTCCTACTGCAGCCGCTCCGTGCTTCCTTCCAATACACACACACGGACCAATCACAGCGGAGCTTCTCTCACACACGGACCAATCACAGCGGAAAATTTCGATGCTGCGCGGCAGGCGACGTAAGGGCCTTGCGGCGACCAACGCGTTGCACAAGTGACGTCACGTCACCTCCGTAAGCTCCGCGCCGCGCGAGTATAAACTAGGCTTTAACGGTACTCGTGGTACTAGCGGTACTCGTGGTACTAGCGGTACTAATAGTACTTGTACTCACGTCTCTCTTGTTGCCGGGCAGAACAGTGTTGGCAGCTGATTGGTCCGTTTTCAGGGACACTGTAAGCCCATTGGTTGGTACAGGAGGGAGGGGGAGGGGCCTTCTGCGAGTGCTGTGATTGGCTCTATGTCTCTGCTGTCGCCGGGCAGATATCAGCAGACTGCAGCCAATCAGGAGGCAGCGTACAGAAAACAAATATGATTATTTATATTCTGAATATTGAGGATTACAGCGCCCCCTGTGGCCACTCACCTCACTGCAGGAGGCTTCATGTAGCTGCAAATAGACACACAGAGTCAGGACCAGGACTGGACCAGGACTGGACCAGGACTGGACCAGGACTGGACCAGGACTGGACCAGGACTGGACCAGGACTGGACCAGGACTGGGTAGAGCGTCACAAGTGACTGACCTGTGCTCGGAGCTGATGTATGCTGGGGCGGTGTGGTCCTGTAGGGGGCGCTCTGGAGACATGACCACATCGCTCAGGGACACGCCCACTGCAGTCTCCACGGCGACCAGTGACAGGCGCCACGGCAACTGCCGCGAGGAGGCGTGGCATGAAGACGTTATAAGCCACGACATCGTTCTGATGTCTCCGCTGCGACAGGAGTGAGGGGCGGAGCTAGAGAAACTCCACAGCCCCACAGGCCCCAGGGCATCATGGGATATAGGTGAGAACCTGAAGGAAACAACCAGGCTAAGTTCCACAGTCTCACATTCACCGTGGAACCTTTCTCATGAAATTGGTTTTCGCCGGGACTGATTAACGTGAAGCACCTCTAGACAACAACAAACTAATAATACAACAAACTGTAATAACTGTACACAGAACTCACCCCAGCGACGTCAGGAGCCTGTTCTGCCCGCCCACTCTGCACACGCTGCTCTCTGATTGGCCCACTCTGCACACGCTGCTCTCTGATTGGCCCACTCTGCACACGCTGCTCTCTGATTGGCCCACTCTGCTCTCTGATTGGCCCACTCTGCACACGCTGCTCTCTGATTGGCCCACTCTGCACACGCTGCTCTCTGATTGGCCCACTCTGCTCTCTGATTGGCCCACTCTGCACACGCTGCTCTCTGATTGGCCCACTCTGCACACGCTCTCCTCTGATTGGCCTGCTGTCCGGGCGCTCTGCTCCGATTGGTTCTTCTGTCGTTTCCTCCTCGTTTCCTCCCTCCGCCGTCTCCTCTTCCCTGATTGGCTGACACCATCCACTGGCTCCTCCCCCTCAGACTGCAAATGAGAAACACATAAGAAAAAAGAACTGTCCAATGGCTGAAGCCGATTAATTCACATGATTAAGGCTTAAAGTGTCACTGTAAAAGTACTAAAGTATAACAAAGTACTACAGAGTAAAAGTACTGCAGAGTAAAAGTACTGCAGAGTAAAAGTACTACTGAGTATAACTACTGCAGAGTAAAAGTACGGCAGAGTGAAGTGATGCTGCCCCTCCCTCACACTGATGGTGTTGGATGTGTGTAACCATGGGCCTCTTGTCTGCATCTGTGGTCAGTCTTCTCCTTGTTATTGTGCGTTAAGGCAGACAGCCGTGTTTTGGTAGGTTGACAGTGTGTATGGACGTACCTCTGAGCGTGCTCCTGCCCGCTCGCCGCTCACACGCCGCTCCAGCACGCTCAGCCGCCGGTCAAACGCCGACATGGCTCCTCCAATCAGACGCTTCATCTCCCTCTGGTGCAACGACAGCAGCGAGGAGAGGAGACGAGGAAGCATGGAGGAGCAGAGGACACAGGGACCAGGAGGCATCTGACCCGGCATCTGACCAGGCATCTGACCCGGCATCTGACCCGGCATCTGACCCGGCATCTGACCCGGCATCTGACCCGGCATCTGACCCGGCATCTGACCCGACATCTGACCCGGCATCTGACCCGACATCTGACCCGACATCTGACCCGGCATCTGACCCGACATCTGACCCGACATCTGACCCGGCATCTGACCCGGCATCTGACCCGGCATCTGACCCGGCATCTGACCCGGCAACTGACCCGGCATCTGACCCGGCATCTGACCCGGCATCTGACCCGGCATGTGAGGAGGCATCTGAGGAGGCATAGTGGGGGTGGAGGTGTCTGAGGAGAGATAGGACACAGGAGGAGTGATGCTCAGTGGATTAGGGGGAGGTGAGTGACAGGAAGGACTTAAATCAGGAGAGGAGGGGGAGGAGGAGGAGGAGCAGGAGGAGAAGGAGAAGGGGTAGTTAACAAGAGGAGGTGGGGGGTGAGGGATTGGAGGAGGAGACATGCGAGGAGTAGTGTCTGAGGAGGAGAGAGAAACCGGAAGTTAAACAAGAGTCAATGAAAAAACAGTAGCAGCGAGACCAGAACGAGACTAGAGAAAGAGAGGGAAAAAGAGACCAGAGAGAGACCATAGCGAGACCAGAGATATTGTCAATCCTTATACAGGCAATAGTCACTATGGTTACACTGTGTTCACAGGCTATTATTTATGCACGGAATGAGGCCTGCTCTTACCGTTCAGCTTGACGGCCAATGGGATCGCTCCGTTTAGCTTGTCGGCCAATGGGATTGCACCGTTCAGCGAACCGTTCAGTTTCTCGGCCAATGGCAGCAATGTGGAGGCGGGGTTATGGGCCATGCCAGGGTTGTCCCACCCACTGCCCTCTGATTGGCTCGCGGACTGTGGGCGATCGAGCATGGCCCAAACTATGGAGAGAACGATCTGTCATCACCACTTCAACAAAGACCTCGTTATGAACTACTGATCGATCCCACAGACCCTGCAGACACCGCTCAGACCCCACAGACCCTGCAGACACCGCTCAGACCCCACAGACCCTGCAGACACCGCTCAGACCCCACAGACCCTGCAGACACCGCTCAGACCTCACAGACCCTGCAGACACCGCTCAGACCTCACAGACCCTGCAGACACCGCTCAGACCCCACAGACCCTGCAGACACCGCTCAGACCCCACAGACCCTGCAGACACCGCTCAGACCCCACAGACCCTGCAGACACCGCTCAGACCCCACAGACCCTGCAGACACCGCTCAGACCTCACAGACCCTGCAGACACCGCTCAGACCTCACAGACCCTGCAGACACCGCTCAGACCACACTCAGACCCCACAGACCCTGCAGACACCGCTCAGACCCCACAGACCCTGCAGACACCGCTCAGACCCCACAGACCCTGCAGACACCGCTCAGACCCCACAGACCCTGCAGACACCGCTCAGACCACACTCAGACCCCACAGACCCTGCAGACACCGCTCAGACCCCACAGACCCTGCAGACACCGCTCAGACCTCACAGACCCTGCAGACACCGCTCAGACCTCACAGACCCTGCAGACACCGCTCAGACCACACTCAGACCTCACAGACCCTGCAGACACCGCTCAGACCCCACAGACCCTGCAGACACCGCTCAGACCCCACAGACCCTGCAGACACCGCTCAGACCTCACAGACCCTGCAGACACCGCTCAGACCTCACAGACCCTGCAGACACCGCTCAGACCTCACAGACCCTGCAGACACCGCTCAGACCACACTCAGACCTCACAGACCCTGCAGACACCGCTCAGACCACACTCAGACCTCACAGACCCTGCAGACACCGCTCAGACCCCACAGACCCTGCAGACACCGCTCAGACCCCACAGACCCTGCAGACACCGCTCAGACCTCACAGACCCTGCAGACACCGCTCAGACCCCACAGACCCTGCAGACACCGCTCAGACCTCACAGACCCTGCAGACACCGCTCAGACCCCACAGACCCTGCAGACACCGCTCAGACCCCACAGACCCTGCAGACACCGCTCAGACCCCACAGACCCTGCAGACACCGCTCAGACCTCACAGACCCTGCAGACACCGCTCAGACCTCACAGACCCTGCAGACACCGCTCAGACCTCACAGACCCTGCAGACACCGCTCAGACCACACTCAGACCCCACAGACCCTGCAGACACCGCTCAGACCCCACAGACCCTGCAGACACCGCTCAGACCCCACAGACCCTGCAGACACCGCTCAGACCTCACAGACCCTGCAGACACCGCTCAGACCTCACAGACCCTGCAGACACCGCTCAGACCCCACAGACCCTGCAGACACCGCTCAGACCCCACAGACCCTGCAGACACCGCTCAGACCCCACAGACCCTGCAGACACCGCTCAGACCACACTCAGACCCCACAGACCCTGCAGACACCGCTCAGACCCCACAGACCCTGCAGACACCGCTCAGACCTCACAGACCCTGCAGACACCGCTCAGACCTCACAGACCCTGCAGACACCGCTCAGACCACACTCAGACCTCACAGACCCTGCAGACACCGCTCAGACCCCACAGACCCTGCAGACACCGCTCAGACCCCACAGACCCTGCAGACACCGCTCAGACCCCACAGACCCTGCAGACACCGCTCAGACCCCACAGACCCTGCAGACACCGCTCAGACCTCACAGACCCTGCAGACACCGCTCAGACCACACTCAGACCTCACAGACCCTGCAGACACCGCTCAGACCACACTCAGACCTCAGTTCACGTCTGACCACACAGACCCTGCAGACACCGCTCAGACCACAGAGGCCCTTCACACATGGAAGGAGCTCGGAGTAGAGCCCATTCTCCTCCATATGGAGCAGCAGCTGGGGAGCCTTCACACTGAAAGAATGTTATCAATGAGTATACATTAATATTAATTTATAAACAGGACTGAACCAGGTCTGAACCGGGTCTGAACCGAGTCTGAACCGAATCTGAACCGAGTCTGAACCAGGACTGGCCCAGGTCTGTGCCAGGTCTAAGCCAGGTCTGAGCCAGGTCTGAACCAGAAGTGAACCGGGTCGGAACCGGATCTCAGCCAGGTTTAAACCGGGTCTGGACTGATTCAGTGATAAAACACATATGAGCACACGCCATCAGTCAGTCATTTATCGATTACAATGACGTCACACCATTGATCACTGACGTCACGATGCGTGACAGATGCGGGGACGAAATGAAACAACGAGATTTAGGCCAAAGACTCAAAACCTGATCCAAACCGGGCCAAACCGAACCAAAACTCAGGCCAAGCGCGTGCACGTACCTGGAACCGGTGGTGCGCGTCCCCGAGACTCCGTCACTGCCGCATGAGCGAGTTTCACAACGAAAAACCGAAAAAACGAGATGTTTTAATCCACCGGAGGCAGAGAAGTGCTACCGGAACTACACCAACAAGGAGGCCGAGGACTTTCAGAATAAGAGACCAGAGAGAATGTGCTTTCAGAATAAGAGACCAGAGAGAATGTGCTTTCAGAATAAGAGACCAGAGAGAGACCAGAGAGAGACCAGAGAGACCAGAGAGAGACCAGAGAGAGAGACCAGAAAGAGACCAGAGAGAGAGAGACCAGAGAGAGAGACCAGAGAGAGAGACCAGAAAGAGACCAGAGAGAGAGACCAGAGAGAGACCAGAGAGAGTCCAGAGAGAGACCAGAGAGAGACCAGAGAGAGACCACAGAGAGACCACAGAGACCACAGAGAGAGACCAGAGATAGACCAGAGAGAGACCAGAGAGACCAGAGAGAGACCAGAGAGAGAGACCAGAGAGAGACCAGAGAGAGACCAGAGAGAGAGACCAGAGAGAGACCAGAGAGAGAGACCAGAGAGAGACCAGAGAGAGACCAGAGAGAGACCAGAGAGAGAGACCAGAGAGAGACCAGAGAGAGAGACCAGAGAGAGACCAGAGAGAGAGACCAGAGAGAGACCAGAGAGAGACCAGAGAGAGACCAGAGAGAGACCAGAGAGAGAGACCAGAGAGAGACCAGAGAGAGAGACCAGAGAGAGACCAGAGAGAGACCAGAGAGAAACCAGAGAGAGAGACCAGAGAGAGACCAGAGAGAGAGACCAGAGAGAGACCAGAGAGAGAGACCAGAGAGAGACCAGAGAGAGAGACCAGAGAGAGACCAGAGAGAGACCAGAGAGAGAGACCAGAGAGAGACCAGAAAGAGACCAGAGAGAGAGACCAGAGAGAGACCAGAGAGAGACCAGAGAGAGACCAGAGAGGGTCCAGAGAGAGACCAGAGAGAGACCACAGAGAGACCACAGAGAGACCAGAGAGAGACCAGAGAGAGACCAGAGAGAGACCAGAGAGAGACCAGAAAGAGACCAGAGAGAGAGACCAGAGAGAGACCAGAGAGAGACCAGAGAGAGAGACCAGAGAGAGACCAGAGAGAGAGACCAGAGAGAGACCAGAGAGAGACCAGAGAGAGACTAGAGAGAGACCAGAGAGAGAGACCAGAGAGAGACCAGAGAGAGACCAGAGAGAGACAGGGGGGGGGGGCCAGAGAGAGACCAGAGAGAGACCAGAGAGAGACCAGAGAGAGACCAGAGAGAGAGACCAGAGAGAGACCAGAAAGAGACCAGAGAGAGAGACCAGAGAGAGACCAGAGAGAGACCAGAGAGAGACCAGAGAGGGTCCAGAGAGAGACCAGAGAGAGACCAGAGAGAGTCCAGAGAGAGACCAGAGAGAGACCAGAGAGAGACCAGAGAGAGACCAGAGAGAGACCACAGAGAGACCACAGAGAGACCAGAGAGAGACCAGAGAGAGACCAGTGAGAGACCAGAGAGAGACCAGAAAGAGACCAGAGAGAGAGACCAGAGAGAGACCAGAGAGAGACCAGAGAGACCAGAGAGAGACCAGAGAGAGAGACCAGAGAGAGAGACCAGAAAGAGACCAGAGAGAGAGAGACCAGAGAGAGAGACCAGAGAGAGAGACCAGAAAGAGACCAGAGAGAGAGACCAGAGAGAGACCAGAGAGAGTCCAGAGAGAGACCAGAGAGAGAGACCAGAGAGAGACCACAGAGAGACCACAGAGAGACCACAGAGAGAGACCAGAGAGAGACCAGAGAGAGACCAGAGAGACCAGAGAGAGACCAGAGAGAGACCAGAGAGAGACCAGAGAGAGAGACCAGAGAGAGACCAGAGAGAGAGACCAGAGAGAGACCAGAGAGAGACCAGAGAGAGACCAGAGAGAGACCAGAGAGAGACCAGAGAGAGAGACCAGAGAGAGACCAGAGAGAGAGACCAGAGAGAGACCAGAGAGAGCGTTTCAGAGAGAGACCAGAGAGAGACCAGAGAGAGAGACCAGAGAGAGACCAGAGAGAGAGACCAGAGAGAGACCAGAGAGAGACCAGAGAGAGACCAGAGAGAGAGACCAGAGAGAGACCAGAGAGAGAGACCAGAGAGAGACCAGAGAGAGAGACCAGAGAGAGAGACCAGAGAGAGAGAGAGAGAGACCAGAGAGAGACCAGAGAGAGACCAGAGAGAGAGACCAGAGAGAGACCAGAAAGAGACCAGAGAGAGAGACCAGAGAGAGACCAGAGAGAGACCAGAGAGAGACCAGAGAGGGTCCAGAGAGAGACCAGAGAGAGACCACAGAGAGACCACAGAGAGACCAGAGAGAGACCAGAGAGAGACCAGAGAGAGACCAGAGAGAGACCAGAGAGAGACCAGAAAGATTTAAAACCAGAAACTAAAGAAGTTATCAAAACAACAATTATACTCAAAACAAACAACCTTTTAAACTTTAAAACATGTATTATATACTTTTGTACTGTGTGATTAATTATCTATGCGTCCTTGGGTTTCTTGAAAGACGCCATGAAATGAAATTATGAAAAATCTCTATAAAAATGAACATTAATTTGTAAAAACATTTAAAACAAAACTTGAAATCAAACAAAAGATTTAGCTCCAGCTACACTGGATTTGGTTCAATAAAACTCAATTGTGCGTCGGAGCTGCCTCCTCATGTCTCTGAGCAGCAGCAAGGTCACGCGTGTAGTCAAAACAAAAACAAAAGTCACCACTTGCATGTGAATTGGGTGAATTGGGTAGTTTAACTTAATAATATAATACTTTTACAGCCTAATTCTCTCTTTCTTTTTAGACGAAGTCTATAATCAATAATCACTTTTAACAGATTCTAATTTAAATGTTTGAAAAACGGCTTTTGTAACTAAAATAAAAAATACATGAAAAAATTCTCACAAACAGCTATGAAATATATCAGAGATACAATAATGGACTCACAAAATAAGCAGCAGATTTAAAAAGAAAAGCAAAGCTTTTTGTACTAATCTTTGGGTTTCAAAAACATACTAATTCAAAACTTCTATTCCCTAATGGTGTTTAAAAACGTTTAACTGTGTCTAACACAATGTTCAAATGGCAAATTTAGCAAATTTAACGGAATAACTACTATGAAAAGCCAAAAGTCCTAAAGCAGTAGCTCCCCTTTAAATCAGAGCAGCAGCTCAGCAGCAGCGAGGGCGGGGGGGTTCCTTTCACACAGACGCGCACACACAGGCAGAAAGATACAGAAGAAGAACTTTCAAGATTACTTTGTTAAGCGAATATAACTGATGTTGTTCTTTATACTTTTGTCATCCAAATCTAGAAGTGATCACTTTCCACACTTGTAACAAAAGGCACTCTTTAGTGTTTAACGTTTCCCTTTTTATAATTACTTTTAATTCACCATGGTTTCTCTCAAAGGGACTTTAACCCTGAAGCTTCTTCTCAAAGGGACTTTAACCCCGAGGCTTTTCTCAAAGGGACTTTAACCCCGAGGCTTTTCTCAAAGGGACTTTAACCCCGAGACTTTCTCAAAGGGACTTTAACCCCCGAGACTTTCTCAAAGGGACTTTAACCCCGAGACTTTCTCAAAGGGACTTTAACCCCGAGGCTCAAAGGGACTTTAACCCCGAGACTTTCTCAAAGGGACTTTAACCCCGAGGCTCAAAGGGACTTTAACCCCGAGACTTTCTCAAAGGGACTTTAACCCCGAGGCTCAAAGGGACTTTAACCCCGAGACTTTCTCAAAGGGACTTTAACCCCGAGGCTCAAAGGGACTTTAACCCCGAGACTTTCTCAAAGGGACTTTAACCCCGAGGCTCAAAGGGACTTTAACCCCGAGACTTCTTCAAAATACAATTTAGAGAGTTTGACAGACCCCAAAAAACACACCAAAATTTAGCTAATATCCAATTATGCAGACTTTACATATTAAAAAAGGTGTCTGCTTACCTTATTCTTGTCAAACCGGTTCCAAGGACTGTCCGAGAGGTCTGCCAACCTCTTTTCCGCGTCGGAATATTCAATTTAAAAAAACAAAAGTGACAGAAGCGACAAGAAGCATCCAGGAACAGCTCTTCCAGCCTGCTGGAATCTCCGCTCCCAGACACAGCATGCCGATCTCTCACGCAGAGGAAAAGAAACAGGAAATTCCCTCAAAACAATCCAGAGAATGGCACAAACCGAGCCGCGCATTCTCCACCAAATCTGTTAGGATTTAGCAGACAGAGACGGATCGTGGTGTGCCAAACTCTGGAAGTTTATTTACGTTGCTCTCAAGTTCCACTGGTTTCCTCTGTTTCTTTTCCTCAGACAGAATAAAGGCAGTACACAGTTTATATAGTCATTGTCACGTCACACATGGAAAGACATACGTGTCACAAAGAGACAGTCACATCATAGTCATAATAATCAGAGTCCTTGTAGAGTCCTTGTACAGTCCTGCACGTAGGCCATATTGCTATCTAATACTAATAGACCCTCTGCTAACATGCTAAAGCTAACCAAAGGACCCTCTGCTAACATGCTAAAGCTAACCAAAGGACCCTCTGCTAACATGCTAAAGCTAACCAAAGGACCCTCTGCTAATATGCTAAAGCTAACCAAAGGACCCTCTGCTAACATGCTAAAGCTAACCAAAGGACCCTCTGCTAACATGCTAAAGCTAACCAAAGGACCCTCTGCTAACATGCTATAGCTAACCAAAGGACCCTCTGCTAACATGCTAAAGCTAGCCAAAGGACCCTCTGCTAACATGCTAAAGCTAACCAAAGGACCCTCTGCTAACATGCTAAAGCTAACCAAAGGACCCTCTGCTAACATGCTAAAGCTAGCCAAAGGACCCTCTGCTAACATGCTAAAGCTAACCAAAGGACCCTCTGCTAACATGCTAAAGCTAACCAAAGGACCCTCTGCTAACATGCTAAAGCTAGCCAAAGGACCCTCTGCTAACATGCTAAAGCTAACCAAAGGACCCTCTGCTAACATGCTAAAGCTAGCCAAAGGACCCTCTGCTAACATGCTAAAGCTAGCCAAAGGACCCTCTGCTAACATGCTAAAGCTAGCCAAAGGACCCTCTGCTAACATGCTAAAGCTAGCCAAAGGACCCTCTGCTAACATGCTAAAGCTAGCCAAAGGACCCTCTAACACAGGCCTGGGGATGCAGGAAGCTAGTCCAGCTTTGTGATATCACACAATCACTAACAACAGTAAAGCGCTCACACGGAGAGTTTGATCAGTGTTTGAATATTTAGCCTTTACCTCCAGGACTATCGCGGTCACATTACAGTGAGACAGAAGAGCTGTTGTCGCGATATTGAACTGCTCGTGGTCGGCATTCGGCCCTACTATCTTCCACGGGAGTTCTCTCACATCGTCGCCATTATTGTTTACATTCCTCCTCGCGCGGAGCCGGAAACTGCGTGTGACGTCATTCAGGAAACAGTCGCTAAAATCCAGTCACAGCATTCAGAAGCATTGATGATAGTATCAGGGGAACCAAGTTGATGTGAGCCCACACCTGGGTGGCTTTACACAATATATAGATTGTCCAAACTAAGACACATCTTCGATCTTTGCTTCGTGAACGTGAAGAATGCCCATAGCGTAGTGGCAATGCCCCCCTCAGCAAGTCTGACCACAGTCTGATTGGTCTAAAGCCCATATATGGGCCTAATGGACAACAGAGGCCAGTGATGCTCTGAGGGACCAAAAGTTTGGACACCTTCTCATTCTAAGAGTTTTTTATTTTCATGATTATAAAACTGTAGACTGACACTGAGGGCCTCAAACCTATGATGAACTCATGTGAATTATGTCCGTAGTAAAAAAGTATGAACCAAGTGTAAACATGTGTTATATTCTGGTTCTTCAAAGTAGAACATTTTGCTCTGATACTGCTTCACTCTTGGCATTCTCTGGATGAGCTTCAACAGGACCTGAAATGGTCTTGAAGGAGTTCCCATGATGCTTAGCACTTGTTGGCCCCTTCACTCTGTGGTCCAGCCCCAAAACCATCTGAACTGGGTTCAGGTCCAAAACCATCTGGACCGGGTTCAGGTCCAAAACCATCTGGACTGGGTTCAGGTCCAAAACCATCTGGACTGGGTTCAGGTCCAAAACCATCTGGACCGGGTTCAGGTCCAAAACCATCTGGACTGGGTTCAGGTCCAAAACCATCTGGACTGGGTTCAGGTCCGGTCTCTCTCCTTATTGGTCAAACAGCCCTTTCACAGCCTGGTGCGGGTCTACAGCATTAGTCATGAAAAGAACTCAGTGAAGGAGAGAGGGTGTCCACACTTTTGATCTGTACTGTATGTGTGTAAATATGTGCATGTACATGTGTGTGTACATGTGTGTGTACATGTGTGTGTACATGTGTGTGTACATGTGTGTGTACATGTGTGTGTAAATATTTGTGTACATCATTGTGTGTAAATAACATGTGATTCAGTTCCGCCGGCGCCGCTCCTCGACGTGTCGTCCTGCTTCGTCAGAGATAACTCGCTCTTCGTCCAGTGGAGCTCCATCGACCAATCAGGAGCCACCTACGAGCTCCAGTACAGGAAGTGCGAGCGTGAGGCCCCACCCCCTGCTGCCGAGGCGCACTGGGAGACAGTCCGGGACATCAGGGAGACAAGCTGCACTGTCCCAGGTGTGTGTGTCTCTGTGTGTGTGTCTGTGTGTGTGTCTATGTGTGCGTGCGTGCGTGTGTGTGTGTTTATCTGTGTTTATGTGTGTGTGTCTGTGTGTGCGTGTGCGTGCGTGCGTGCGTGTGTGTGTGTGTGTGTGTGTTTATGTGTGTGTTACTTGTTGACAGGTCTGAGGTTCGATTCCCGCTTCCTGCAGCTCAGAGTTCGAGCTCGGAACAAAGCGTCTGCAGGAGACTACACTGACACATTACTGCTGCAGCCTGAGGGTGAGGAGGGACTGGTCTCTCTCTGGTCTCTCTCAGGTCTCTCTCTGGTCTCTCTCTGGTCTCTCTCTGGTCTCTGATGGTCTTCTGTGTTGCAGCGTTCCACTTCACTCTGGACTCGGTCTCGGCTCATCCAGACCTTAGTGTGGAGAGCTACAGTGCCACCTGGAGGCCGACACCAAGAGAGCCACGCGTGAAGAGCAGAGACAAGACCAGGTACTGGACCAGAGGGAGACTAGAATGAGATCAGCGTGAGACCAGAGGGAGACCCAGAATGAGACCAGAGAGAGACCAGAGGGAGACCCAGAATGAGACCAGAGAGAGACCAGAGAGAGACCAGAGAGAGACCAGAGAGAGACCAGAGAGAGACCAGAGTGAGACCAGAGAGAAACCAGAGAGAGACCGGAGAGAGACCAGAGAGAGACCAGAGAGAGACCAGAGTGAGACCAGAGTGAGACCAGAGAGAGACCGGAGAGAGACCAGAGAGAGACCAGAGAGAGACCAGAGAGAGACCAGAGTGAGACCAGAGTGAGACCAGAGTGAGACCAGAGTGAGACCAGAGTGAGACCAGAGTGAGACCAGAGTGAGACCAGAGTGAGACCAGAGTGAGACCAGAGAGAACCAGGAAAAATAAATTATAAATGTCTTCCCCAATGTCACGTTTACAGATGTTTGACTTCTGTCCCTTCACAGCTCCCGTAGCCTCGCAGGACACTCAGGTAGACCACACCCACCTCCATTGGCCAATCATGTGCCACTGCTGCTTTATTAACCCCGCCTCTCTCCACAGCTGCATTCTCATTGGCTGCTTCACGCTAACCGTTTCATTTGAATGTTTGAAGGATTAAACGAGTCCACGTGTGTCTGGTCTGGTCCGTGTGGGTCTGGTCCATGTGGGTCTGGTCCACGTAGATAATCCTTGAAACATTTGTTTTTCTTATTGTTTTTTTTTTTTTTAACAAAAACATTGTAGCTTCTCAACACGGTCATGACACCATCACAGTCTGTGTAATGAGTGCACAATGCTAACCGCTAACATTGCTAACAGTGCTAACAGCTAAAAAAGATAACAGCTAACAGTTGAGTGTTACAAGTGTAGCAGTGGTGGGAGTCTCAGAGCTCCTGATTGGCTCTAAGATCGTGATGTCAGATTAGCGTTAGCTGTTGCGAGTCACTTCTTATACAGACTGTCACACAGCACTCCCATTGGCTGCTCCAGTCACATGATCATCAGTCACACATGGCCCCTCCCCCCTCTCACACCTTTCTCACCCCTCTCTCCCCCTACCCCTGTCTCTCAGTGGGAGGAGCTCCACTCTGTCTCCGGTGAAGTCCCTCCGGGTGTCACGGGAGCGTTTTGCCGGAGAGTCGTACACGGTGCTCGGTGAGAAAAGCAGCTTCCTGTTTGTGCCTTTGAGTTCGACACTTACGCCCTGTCCAATAGGAGACCAGGAGATCTCAGGGGGCGGGCACTACTGGGAGGTGCGACCAATGGGAGACTGGAAGGTAGTGTCTGTGGGTGTGGCTTATCGCAGCGCTCTCAGCCGATTCGTCCAGCTGGGTAAAAGCCCCGCCTCCTGGAGCCTGAGCATCAGCCAATGGCTGCAGCCGTCTGTGAGCGCAAAACACAACAACAAGAACAAGAGCCTCGAGAGCAACGTGCCGTCGTGCGTCGGGGTCTACTGTCACCACGGCAACGGTAAACACTGCCCACTGTCACCACGGCAACGGTAAACACTATCCACTGTCACCACGGCAACGGTAAACACTGGCCACTGTGACCAAGGCAACAATAAACACTGGCCACTGTCACCACGGCAACGGTAAACACGGCCATCTGCCCATAGATGTGCAAAGAGTCATACGCCAAAATAGACCTGAACGAGACCTGAATGAGACCTGACGAGACTTTAACGAGACCTGAACGAGACTTGAACGAGACTTGAACGAGACCTGAACGAGACTTGAACGAGACTTGAACGAGACTTGAACGAGACCTGAACGAGACCTGAACGAGAAATGACGAGACCTGACAAGACTTGAACGAGACCTGAACGAGACCTGAACGAGACCTGGACGAGACCTGGACGAGACCTGGACGAGACCTGGACGAGACCTGGACGAGACCTGACGAGACCTGAACGAGACCTGAACGAGACCTGACGAGACCTGACGAGACCTGAACGAGACCTGGACGAGACCTGGACGAGACCTGGACGAGACCTGAACGAGACCTGAACGAGACCTGACGAGACCTGACGAGACCTGAACGAGACCTGAACGAGACCTGAACGAGACCTAACAAGGTCCTCTCTGACCTGCTCCGTCCAATCACACGTGTCTTTCTTGTCAGGTGACCTGCTCTTCCTGGACGTAGACCAGACTCGTCTCATTCATTCGTTCAGGACCAGATTCAAACATCCGCTGGTTCCCGCCTTCAGCGTGAGTTTGCACCAATCACAGATCAGATAACAGAGCGGCCAATCAGAGCGTAGTATGAAGGCGTTTCGTCTGTGCAGGTCTGGTGTGGAGGCGTCGCCGTGGAGACGGGACTCCAGGTGCCAAGTGTTATCAGCCACTTCCTGCCACTGGCCCCGCCCTCTGACCAGGCCCCTCCCCCTGAGCAGGCCACGCCCCCTGGCCATGTCACGCCCCCTGATCAGGCCCCGCCCCCTGACTCCCCTATTACCCCTCCAGACCAGAGTCCAGACTCAGACCAGAGTCCAGACTCAGACTAAGGTCCAGACTCAGACTGAGGTCCAGACTCAGACTAAGGTCCAGACTAAGGTCCAGACTCTGATCCTTTATGAACTTGTGCGTTGTGTTTTAAATCACTTCAATGAAGTTTGTGAAATGATTTTTCTCATGTTGTCGTGAAGAGGGAGCAGCGTCTGCAGTCAGAGCTCTCCGTCCCCTCCCTCTCCTAGTCATGAGGGAGCAGCGTCTGCAGCCAGTCAGAGCTCTCCGTCTCTCAGCTCTGATCCAATGAGTTTCCTTCACAGAGTGGCTGCAGGTTGAGGAGCTCTCAGTGGAGCCGCTGCTCCTTCAGGTGGAGCTGACCCAGAGGGAGACCCAGGATTATATGTTTCAGAGTTTTATGGCATTTCTGGTGTTTGTTTGTGACTAAATATTAATATTAATATTATTATTAATAATAAAATCATATTATTTTATTCCTTATTCCTATGTCCTGGTTTTTCCTTTGATCAAAGCATCACATTATCACAGAGCATCATCACAGAGCATTATCACATTATCACAGAGCATCATCACAGAGCATCATCACAGAGCATTATCACAGAGCATCATCACAGAGCATTATCACAGAGCACAGAGCATCATCACAGAGCATTATCACAGAGCATCATCACAGAGCATCATCACAGAGCATTATCACAGAGCATCATCACAGAGCATCATCACAGAGCATTATCACAGAGCATCATCACAGAGCATCATCACAGAGCATCATCACAGAGCAGCTCTAAAGGCCTCTGTCCCTGCAGTGCCCGCTCCGACCGCAGATGGCGCTGTTGCTCTGAGTGCTCTTCCGCCTCCTCTGTCTGTGGGTGAGAGGTCAGAGTCAAACTGTGTCCCCGAGACTTCACCCCGAACCAGGCGTAGAACCAGGACCAGGACCCAAACCCAGACCAGGACCGGGACCAGGACCCGACCACACGGCACCATGCTGCAGAACACAGGGTGAGTCCGAGACTCTGCTGTTAAAGCTGAGACACGTAACTTTAAGACCACAGCACATTCCTCTGAGCAGGACTAAGGCAGGTCTAAAGCAGGTCTAAAGCTGGAGGTCTAAAGCTGGACTAAAGCAGGTCTAAAGCTGGACTAAAGCTGGACTAAAGCAGGTCTAAAGCAGGTCTAAAGCTGGACTAAAGCTGGACTAAAGCAGGTCTAAAGCAGGTCTAAAGCTGGACTAAAGCAGGTCTAAAGCAGGACTAAAGCTGGACTAAAGCTGGACTAAAGCAGGTCTAAAGCAGGTCTAAAGCTGGACTAAAGCAGGGTCTAAAGCAGGTCTAAAGCTGGACTAAAGCAGGTCTAAAGCTGGACTAAAGCAGGTCTAAAGCTGGACTAAAGCAGGTCTAAAGCAGGTCTAAAGCTGGTCTAAAGCTGGACTAAAGCTGGACTAAAGCAGGTCTAAAGCAGGTCTAAAGCTGGACTAAAGCTGGACTAAAGCAGGACTAAAGCAGGTCTAAAGCTGGACTAAAGCTGGACTAAAGCAGGACTAAAGCAGGTCTAAATCAGGACTAAAGCAGGTCTAAATCAGGACTAAAGCAAGTCTAAATCAGGACTAAAGCAAGTCTAAATCAGGACTAAAGCAGGTCTAAAGCTGGACTAAAGCAGGACTAAAGCAGGTCTGAAGCAGACACATACATGGCTGTTTTGTTTAATAAATCTGCTTCGTTATTAAATATGGGCCGGTCTGTCTGCCTCATACAAAACACATGTTTATGAGAAGTGTAAATCCGTTGAGAATTGTTCGAGGGGGCGCGTGTTCCCGCGGGGCACCTGCTGTATGTACTCGAACGGGATTCCGCCACCTCAGCGGCCGCAGTGTTCTGGGGCATCTGCGGCCGCTTTGTAATGCGGCTGCAAGAGGCTGTGAGCGTCCAGCCGCTCGCAGCCGCTCCACCGTGTTGTGGCTGAGCGCGCAGCCTCATCGTGGCCATGTACCCAACCCCATAAACGCGCACAGGACCATGCGTGTCTTTGAGTAATCTGTGCACCCAATAAATACACTGCAGCAGGAAACAGTCCGCGTCTCCCCTCTCCTCTCGAAGCGCGATTAAACACCCTAAATAAAGCTCTGATACCTACATTTTGCATTGCATTAAAAGTTCATGTTTGAGCCCAAAAGTAATATGTTGTCAAAAGCGCCTCATTTGTATTTAAAGAGACAGCACCAAAACAGGTTGCTCTCAGACGCACCTCAGAACAGGTGTAGAAGAAAGGCCCGTGGAGCTACAAATAATGAGACTCAGACCCAGGCATTGCAGTTACGCTTTATATAGGCCACAAATTAATGATTTAGATGTAAAAATCAATTATTTGAAAACACGATATGTCCACTTTAAATGCTTATTTTTATGCTTATTTTTGTTTTTCTGTAATGTCTTTCTTATCTGGACTTCGTGTCTATAATAAAGTTTAATATATTTCCCCATTGTGTCCTTAGCTTCGCATTCGAGGCACATTAAGTCCTCATTATTACTACATGTATTGACTCCTTTATCACGCTCGGGTTTCGGTGAGCTGTAGATTTTGGATCAGAACCAGTAGATTTGGCCAAAGTTGGTGTTTCGGGACCTGTGGCGCCTGGCAGGAGTGTGTTGGGGAAAAAGGCTTCGCTGCAGCTCAATGGGGAATGTACAGAATGTTCCGTAGATTGTGACGTCATCCGTACGTACCGGAGAACACGGTCCGAGCCGAATGGAAGACCGGCTCGTGGTGTGTAACCGGTGGAAGCGGGTTGGTTCCGGTACAGCGTAAATCTCGCGATATTTGGTGTTTTGTGTAAAAGCGCACGGAATCTCTGGGGAGTCTCGTGTTCCGTGCGGAGTAGGGCGAAGGTGACGGTCGCCGGTCTGACGGGTTTACCGTGACCTCTGACACGTAACCTCTGACACGTGACTGAAACGGCATCGTTCAAGGTGCATCTGATCTTCTGACAGAATATGAAAATATTTAAAACGTGTGTGTGTGTGTGTGTGTGTGTGTGTGTGTGTGTGTGTGTGCACTTGTTTTCAACTCCTGGTGGGTTCCATAACCTGAGATTCCACTCACGTCATGGGGACTGGTTTTACGTGGTGGGGCCCGAACACCGGACCCCACTGGTCCAAGCTTAATAATCAATGGGTAATGCTTTTCTAACGGTCCTTATGCAGTCTCTGTAAAAATATGGAAAGGACCCCTGGAGGTTTACTTTCCTGAAAAAAGTGTGTTATGTGTCGGAACCCTGGTGGTGGGTTGCGGGATATCAAGGAGGGGCACACTGGGGCAATTTCAGTCCAGCAGGCTGGAGCCAATCATGGAGCAGCACAACAGAGGAAATCAGGTGTCAGGCTAGAAAAGGTGCAAGTGTGTGGTTCATTAGGCTGCAGCCAATCACAGAGCAGCACACTGAAGCGCACGCTTACAAACCACTGGTAAGTGCTGACTACAAGTCATGACTTCAAATTGTTATATAGAGATGATTACAAATTATTTGTTGTTTGTGCAGCTTAGTCAAGAGTCCCTAATTGATGAAGTCGACTCAGATTCTGACGATTTAACTGTCAAGAAGAAACCTGTAAAAAAGTATGGAAAAAGAAAAATCAAAAACACTTTTCTTCAAGACTCGGAAAGTGACGAACCAAAGGCCATTTCCAGGCTAAACCAGGCTAAACCAGGTAGAAGTAGGGTCCAGTCCCTCTGCTCCCTAGCCCAGCCTGTACCGGAGGGCATCAGCAAAAAGCTGTGGTCTTTAATTTGGGCAATGCATCAGGATGAGGTCACGGGTGTTGTCAAAGCAGAAAAGGGGATTCTGAGACTCGGAGAGCACCTGTACTTAAAACACGGGCATGATAAGACTAAGCATGATTACATTAGGCAGAAAATGAGAGAAGTCGGTAGGTTAATTAACGAAGCAAAAACCGCAGGGAAACTGAAAACAATTAAGGATTTCTTTATTCCTTCCAACTTTAACCATGTGATTGATGCAGTCAGGTCTGTGGCTGGATATGATGAGGAAACAAATCAATACAAGACTCCATCCTTGGCCCTCAAACTCGGCCATAGCCTCAGAAAGCTAGCAGATATTCTTGAATGTGACTCAAAAATGGAGCATTGTGTTGATGAACTATTTATTAAAAACCTCCAACGAAGCCGGCTGCTTTTTGAGAAGAGGTGGGACGTCTGTGTTTCTTCTGCTGCCCTACAGACCCTCCGGCAAGCCAAGTGGAACACTCCGGACCTGCTCCCTCTGACTGAGGACGTTAGAGCCATGCATGCACATATTGAGGTATGTCGACCTGAATATGTGCAAACCCTAATAAGTGAGCCAACGTCTAAGCATTGGTCTAAACTGGCAGTTTTGACTCTTTGTGAGGTCATTATTTTCAATCGAAGAAGGGAAGGTGAGGTTTCAAAGATGCCACTGACAGCCTTTACCTTAAGAAGTAAGACTGGGATCCATTCTGACATTGCTCTGGGACTGTCCCAACTTGAGAAAACTTGGAGAACCTTCAACCATTCATCCAGATGCACCCCATGGTAGTGGCAGTGCCCCTTCTGGTAAGTGTACCAGGTGGGGGATTACAGCCAGGCTGCTTGGTCCTAACCCTGGGAGTGTATATTGCTAATATATTTTTATTTCTCTCCCTAGAACGTGTAAGAAAGCCATGGTCTGCATCTGAGGTGAAGGCTGTGGAGAAGACCATGACACCTTTCATACAGACTGGAAAGGTCCCTGGGAAGTCTCACTGCCTGGCCTGCATTAATGCCTCACCAGATGACCTTAGACATCGGACATGGAGTGGCATTAAATTCTATGTCAAAAATAGAATCACTGCAATTCGAAAAAAAAATCTAAAATAAAATTCCTTTAAAAGAGTTGTTTGGTTTCTATTGACTGTTTTGTATTACTTAAAGTAGTCCCAGTAAAAAAAGATTATGTCTATGGGTCCCATTCTGAACGGCCCTGTCAAAGGGACCCACCAGGTAACAAAAACGTGTGTGTGTGTGTGTGTGTAGGAAGCTAGCTGGTGTCACTCTCTTCATCACTGGTGCCAGTCGTGGTATCGGTAAAGCCATCGCTCTGAAGGCGGCAAGAGACGGAGCCAACATCGTCATCGCCGCCAAGACGGCGGAGGCCCACCCCAAACTGCCAGGAACCATCTACACCGCGGCAGAGGAAGGTACTGTTACTGATGATACTAATGATACTTTCCTACACTCTGATGAACGTTCAGGGGGAGGGCATTGAGCAGAGACAGCTTCAACTACCTGTGTCCACATTAACAATAAACTGGACTGGTCCATAATACCAACGCCCTGTTCAAGAAGGAGGTGAGGGACAGGAGGCCCCTGGACTCTGTGGAGGAGGTGAGGGACAGGAGGCCCCTGGACTCTGTGGAGGAGGTGAGGGACAGGAGGCCCCTGGACTCTGTGGAGGAGGTGAGGGACAGGAGGCCCCTGGACTTTGTGGAGGAGGTGAGGGACAGGAGGCCCCTGGACTCTGTGGAGGAGGTGAGGGACAGGAGGCCCCTGGACTCTGTGGAGGAGGTGAGGGACAGGAGGCCCCTGGACTCTGTAGAGGAGGCGAGGGACAGGAGGAGTCAAAGCCACCTCCTTCATGGACAACACCTCCTGCACAGGACTGAGGAGGAGCTGAGGAGCTCCTTCAGTGTAAGAAGGAGCAGGGCCTTTATCCCCACTGCTGTCAGACTGTACAATAAGTCACTTTCAGTCACTAATGCAGCAGGACTGAAGAACCTGCACAGACTTTAACCTTTAACATGTCTCACACTTCTGTCTTTGGCACAGAGTGATGTCACATGTTTCACTGACAGATCAATAAAGTTTATCTGATCTTACTGATGCTGTTACTGCTTAGCGAGCTGTATGTAGGCGGAGCTAACCCTCTCTCTCCTCTGATTGGTAGTTGCTTCAGTGGGCGGGCTAACCCTCTCTCTCTGATTGGTAGTTGAGGCGGCGGGGGGCAAGGCTCTCCCCTGTGTGGTTGACATCAGGGACGAGCAGCAGATCGGAAACGCCGTGAAGAAGGCTGTGGACACGTTTGGAGGTAACCATGGCAACGGCTCACTCTTTCCTACTCTCTGATTGGCTGAGCTCACCCTGTCCTGCTCTCTGATTGGCTGCAGGCATCGACATCTTGGTGAATAATGCCAGTGCCATCAGTTTAACCGGAACGTTAGAGACGCCCATGAAGAAAGTGGACCTGATGCTCGGGATCAACCTGAGAGGAACCTACCTCACGTAAGGATCCCTGATGCTACTGACACTACTGCTGCTACTGATGCTACTGCTGCTACTGCTGCTGCTACTACTGACGCTACTGACGCTACTGACGCTACTGATACTACTGACACTACTGCTGCTACTGATGCTACTGCTGCTACTGATGCTACTGCTGCTGCTACTACTGACGCTACTGACGCTACTGACGCTACTGATACTGATACTACTGACACTACTGCTGCTACTGATGCTACTGAGGCTATTGACGCTACTGCTGCTACTGACGCTACTGCTGCTACTGATGCTACTGATGCTACTGACGCTACTGCTGCTACTATTGCTACTGAGGCTATTGACGCTACTGCTGCTACTGACGCTACTGCTGCTACTGATGCTACTGATGCTACTGATGCTACTGATGCTACTGCTGCTACTGACGCTACTGCTGCTACTGATGCTACTGACTGCTGCTACTGCTGCTACTGACGCTACTGCTGCTACTGCTGCTACTGACGCTACTGCTGCTACTGATGCTACTGATGCTACTGATGCTACTGATGTTACTGCTGCTACTGCTGCTACTGACGCTACTGCTGCTACTGATGCTACTGACGCTACTGCTGCTACTGCTGCTACTGACGCTACTGCTGCTACTGATGCTACTGATGCTATTGATGCTACTGATGTTACTGACGCTACTGCTGCTACTGCTGCTACTGCTGCTACTGACGCTACTGCTGCTACTGATGCTACTGACGCTACTGCTGCTACTACTGCTACTGATGCTACTGACGCTACTGACGCTACTGCTGCTACTGATGCTACTGACGCTACTGACGCTACTGCTGCTACTACTGCTACTGATGCTACTGATGCTACTGCTGCTACTGACGCTACTGCTGCTACTGATGCTACTGACGCTACTGACGCTACTGCTGCTACTGACGCTGCTACTGCTGCTGCTGACGCTACTGATGCTGCTAATGTGGTGTACACTCTGACACCAGAGTGTTTTCGTCGTACAGTCTGACAGTGTGTTTGTCGTACAGTCTGACAGTGTGTTTGTCGTACAGTCTAACAGTGTGTTTGTCGTACAGTCTGACAGTGTGTTCGTCGTACAGTCTGACAGTGTGTTCGTCGTACAGTCTGACAGTGTGTTCGTCGTACAGTCTGACAGTGTGTTCGTCGTACAGTCTGACAGTGTGTTCGTCGTACAGTCTGACAGTGTGTTCGTCGTACACTCTGACAGGTCTAAGCTGGTCCTTCCTCACCTGCTGAAGTCTCGGTTCACTCCTCACATCCTGAACCTGTCTCCTCCTCTGAACCTCAACCCCATGTGGTTCAAGAACCACACAGGTACACACACTAACACACACTATACACTCTAACATACACTATATACACACACACTAACACACACTAACACACACTAACACACACTAACACATACTAACACATACTAACACATACTAACACACACTAACACACACTAACACACACTATACACACACTATATACACACACACTAACACACACTAACACACACTAACACACACTAACACACACTATACACACACTATATACACACACACTAACACACACTAACACACACTAACACACACTAACACACACATACTAACACAAATACTAACACACACACTATACACACACTATACACACTATATACACACACATACTAACACACACACTATACACACACTATACACACACACACTATACACACACTAAGACACACTGAGACACACACTACGCTTTTTTGTTTTAGTCACATCATTATTATTTCTCTCCAAACACGGTGGTGATAAACTACTGTAGCCACAGCTGCCCTGGGGCACACTGACAGAAGCGAGGCAACCAGTCTGTGCCATTCACAAACACCAGACTCATTCTAGGCAATGGGGGTGAAGTGTCTTGCCTAAGGATACAACGGCAGTTTGGCACTTTACAGCCGCCCCACTGTGGCACCTGCTGTTCCACCTGCTGCTCTACCTGCTGCTCCACCTGCTGCTCCACCTGCTGATCCACCTGCTGATCCACCTGCTGATCCACCTGCTGCTCCACCTGCTGCTCCACCTGCTGCTCCACCTGCTGCTCCACCTGCTGATCCACCTGCTGATCCACCTGCTGCTCCACCTGCTGCTCCACCTGCTGCTCCACCTGCTGCTCCACCTGCTGCTCCACCTGCTGATCCACCTGCTGCTCCACCTGCTGCTCCACCTGCTGCTCCACCTGCTGCTCCACCTGCTGCTCCACCTGCTGCTCCACCTGCTGCTCCACCTGCTGCTCCACCTGCTGATCCACCTGCTGATCCACCTGCTGATCCACCTGCTGATCCACCTGCTGCTCCACCTGCTGATCCACCTGCTGCTCCACCTGCTGATCCACCTGCTGCTCCACCTGCTGCTCCACCTGCTGCTCCACCTGCTGCTCCACCTGCTGCTCCACCTGCTGATCCACCTGCTGATCCACCTGCTGATCCACCTGCTGATCCACCTGCTGATCCACCTGCTGCTCCACCTGCTGCTCCACCTGCTGCTCCACCTGCTGATCCACCTGCTGTTCCACTGATATCTGCTGTCGTTGTGTCCTCGGGCAAGACACTTAACCTCTCTGGGGAGTCGGTGGAGAAAGTCTTGAGTTGGACTTGAACCCACGACACTAACACACACTATACATACACTAACATACCCACACACACTGTATACACACACGCTGTATACACACACTGTATACACACACACGCTGAGCATCTGCAACATGCATCATTCACTTCCGGTTGTGTACTTTCTGTTTACATACTTCCTGTTTGTATACTTCCTGTTTACATACTTCCTGTTTACATACTTCCTGTTTGTGTACTTCCTGTTCAGCGTACACCATGGCCAAATATGGCATGTCTATGTGCGTCCTGGGGATGGCCGAGGAGTTCAAAGGTCAGATTGCTGTCAACGCACTATGGCCCCGAACCGGTAAGAGCCACACACATACTCTAGGCTAATGCTAACTACCCAACACCAGGCTAATGCTAACTGTGCACAACACCCATGGATCTATAATAATAACTGGATAGAGTATTACTAGCTTACAGCTGTCCCACCCATGGCCACAGGGGGCGCTGTGGTACTGCAGACTAAATTCACGAGGGCTACCCAGAAAAAGTCCCATAGATCTCAATGTAAACTAAAACAGCTCGATCTCAGCTGACAGAGAACCTGACAGAGGACCTGACAGAGGACCTGACAGAGGACCTACAGCTTTCATAAAGATCGGATCCACACTTTACTGCCACAAACTCTGCTCCTTTCCTTCCCGCTCTGACTCCGTTCTTCCGCTGCTCTGATGATCAGCTCTGATTGGTCAGAGCGCGGCCGGGCCCCTCTGTGCACGTGCATGAAAGCCACACACACACGTTTGGCGCAATGCATGACGGGAGATATCTCCCATCATGCGTTACGCTAATCCACTGCGCAGAACCGGGAGGACCAGACAATGCCCAAATATGGGCGAGTTCAGCTAACCTCCCGGTCTCCGTGAAGTCCCATGCGCTACTGAGCACAAGCCATTCATTTGAATAGGCCGCCATCTTGGATCACCGGGGCTTGACAACACCAGGCTAACGCTATCTGTACACAACACCAGGCTAACGCTAGCTGTACACAACATCAGGCTAAGGCTAACTGAGCACAACGCCAGGCTAACGCTAACTATACACCAGAGCCTGCAGGTTCTAGGGATGACGTATCAGTTTTTCTCTGTGGTTTCCGTAGCGATCCAGACTGCCGCCATGGACATGCTGGGCGGAGAGGGCGTGGGCAAACAGTGCCGTACGGCCGACATCATGGCGGACGCAGCGTACGCCGTGCTCCTCAAACCCGCGGCATTCACTGGACACTTCCTCATCGACGACGACGTGCTGCGAGCCGAGGGCATCAAGGACTTCGACAAGTACGCTGTCCAGCCAGGTAAGCCCCGCCCACATCCAGGTAAGCCCCGCCTACAAAGGGGACATGCCCACATAAGGCCCCTCCACCTCAGGGCTTTCTCTGGTCTCTTTCTCTCTGGAGTCTCTCTCTCTGGAGTCTCTTTCTCTGGAGTCTCTCTCTCTGGAGTCTCTTTCTCTGGAGTCTCTCTCTCTGGAGTCTCTCTCTCTGGAGTCTCTCTCTCTGGAGTCTCTCTCTCTGGAGTCTCTCTCTCTGGAGTCTCTCTCTCTGGAGTCTCTCTCTCTGGAGTCTCTCTCTCTGGAGTCTCTCTCTCTGGAGTCTCACCAGGGACCAGTGAACATCAGTTATTTATGATTTTAAAGAATGTGTCATCAGTATAAAAATGTTCTGTTCTCTGATTGGCTGTAGGACATCCTCTTCTTCCTGACTTCTTCTTGGATGAGACGTCTCCAGAGGGACTGGTCCAGACGATGGAGGAACACGGTGAGAACCACACAACATTCTAAAAGTTAGTCCCGGCCCTGGTCTCTGTCCTGGTCTCTGTCCTGGTCTCTGTCCTGGTCTCTGTCCTGGTCTCTGTCCTGGTCTCTGTCCTGGTCTCTGTCCTGGTCTCTGTCCTGGTCTCTGTCCTGGTCTCTGTCCTGGTCTCTGTCCTGGTCTCTGTCCTGGTCTCTGTCCTGGTCTCTGTCCTGGTCTCTGTCCTGGTCCCTGTCCTGGTCCCTGTCCTGGTCCCTGTCCTGGTCCCTGTCCTGGTCCCTGTCCTGGTCCCTGTCCTGGTCCCTGTCCTGGTCCCTGTCCTGGTCCCTGTCCTGGTCCCTGTCCTGGTCTCTAGCTCGGTCTCTAGCTCGGTCTCTAGCTCGGTCTTTAACTCGGTCTCTCTCTTTGCTGCAGGAGCCACCCCCGCCTTTAAGCCCGCCTCCCAGGCTCCGGCCTCTTCCTCTGGACCAATCGAAAGCACTTTTGACGTAATTCGAGCGTCAATCAACGAAGATGTGGTCAAGTCTACAAAGGGACTGTACCGCTTCGACCTCACTGGTAAGAACAGGGCCGAGATCGGGCTCAGACCAGTGCCGAGACCTGGGGTAAAACCGGAGCCAGGGCCTGGCAGACTGTGGAGTCTTAACCCGGTCTGAACCCTGGTCTGAACCTTGGTCTGAACTGGTCTCTTTAGGGGAGAACAGTGGAGTCTGGTTCTTGGACCTGAAGTCTGGAGCAGGCAGCGCCGGAGCCGGGGAGCCGACTGATAAAGCCGACGTCGTCATGACGATGGATTCTGCCGACTTCAGCAAGATGTTTGCAGGTGAGGGGCGGGGCTTACAGAGGGAAATGTCTGTGTAGATATGTATGTGTTACAGGAAGGGAAAAGTCCATATTTGGTCATATGCATAGAGCGTCTATCAGGCGTGGACTGACGGTGTGTGACATCACCACAGTGTGACATCACCACAGTGTGACATCACCACAGTGTGACATCACCACAGTGTGACATCACCACAGTGTGACATCACCACAGTGGCCTTAATACATAATCTGCCATCAGGCATTTGTTCTGATGCCGTAAGCTCAGCGCAGTAACAGGGGCAGATGTTTCTAAAACGGTTGCTAAGGAAATGTCGAGAGAAATGTCTAAGAAAATCTCTCCCTGAATAAAGGCCTCTGATTGGTCAGTCCTAATGAGGCTCATAAAGTCACAAGTAAACGCCAGGAGCACATTGACATGTAAGTCAATAGGAGCCAAACTCTACCATGAGCACTTCACTATTGGGCATCAGTGAGCTAGCGGGTTAGCAGTGAGCTAGCGGGTTAGCCTTGTCCTTCTGTACACAGTCTGGTTTCTGTTTCAGGGAAGCTGAAGCCCACGCTGGCCTTCATGTCGGGGAAGCTGAGGATCAAAGGCGACATGACGATGGCCATAAAACTGGAGAAACTCATGTCATGGATGAACAAGGCCAAACTGTGACCACGCCCCCCACACCAGACTGGTCATGCCCACTATAACGAGTGGAGCTGATGGGTCCTTGTTTGTGTCTTGATTTTTAACCACAATAATATGAAAATGAGAAGTGGCAGGAGTCAGAGCGCAGAGCGGTGAAAACATATTTTCAACAGAATTTAGTTTGTGATCTGGGTCTCTACAGCCACTGGTTGGGCTAGCATACTAGCATGTTAGCGTCTTAACGTTTTATATTACGGTGTTAGCATATTGGAATGGAGGCTGTTGTTCTGGTAACTGGTAGAGCGTCCTGATTCAGATTCACAGCCTACGTTTCAGGCTTCTGACACAGTATCGGGATTTTAGGATGTATTAATGACACTCAAAATGGCCGCCGCAGTCGCCACGGCAACACTCTGGCTCCGCTCCTTCGCCTTACTCTGCAGAACGAGATTCAAGCGAGATTGTACCAATGGGTGAGAGCCTTCTGTCGCTTTCATCTTTCTGTAATACAATGTAAAAAGTAAATTTCTTTAATAAACAAGTTTGGACAATGAATACTTTGCTGGCCATAGACCCAGGACCGAGGCTGTAGACCCAGGACCGAGGCTGTAGACCCGGGACCGAGGCTGTAGACCCGGGACCGAGGCTGTAGACCCGGGACCGAGGCTGTAGACCCGGGACCGAGGCTGTAGACCCGGGACCGAGGCTGTAGACCCGGGACCGAGGCTGTAGACCCGGGACCGAGGCTGTAGACCCGGGACCGAGGCTGTAGACCCGGGACCGAGGCTGTAGACCCGGGACCGAGGCTGTAGACCCGGGACCGAGGCTGTAGACCCGGGACCGAGGCTGTAGACCCGGGACCGAGGCTGTAGACCCAGGACCGAGGCTGTAGACCCAGGACCGAGGCTGTAGACCCAGGACCAAGGCTGTAGACCCAGGACCAAGGCTGTAGACCCAGGACCGAAGCTGTAGACGTCATTATAGTTTACAGTTTCAGGACCGAGCAGTTGATGTCAAATTACTTTATGCAAAAGAGAATTCTGGAAAGGTTTGCTTTTTTTTTATTCACAATCACAATATTCATAAATTAAAGACTTTTTTTTGGGTCAAAACACAAACTTTACACCAACATGGATCAGAAACATCGCAAGGACTCCAGTTACAAACACATTTTCATTTAGAAGCCTACACACAGAGGACACACTCTAGACCCTTTGTGGACTAAAACCAGATCTCACCAGGTGCTTCCAGAATTTGTTCAAAATGTGGCTTAACGATAGAATCTTCACTAGTGACCGCTTCTGATCTCACTCCAGCGGCAGACAGCAAATCTGAAGAAAATGTGGTTGTAATTCAGCCTTTTATCTGCAATTGTCCCAGTCACGCACCCACAACAGAGGACACACTCTAGACCTGGTCTCTGCTCTCCAGTCCCCTCAAGCCTCAAACAAACATCCACAACAGAGGACACAACCTAGACCTGGTCCCGTGGTCTCTAGCCCTGGACCCTGTAGTTGAGGTGCAGCTCGGGCTGGATGTCGCACACCCGCTTGAGCAGCTCGCTCAGCACGGTGTCCTTGTTCCCTTTGAAACTGGCCTGGATCCGGTTCATCCGCTCAGCCGTGTCGCGGTCCACCTCCACTGCGCTGTTACCGTGGGAACCCAGAGCCTGCCGCACACGTCACAAGTTAGAAAGACTGGAGAGGACCAGGAGAGGACCAGGACAACACTAGGAGAAAGACTGGAGAGGACCAGGACAACACTAGGAGAAAGACTGGAGAGGACCAGCATAACACTAGGAGAAAGACAGCAGTAGTACTAGCAGCAACAGTATTTGCAGTAGCAGTAGTATTAGCAATAGTCCTAGTATTAGTATACGAGTAATTTCGTCCTCACCGCGGCCTCTTTGGTCTTGAAGTCCTTCTCTCGCTGCAGACGGTACTGTTCGATCTCCGCTTGAGCTTCTTCTTTCGCTTGTTTCAAACGGCGGTTTTTACCTAAAAACACACATCATGATCAGCAGAAGCCGCTGAGGGTCGGGGGGAGGGCCGGGTCTCCCCGGGAGCACACTCACGCTTGCGGGCCTCTGCGACCTTCTCTGCGGCTCTCTTCTCCGCCTGCAGCAGCTGCTGAATGCCCTGGGACTGGGACGCCATCACGGAGACCTGGAGCACCTGGAGAAACCCTGTAGAGGACCGTAAAACACCGAGGAGCTGCGGGACACGACAGAGATCTATAGGCAGCAGCAGCAGGAGGAGGAGGAGTGATGAAGAGACAGAAGGTTAGAGCTGCAGTCACCTGACACACGTCACGTGGTCAGCTGATCTGGTCACGAGTCTTCTGACGTTTATATTTATGTTCATGTTTATATTTGTGGCTGTTTACGTGAATGTATAGATATGTTATGTATTATACATGTATGTGTATGTGTCGTATACCAGCCTCAAATAAATATTCATTCCTCTCCATGTATGATGGTATGTTTTTTATGATAACAACAATAATAATTATAGGATTACTAATATAATTATTCTATGTATGATTAGGAAAATTATGATCTATTTTTACTCTTATAACCTGTTTGCACCGTGAGCCAAAGCAGGTTCGTGACTTCCTGTTTATTCCAGAAGATGATTCTAAAACACTCCTATTGCACTGAAACGTGTTTTTATCCTTAAACTCAGAAACATAAATGACACGTGCGCTTCATACTTTTATAAACATTTAACGACATTGTCCTCTTCGTTCACAGCGGAACCTTTACTCCCCCTGACTGTTTTTCTCGGTCACTTCCGGTCCGTCCCCGGTGCAACAGCTGTTGTGTTCCCCCTCCTCTGATCCCAGTGCTACACGTGCGTCTCCGTCAAAACCGTTAAACCTGTGATTATCGTTATAACCGTTATACCCGTTCAGCATGACGTCACAGGGAGGTGGGAGCGCGCTATTCTCTGGGATGCGCGTGCTCGGGCTTTACGCGAATCACGTGCCGCACGCGCTCCGTTTCCACCGTAAACACCGGGAGTTCTACGTGACGGCGTCGGTGGGTCGCAGCCTGCACACGTACAACGTAAGAACCGTATGACTGTACTATACTACTGTGTTACTGTACTATACTACTGTGTTACTGTACTATACTACTGTGTTACTGTACAATACTACTGTGTCACTGTACAATACTACTGTGTCACTGTACAATACTACTGTATCACTGTACAATACTACTGCGTCACTGTACTATACTACTGTGTTACTGTACTATACTACTGTGTTACTGTACTATACTACTGTGTTACTGTACTATACTAGTGTACTATACTACTGTGTTACTGTACTATACTACTATGTCACTGTACTATACTACTGTGTTACTGTACTATACTACTGTGTTACTGTACTATACTAGTGTACTATACTACTGTGTACTATACTACTATGTCACTGTACTATACTACTGTGTTACTGTACTATACTACTGTGTTACTGTACAATACTACTGTGTCACTGTACTATACTACTGTGTCACTGTACTATACTACTGTGTTACTGTACTATACTACTGTGTCACTGTACTATACTACTGTGTTACTGTACTATACTACTGTGTTACTGTACTATACTAGTGTACTATACTAATGTGTTACTGTACTATACTACTGTGTTACTGTACTATACTACTATGTCACTGTACTATACTACTGTGTTACTGTACTATACTAGTGTACTATACTACTGTGTTACTGTACTATACTAGTGTACTATACTAATGTGTTACTGTACTATACTACTGTGTTACTGTACTATACTACTGTACTATACTACTGTGTTACTGTACTATACTACTGTGTTACTGTACTATACTACTGTATTACAATACGACTGTGTCACTGTACAGTACTGAGTTAAAAAGCATTGCACATCTAGAAACTGAAAGCTTTGCCCATTCCTCTGGACAAAACAGCTCTTTTAGAGGAGGGTATTTGTGACAAACACTAAAGTCAGGATGTGTGTGTTTCAGGTCAGCCGCCTCGGGATCGTGGCCGTCAGTGAGTATCAGTAACACCAGGACTGGACCAGACCAGACCAGTTTTGTTTGGGTCGAATGAAACAAACTCTGAATGAGCATAACATTGTGGAATGTTTTGAGGCTTACATCATGCTAACAGTGGGTTAGCGTTGTTCAGTATGCTTAGAAAATAAAGGAAAGCTCGGAGAAGAGCCGCTTCTCCAGTTTCATTATTGTTCACATGTGAGAAGACGAGTGATCACTGATCTCCCTCTGTGTCCTGCTGTCTGATTGGCTGTCCCTGTTGCTAGGTAACAGTCTGTCAGAGGACATCTCATGTTTGGCCGCAGACCGCTTGTTGGTTTTCGCCGCCGCTGGACGTGAGATCAGCGCCTTCGCCAGGAACAAAGAGGTACTGCAGCTCCCGAGACCAGAGTGAGACCAGAGTGAGACCTTTTCATACTGAACTGTAGAGCATGGAGGAGAGAGAACAAGCATTCAACAGAAGTCTGTCCTCATGTTGTTGTTGTTGTTGTCCTCAGGTGGTCCACTGTTACCGTGGACACCAACAGGAAGTGCGCCTGTTACTTCCTCTGGGCGATCAGCTGATCTCTGCAGACGCTGGCGGTGATGTCATCGTGTGGGACGTGCAGAGCGAAGGTGAGAGTCCAGAGAGAGTGTCCAGAGAGAGAGTCCAGAGAGAGAGTCCAGAGAGAGAGTCCAGAGAGAGAGTCCAGAGAGAGAGTCCAGAGAGAGAGTCCAGAGAGAGAGTCCAGAGAGAGAGTCCAGAGAGAGAGTCCAGAGAGAGAGTCCAGATAGAGAGTCCAGAGAGAGAGTCCAGAGAGAGAGTCCAGAGAGAGAGAGTCCAGAGAGAGAGTCCAGAGAGAGAGTCCAGATAGAGAGTCCAGAGAGAGAGTCCAGAGAGAGAGTCCAGAGAGAGAGTCCAGAGAGAGAGTCCAGAGAGAGAGTCCAGAGAGAGAGTCCAGAGAGAGAGTCCAGAGAGAGAGTCCAGAGAGAGAGTCCCGAGTGTGAGACCCGAGTGTGAGACCCGAGTGTGAGACCCGAGTGTGAGACCCGAGTGTGAGACCTGAGCAGTAGTACCTCTGTCTGGCCACATGAGGCGCTGACACTTGTTTCCACAGAGATGTATCTGCGTCTACACTTTGACCCGGCTGCGTTTGACCCGTCTGCCATGATGCACCCGAGCACCTACCTCAACAAGGTCCTCATCGGGTCCAGACAAGGACCACTGCAGCTGTGGAATATCAAGACCAGGTGAGACCAGACCAGAGAGATAGACCAGGGAGAGAGACCAGACCAGAGAGCGAGACCAGACCAGAGAGCGAGACCAGACCAGAGAGCGAGACCAGACCAGAGAGCGAGACCAGACCAGAGAGCGAGACCAGACCAGAGAGCGAGACCAGACCAGAGAGCGAGACCAGACCAGAGAGCGAGACCAGACCAGAGAGCGAGACCAGACCAGAGAGCGAGACCAGACCAGAGAGGGCGATTAAAGAGAGTACAGAGAGAGACCAAGAGAGAGACCAGAGAGAGACCAGAGAGAGAGACCAGAGCAGGTCTGAACCTGGTCTGAACCTGGTCTGAACCTGGTCTGTACCTGGTCTGTACCTGGTCTGTACCTGGTCTGTACCTGGTCTGTACCTGGTCTGTACCTGGTCTGTACCTGGTCTGAACCTGGTCTGAACCTGGTCTTGTGTTGCAGTCAGATGCTTTTCTCGTTTCCCGGATGGAGCAGTGGTGTCTGTGTTCTGGAGCAGGTCTGTACCGAACACACACCACCAGAGGGCGCTACCACGTGCAGCTAACGGCTAATGCTAACCACTGCATTCCTCAGAGTCCCGCGGTGGACGTGGTGGGTGTCGGCACGGCAACGGGACGCATCATCATCCACAACCTACGACTGGACGAGACGCTGATGAGCTTCAGCCAGGACTGGGGACCAATCACAGCGCTCGCCTTCAGGACAGGTGACGAGCTAGCATAGCATTAGCAGAGTCCATGGGCCGGGCTCAAAGATTATAGGAAACATTGAAGATAACCAAAGAAACTGCCTTTTTTAGTTTATTATGGAAAGGAACTAGCAACAAGTGAAACGTGCGACGGACCGTGAGCCGCAGACGATTTATAAGATTAAAGTTAAAACATTTGGATTTAGAGCCTTGGGCTGTAGTAAAACTGCTGTGGCTCCATTCCTCTCTGGTCTCTCTCTCTGGTCTCTCTCTCTGGTCTCTCTCTCTGGTCTCTCTCTGGTCTCTCTCTGGTCTCTCTCTCTGGTCTCTCTCTCTGGTCTCTCTCTGGTCTCTCTCTGGTCTCTCTCTGGTCTCTCTCTGGTCTCTCTCTCTGGTCTCTCTCTCTGGTCTCTCTCTGGTCTCTCTCTTGGTCTCTCTCTGGTCTCTCTCCCTGGTCTCTCTCTGGTCTCTCTCTGGTCTCTCTCTGGTCTCTCTCTGGTCTCTCTCTGGTCTCTCTCTATGGTCTCTCACTGGTCTCTCTCTGGTCTCTCTATGGTCTCTCACTGGTCTCTCACTGGTTTCTCTCTGGTCTCTCTCTGGTCTCTCTCTCTGGTCTCTCTCTGGTCTCTCTCTCTGGTCTCTCTCTTGGTCTCTCTCTCTGGTCTCTCTCTCTGGTCTCTCTCTCTGGTCTCTCTCTCTGGTCTCTCTCTCTGGTCTCTCTCTGGTCTCTCTCCCTGGTCTCTCTCTCTGGTCTCTCTCTCTGGTCTCTCTCTCTGGTCTCTCTCTGGTCTCTCTCCCTGGTCTCTCTCCCTGGTCTCTCTCTCTGGTCTCTCTCTGGTCTCTCTCTGGTCTCTCTCTCTAGTCTCTCTCTCTGGTCTCGCTCTCTGGTCTCTCTCTCTGGTCTCTCTCTCTGGTCTCTCTCTCTGGTCTCTCTCTCTGGTCTCTCTCCCTGGTCTCTCTCTCTGGTCTCTCTCTCTGGTCTCGCTCTCTGGTCTCTCTCTCTGGTCTCTCTCTGGTCTCTCTCTCTGGTCTCTTGTATTGCCCTGATGCAGTTCCTTGCCTGTCCACAGATGGCGCCCCTGTGCTGGCCTCTTGCTCGCCCCAGGGCCACATTGCATTCTGGGACCTGGAGAAACAGCAGATAATGTCACAGCTGAGCCACGCCCACCACGGGGCTGTTGCCGCGGCAACGTTTGTGCACGGCGAGCCCCTGCTCATCACCAACGGCGGTGACAACGCTCTGAGGGCTTGGCTTATGGAGGAGGGCGGGGCCAGGCTGTTGCGCTGTCGCCATGGACACAGCGCCCCGCCCACTGCCATCCGTCACCACGGCAACGACGGCAAGAACATCCTCAGTGCAGGTGAGAGCGAGACCAGAGAGCGAGACCAGAGAGCGAGACCAGAGAGCGAGACCAGAGAGCGAGACCAGAGAGCGAGACCAGAGAGCGAGACCAGAGAGCGAGACCAGAGAGCGAGACCAGAGAGCGAGACCAGAGAGCGAGACCAGAGAGCGAGACCAGAGAGCGAGACCAGAGAGCGAGACCAGAGAGCGAGACCAGAGAGCGAGACCAGAGAGCGAGACCAGAGAGCGAGACCATATTTACAATAATGAAACAAAAGAGATATGAACGTGTGATGTCACATGTAACTGATCCTCTGTAGGTCTGGATGGAACTCTTCAGTCCTTCTCCACGGTTCACGAGCGCTTCAACAAAAACCTGGGCCACGGTAAGTCCTGCTTTAGTCCTGCTTTAGTCCTGCTTTAGTCCGGCTTTAGACCTGCTTTAGACCTGCTTTAGACCTGCTTTAGTCCTGCTTTAGACCTGCTTTAGACCTGCTTTAGTCCTGCTTTAGTCCTGCTTTAGTCCTGCTTTAGACCTGCTTTAGTCCTGCTTTAGTCCTGCTTTAGTCCTGCTTTAGACCTGCTTTAGTCCTGCTTTAGACCTGCTTTAGACCTGCTTTAGACCTGCTTTAGACCTGCTTTAGACCTGCTTTAGTCCTGCTTTAGACCTGCTTTAGACCTGCTTTAGTCCTGCTTTAGTCCTGCTTTAGTCCTGCTTTAGACCTGCTTTAGTCCTGCTTTAGTCCTGCTTTAGTCCTGCTTTAGACCTGCTTTAGTCCTGCTTTAGACCTGCTTTAGTCCTGCTTTAGTCCTGCTTTAGACCTGCTTTAGACCTGCTTTAGACCTGCTTTAGTCCTGCTTTAGTCCTGCTTTAGACCTGCTTTAGACCTGCTTTAGACCTGCTTTAGTCCTGCTTTAGTCCTGCTTTAGACCTGCTTTAGACCTGCTTTAGTCCTGCTTTAGACCTGCTTTAGACCTGCTTTAGACCTGCTTTAGTCCTGCTTTAGTCCTGCTTTAGACCTGCTTTAGACCTGCTTTAGACCTGCTTTAGACCTGCTTTAGACCTGCTTTAGACCTGCTTTAGACCTGCTTTAGTCCTGCTTTAGACCTGCTTTAGTCCTGCTTTAGACCTGCTTTAGTCCTGCTTTGTTTGTTACAGGGTCAATAAACAAAAAGAAAGAAAAGAAGAAGAAACACGGTTTGAAACACGAGGAGCTGCGTCTGCCGCCGATCACAGCCTTCTGCTCCGGTCAGTCCACAGTCGGACCCTGTCCATCCATCTCTGGTCTCTTTCTGGTCAGTCTCTGGTCTCTGGTCTCTGGTCTCTCTGGTCTCTAGTCCCTGGTCCCTGGTCTCACTGGTCTCTGGTCCCTGGTCTCTGGTCCCTGGTCCCTGGTCTCACTGGTCTCTCTGGTCCCTGGTCCCTGGTCTCACTGGTCTCTCTGGTCCCTGGTCCCTGGTCTCACTGGTCTCTCTGGTCTCACTGGTCTCACTGGTCTCACTGGTCCCTGGTCTCACTGGTCCCTGGTCTCACTGGTCTCTGGTCTCACTGGGTTCTCTGGTCCCTGGTCTCTGGTCTCTGGTCTCACTGGTCTCTCTGGTCCCTGGTCTCACTGGTCTCTGGTCTCACTGGTATCACTGGTCTCACTGGTCTCTCTGGTCTCACTGGTCTCACTGGTCTCACTGGTCCCTGGTCTCTGGTGTCTGGTCTCACTGGTCCCTGGTCTCTGGTCTCACTGGTCTCTGGTCTCTGGTCTCACTGGTCTCTCTGGTCCCTGGTCTCACTGGTCTCTGGTCTCTGGTCTCTCTGGTCTCACTGGTCTCACTGGTGTCTGGTCTCTGGTCTCACTGGTCTCACTGGTCCCTGGTCTCTGGTCTCTGGTCTCACTGGTCTTTGGTCTCACTGGTCTCTGGTCTCTCTGGTCTCTCTGGTCTCACTGGTCTCTCTGGTCTCACTGGTCTCTAGTCTCTGGTCTCACTGGTCTCACTGGTCCCTGGTCTCTGGTCTCTGGTCTCACTGGTCCCTGGTCTCACTGGTCTCTGGTTTCTGGTCTCACTGGGTTCTCTGGTCCCTGGTCTCACTGGTCCCTGGTCTCTGGTCTCTGGTCTCACTGGTCCCTGGTCTCACTGGTCCCTGGTCTCTGGTCTCTGGTCTCACTGGTCCCTGGTCTCACTGGTCCCTGGTCTCTGGTCTCTGGTCTCACTGGTCTCTGGTCTCACTGGTCTCTCTGGTCTCTCTGGTCTCTCTGGTCTCACTGGTCTCACTGGTCTCTCTGGTCCCTGGTCTCACTGGTCTCTGGTCTCTGGTCTCACTGGTCTCACTGGTCCCTGGTCTCTGGTCTCACTGGTCCCTGGTCTCACTGGGTTCTCTGGTCCCTGGTCTCTGGTCTCTGGTCTCACTGGTCTCTCTGGTCCCTGGTCTCACTGGTCTCTGGTCTCACTGGTCTCACTGGTCTCTCTGGTCTCACTGGTCTCACTGGTCTCACTGGTCCCTGGTCTCTGGTCTCTGGTCTCTGGTCTCACTGGTCCCTGGTCTCACTGGTCCCTGGTCTCTGGTCTCACTGGTCTCTGGTCTCTGGTCTCACTGGTCTCTCTGGTCCCTGGTCTCACTGGTCTCTGGTCTCTCAGGTCTCTCTGGTCTCACTGGTCTCTCTGGTCTCACTGGTCCCTGGTCCCTGGTCTCACTGGTCTCTGGTTTCTGGTCTCACTGGGTTCTCTGGTCCCTGGTCTCTGGTCTCACTGGTCTCTCTGGTCTCACTGGTCCCTGGTCTCTGGTCTCACTGGTCCCTGGTCTCACTGGTCCCTGGTCTCTGGTCTCTGGTCTCACTGGTCTCTGGTCTCACTGGTCTCACTGGTCTCTGGTCCCTGGTCTCTGGTCTCACTGGTCCCTGGTCTCTGGTCTCTGGTCTCACTGGTCCCTGGTCTCACTGGTCCCTGGTCTCTGGTCTCTGGTCTCACTGGTCTCTGGTCTCACTGGTCTCACTGGTCTCTCTGGTCTCTCTGGTCTCTGGTCTCTGTTCTCACTGGTCTCTGGTCTCTCTGGTCTCACTGGTCTCACTGGTCCCTGGTCTCTGGTCTCACTGGTCTCTGGTCTCACTGGTCCCTGGTCTCACTGGTCTCTGGTCTCTGGTCTCACTGGTCTCTCTGGTCCCTGGTCTCACTGGTCTCTGGTCTCTGGTCTCTGGTCTCACTGGTCTCACTGGTCTCTCTGGTCTCACTGGTCTCACTGGTCTCTCTGGTCTCTCTGGTCTCACTGGTCTCTCTGGTCTCTCTGGTCTCACTGGTCTCACTGGTCTCTCTGGTCTCACTGGTCTCACTGGTCTCACTGGTCTCACTGGTCTCACTGGTCTCTCTGGTCTCTCTGGTCTCACTGGTCTCTCTGGTCTCACTGGTCTCACTGGTCTCACTGGTCTCTGGTCCCTGGTCTCACTGGTCTCTCTGGTCTCTCTGGTCTCACTGGTCTCTGGTCTCACTGGTCTCTCTGGTCTCACTGGTCTCTGGTCTCACTGGTCTCTCTGGTCTCACTGGTCTCTCTGGTCTCTCTGGTCTCACTGGTCTCACTGGTCTCTGGTCTCTCTGGTCTCACTGGTCTCTCTGGTCTCACTGGTCTCACTGGTCTCACTGGTCTCACTGGTCTCTCTGGTCTCTCTGGTCTCACTGGTCTCTCTGGTCTCTCTGGTCTCACTGGTCTCACTGGTCTCTGGTCCCTGGTCTCACTGGTCTCTCTGGTCTCTCTGGTCTCACTGGTCTCTGGTCTCACTGGTCTCTCTGGTCTCACTGGTCTCTGGTCTCTCTGGTCTCTCTGGTCTCTCTGGTCTCACTGGTCTCACTGGTCTCACTGGTCTCACTGGTCTCACTGGTCTCTCTGCAGCCTCCTCGCGGCAGGCGGACTGGGACTCTGTGGTGTCCTGTCATCGCGGCCGTAGCTCTGTCTGCACCTGGAACTATCAGCGCTGCACAGTCGGGAGTCACCACCTGAGGGCGCCAGACTGCAGCCGGGAGAGCGAGGCCACGGTGTGTGTGTGTGTGTGTGTGTGTCTGTGTGTGTGTGTCTGTGTGTGTCTGTGTGTCTGTGTGTCTGTGTCTGTGTCTGTGTGTGTCTGTGTCTGTGTGTGTCTGTGTGTGTGTCTGTGTGTCTGTGTCTGTGTGTGTCTGTGTGTGTGTCTGTGTGTGTGTATTCAGATTCAGTTTATTTGCCATTTGCAGTAAAACCACATTGGAATACATAAGCAAAAGTCTCCAGTGTGCACAGACAAATACAGACATAAAACAAATAAAACAGTAAACAAATGTCACTGTGAAATGGATCGACTAAAACAGTTTCAAAACAAGTGCAAATCATTAAAGTGCTCTGTTCACACTGATAACAGCCTGTGGATAAAAACTGTTAGCGTAACAAGATGTCCTGCATCTCAGAGAGCGATATCTTCTGCCAGAGGGAAGAAGCTGGAACATGGCTTTCCCAGGGTGGCCAGAAGAGTCATTAACAATCCTAAGAGCTTTGTTTAAAAGTCTGGATTTATAAAGAACCTCCAGAACAGGAAGCTCACAGCCCACGGTCCTCTTTGCAGAGCGGAGCACCTTGTTTAAAGCTCTCTTTTCTTTATCTGTGATGTTTCCAAACCACACAGACACAGAACCAACAAGTAAACTCTCAATGGTGCAGCCATAAAAGTTAAGCACAATCTTAGAGTTAGTGGTAAATTCTCTAAGTTTACGCAGAAAGTAGAGACGCTGACGAGCTTTCTTAACGACTCGGTCAGTGTTTTTAACCCATTTCAGGTTAGACAGAGTTAAACCCAGAAACTTGCTCCTCTACGATCTGCACCTGGGAGTTGTCGATTACGACAGACAAATGAGAACTATTGCGACTGAAGTCGTGACCAGTTCACATGTTTTGGATGCGTTCAACTGGAGGTTGTTAGTTTGACTCCACTGAACCACATTTTGTATCTCTGCTCTATAAGAGGATTCATCAGTGTCACTGATGAGACCGATGATGGTGGTGTCATCAGCATATTTAATGATCAAGTTTGAGTCAGAGGAGGACACACAATCATGAGTGTACAAAGTAAAAAGCAAAGGACTCAAAATACATCCCTGAGGAGAACCAGTGCTCACAGAAACAACATCAGAAAAACACTCTCTGAGATCTGTCAGTTAAAAAGCTAAAAATCCATTTACACATGGCAACACTTAAACCCAGAGACATGAGCTTTTCAATCAGTTTACCTGGGACAAGGCAGTTAAAAGCAGAGCTATAATCGATGAAAAGCATTCTGGCCACAGATTTACTAGTGTCCAAGTGACTGTAGACAGAGTTCAGAGCAAAGGAGATGCATCCTCCACACTCCTGTTCTGTCTGTAGCAAACTGGAGCGGGTCAACACTCACAGGGATCTGGCTCTTAATGAAGTCCAGCACAAGCCGCTCAAAAGTCTTCATTAGGACAGAAGTGAGGGCCACAGGGCGATAGTCATTCAGGCATGTCACAGGAGTTTTCTTAGGAACTGGAATGATGGTGGACTCTTTAAAGCAGTTCGGCACAGTACAGTTCCTTAGCGACAGGTTGAAAATGTCTGTTAGCACAGGGGCAAGTTGCTCAGAGCACAGTTTCAGGACACGAGGAGGGATGCCGTCCGGGCCTGGGGCTTTCCGGACTGTGGTCCTGGACAAGACACGCCTGACTTCCTCCTGAGTCACGGTGAAGGTACCTTGATTGAAACACTCAGGGAATACAGTAGGACAGGGATCAGTGGATTCAAAGCGACAGTAGAACGTGTTCAGCTCGTTTGGCAGAGCTTGGCCGACAGATGCAATTTTCCCAGCACTAGGTTTCCACGATGTGATGGCTTTAATACCGCTCCACATGCGCCGAGGGTCATCTTCCTTAAAATAACCCTTTAACCTGTCCCCGTAACTGCGCTTTCCAGATTTAATAGAACGGATCAACGAGTAACAGGATAGCTTATAAGCAACTGTATCATTTGATTGAAACGCCAACGCACGCTCATGAAGTTTCAGTTTCACTTCCGCGTTCATCCAGGGTTTTGACTAAAATGTTCTTTAATGACCTTCTGTGGGACACAGGAGTCAATACAGAAGCGTATGTATCCAGACACAGCGTCACAGAATTCATTGACGTCCTCTGACTGAAACACAGACCAGTCCGTAGCATCAAAACAACCTTGTAGCTTCATGCTAGCCTCCTCAGACCAACACTGCACAGTGCGAGAGGTTGGTTTATGTTCCCTGCTCCTCTGAGTATACGAAGGAAGAAGGAGAACAGAGGAGTGGTCAGACTTTCCAAAAGGAGGTCTGAGACTGGACCTGTAAGCTCCCTTCACGTTACTGTAGCAGTGATCCAGAACATGTGCTCCTCTTGTAGCTTGAGTCACATGTTGGTAAAAGTTCGGGAGTACAGTCTTTAGATTACATTTATTAAAATCCCCAGCAACAATGATGACTGCGTTAGGATGAGCAGACTCATGTTTGTGAAGGATCTCGCTCAGATCCTGTAGGGCTACTTTGTGTAATCCGCACGTGGGTGAATGTAAACAGCACATACAAATATCACTGAAAACTCACGGGGAAGATAAAAAGGGCGGCAGCTCAAGACCAGGCATTCCAGATTGGCAGTACATGTTTGGTTCACGACTCGAGTGTCCGTGCACCAGCGCTGATTAATTAAAAAGCACACACCTCCGCCTCTGGCCTTGCCCGTGGTCTCCTTCACTCTGTCCGAGCGGTGAGCGGTGAATCCCGGGGGCTGAACAGCAGAGTCCGGGACGTTCGAGTGGAGCCACGTCTCGCTGAGGCAGAACACAGTCCCGGGCCTCGCGCTGGCTCTGGACCCGACACAGGAGCTCGTCCGTCTTGTTGGGCAGAGACTGGACGTTGGCCAGGTAGATGGAGGGCAAAGGGGTCCTGGAGGAGCGGCTACGAACGAGCAGACCGCCTCGCCTTCCCCGGTGTCTGCGCCTCCTTCGCCGACTCGAGGTGCCCAGCTCCACACCGCGGAGAGAACGCCGGAGACGCCCAGTCCCCTCGCTCTGTTGGCGGCCACCGCCGCGGCCCGCCTGCCGTGCTCCGCCAGCCTCTCGAGTGGGACACTCGAGGAAGTTAATGCACCTCAGTTCAGGTAGTACGAGTGATCCCGAATGTTCAGAAGTGTTTCTCGGTCATACTTCACAGCAGCAAGTGACTCACAGACGAAAAACAGCAAAACACAGATCGTGCGCACCAGAGCTCTCACTGCGGCGCCCTGACACGGCGCCATCTTGCTCATACCTTCCAGTTTGTGTGTCTGTGTGTGTCTGTGTCTCTGTCTGTCTGTGTGCGCATCTGTGTTTGTGACACTCACTTCCTGTCTCATACAGGCCGTTGACATCACTTCCTGTGGACACTTTGCTGTGATTGGTTCGTCGTGCGGCCGAGTGGACGTGTTTAACCTCCAGTCGGGTTTGCACCGCGGCGGCTTCAGAGAAGGAGAGCGAAGTACGGCTAACGCTAATGCTAACAGTAATGTTGACCATGAAAACCAGCAATAACAATAACAAACCTAAATGTTAACCTGAACTGTAATGCTAACACTAATGCTATCAAACGCAAATGCTAACACCGATCTTTTTAGCGAAGGCTGTTAACTGTAATGCTAACCTGAACACTAATGGTGACCTTTGACACCTCAGGCCACAGCGGCGCAGTGAGGGGCGTGGCCACGGACCTCCTGAATCAGCTGATTGTCTCCGCCGGCTCTGATTGGCTGCTTCGCTTCTGGAGATTCAAATCAAAGAAACTGGAAAATGAACTACATCTCCCATCAGCCCCCAGTGCTTTGAAGCTGCACCGTGAGAGGTCAGAGTTCACTCAGTATACAGGTCTCAGTATACATGTCTCAGTATACATGTCTCAGTATACGTGTCTCAGTATACGTGTCTCAGTATACGTGTCTCAGTATACATGTCTCAGTATACATGTCTCAGTATACATGTCTCAGTATACGTGTCTCAGTGTACGTGTCTCAGTGTACGTGTCTCAGTATACGTGTCTCAGTATACGTGTCTCAGTATACATGTCTCAGTATACATGTCTCAGTATACATGTCTCAGTATACATGTCTCAGTATACATGTCTCAGTATACATGTCTCAGTATACATGTCTCAGTATACGTGTCTCAGTGTACGTGTCTCAGTATACAGGTCTCAGTATACGTGTCTCAGTATACGTGTCTCAGTGTACGTGTCTCAGTATACGTGTCTCAGTATACGTGTCTCAGTATACGTGTCTCAGTATACGTGTCTCAGTATACGTGTCTCAGTATACGTGTCTCAGTATACGTGTCTCAGTATACGTGTCTCAGTATACGTGTCTCAGTATACGTGTCTCAGTATACGTGTCTCAGTATACGCGTCTCAGTGTACGTGTCTCAGTGTACGTGTCTCAGTATACGTGTCTCAGTGTACGTGTCTCAGTATACAGGTCTCAGTATACGTGTCTCAGTATACGTGTCTCAGTATACGTGTCTCAGTATACGTGTCTCTGTATACGTGTCTCAGTATACGTGTCTCAGTATACGTGTCTCAGTATACGTGTCTCAGTATACATGTCTCAGTATACATGTCTCAGTATACGTGTCTCAGTGTACGTGTCTCAGTATACAGGTCTCAGTATACGTGTCTCAGTATACGTGTCTCAGTGTACGTGTCTCAGTGTACGTGTCTCAGTGTACGTGTCTCAGTATACGCGTCTCAGTATACGCGTCTCAGTATACGCGTCTCAGTGTATGTGTCTCAGTATACGTGTCTCAGTATACGTGTCTCAGTGTACGTGTCTCAGTGTACGTGTCTCAGTATACATGTCTCAGTATACATGTCTCAGTATACATGTCTCAGTATACATGTCTCAGTATACGCGTCTCAGTGTATGTGTCTCAGTATACGTGTCTCAGTATACGTGTCTCAGTGTACGTGTCTCAGTGTACGTGTCTCAGTATACATGTCTCAGTATACATGTCTCAGTATACATGTCTCAGTATACATGTCTCAGTATACGTGTCTCTCCAGTGGGATGCTTGCGTTGGCTCTGGATGATTTCTCGTTGTTAGTGGTCGACATGGAGACGAGGCGCGTTGTCAGGAAGTTCAGCGGTCATCATGGCAACGTCAATGACATGGTTAGTGATGGGTGCAGCTCCAGTGTGTATAACGTGAATGTGTACACTGCCATGCGAAAGTATTCGGCCCCCTTGAACCTTTCAACATTTCGCCACATTTCAGGCTTCAAACATAAAGATATAAAATTTTAATTTTTTGTCAAGAATCAACAACAAGTGGGGCACAATCATGAAGTGGAACGACATTTATTGGATAATTTAAACTTTTTTAACAAATAAAAAACTGAAAAGTGGGGCGTGCAATATTATTCGGCCCCTTGCGCTAATACTTTGTAGCGCCACCTTTTGCTGCAATTACAGCTGCAAGTCACTTGGGGTATGTCTCTATCAGTTTTGCACATCGAGAGACTGGAATTCTTGCCCATTCTTTCTTGCAAAACAGCTGGAGCTCAGTGAGGTTGGATGGAGAGCGTTTGTGAACAGCAGTCTTCAGCTCTTTCCACAGATTCTCGATTGGATTCAGGTCTGGACTTTGACTTGGCCATTCTAACACCTGGATACGTCTATTTGTGAACCATTCCATTGTAGATTTGGCTTTATGTTTTGGATCATTGTCCTGTTGGAAGATAAATCTCCGTCCCAGTCTCAGGTCTTTTGCAGACTCCAACAGGTTTTCTTCCAGAATGGTCCTGTATTTGGCTCCATCCATCTTCCCATCAATTTTAGCCATCTTCCCTGTCCCTGCAGAAGAAAAGCAGGCCCAAAGCATGATGCTGCCACCACCATGTTTGACAGTGGGGATGGTGTGTTCAGGGTGATGAGCTGTGTTGCTTTTACGCCAAACATATCGTTTTGCATTGTGGCCAAAAAGTTTGATTTTGGTTTCATCTGACCAGAGCACCTTCTTCCACATGTTTGGTGTGTCTCCCAGGTGGCTTGTGGCAAACTTTAAACCAGACTTTTTATGGATATCTTTGAGAAATGGCTTTCTTCTTGCCACTCTTCCATAAAGGCCAGATTTGTGCAGTGCACGACTGATTGTTGTCCTATGGACAGACTCTCCCACCTCAGCTGTAGTTATCTGCAGTTCATCCAGAGTGATCATGGGCCTCTTGGCTGCATCTCTGATCAGTCTTCTCCTTGTTTGAGATGAAAGTTTGGAGGGACGGCCGGGTCTTGGTAGATTTGCAGTGGTCTGATACTCCTTCCATTTCAATATAATTGCTTGCACAGTGCTCCTTGAGATGTTTAAAGCTTGGGAAATCTTTTTGTATCCAAATCCGGCTTTAAACTTCTCCACAACAGTATCTCGGACCTGCCTGGTGTGTTCCTTTGTCTTCATGGTTCTCTCTGTGCTTTAAACAGAACCCTGAGACTATCAAAGAGCAGGTGCATTTATACGGAGACTTGATTACACACAGGTGCATTCTATTTATCATCATCAGTCATTTAGGACAACATTGGATCATTCAAAGATCCTCTCTGAACTTCTGGACTGAGTTTGCTGCACTGAAAGTAAAGGGGCCGAATAATATTGCACGCCCCACTTTTCAGTTTTTTATTTGTTAAAAAAGTTTAAATTATCCAACAAATGTTGTTCCACTTCACGATTGTGTCCCACTTGTTGTTGATTCATGACACAAAATATTTTTTTTATATCTTTATGTTTGAAACCTGAAATGTGGCGAAAGGTTCACGGGGGCCGAATACTTTCGCAAGGCACTGTATGTATATTGTGTGTTTGTTACTTGTGTGTATAAAGTGTGTTTGTGTGTGTGTGTGTGTTGCAGACCTTCAGTCCGGACTCTCGGTGGCTCGTCTCCGTCTCCATGGATTGCACCGTCCGCACCTGGGACCTGCCGTCTGGGAGGTACTGCTACTGTTAGCAACATGCTACTGTTAGCAACATGCTGCTGTTAGCAGCATTTTACTGTTAGCAACACGTTAGTTTGCGTCTGCTACAGAGCGTAGGTGACCCAGTCGCCACAAATGCCCATATATGGAGTTTGGTCCCTGTCTGGTTGTTGTTTACAGTCTGGTTGTTGTTATTGTTTACTGTTGTTGTTTACAGTCTGGTGGACTGCTTCCTGGTGGAGGCGGCGCCGGTGGGCGTGTCCTTGTCACCAACTGGAGACTTTCTGGCGACGACTCACGTGGACTCACTCGGAGTGTTTCTATGGTAACTCTTGATGACATCACACATCAGGCGTCAAACTCATGTTCCAAAAGTAGAAGTTTACTTTTAGTATCATTATTATCACAAAAACTGTTTGACATGAGATTGGAGACTATTCTTGAGTGGGTTTGGATTTGACACAACTGGGCCAAATATCATGAAGATATCTTTGATAAGGAATAAATGTTTGGCCTAAAGTAACTTCTCATGTTACTTTCAGTTTGTTTGTGGTCTGAGGGCTCAGTGTGGAATATCCATATATGGTCTCCTGCTCTAATCCCGCCCCCCCTCTCTCAGGACCAATCGCAGCCTGTGTGCTCCGGTCGGACTCCGCCCCCTGCCCTCAGACTTCCAGCCAACCAATCAGACACTGCCATGCGCTGAACAGGAAGAGGAAGTGATGTCAGCGGAGGATGAGGAGACATATGTGTCACGTGACCAGCTGGGGGCGGAGCTTGTGACGCTTAGTCTGATGCCCGAGTCAAGATGGCGGACACTGCTGCACCTGGACCAGATCAAGGTCTGGACCCATGTGAATGCAACTGGACCAGACCAGACTGGACCTGACCCATGTGGACCAGACCCAGATAGACCAGACTAATTTGTTCAATGTTTGATTTTTCAGAAGCGGAACAAGCCCCTGGCTCCGCCCACTGCTCCGGCAGCACCGTTTTTCTTACCCACAATCCCCGGCCTCACGCCTCAGTTTACTGTTCCCGCAGCAACGGACGCCGACTCCACGGTAACGCTTGTTAGAGCTGACTTCATGATTAGAGCTGACTACAGGATTAGTGCTGACTTCATGATTAGAGCTGACTTCATGATTAGAGCTGACTTCATGATTAGAGCTGACTACAGGATTAGTGCTGACTCATGATTAGAGCTGACTTCATGATTAGAGCTGACTACAGGATTAGTGCTGACTCATGATTAGAGCTGACTTCATGATTAGAGCTGACTACAGGATTAGTGCTGACTCATGATTAGAGCTGACTACAGGATTAGTGCTGACTCATGATTAGAGCTGACTCGAACACTTCTCACTGTTTGCGTTGGTGACTCTGAGCCAATCACGTGTCTCTCTCTGGTCACATGATGCAGTCCAAGCTGGTCACATGGGGAGCTCTGGCGCAGAGGTCGGAGTTCAGCCGAGCACTGGACGTCGCTATGACGACAGGAGACTGTAAGCCCCGCCTGCTGTCATGCAAACTGGTGATGAGCGTGCAACTCACTTTGTATTTGTTTCAGTCTCTCTTCCTGATTCGCTGCTGAGGAAAAGTGGGCCGTCCCTCGTCTCCGTGGAGATTTCTGAGCTCACGGCCGAAGGGGGCGTGGCCTTCCTGCAGATGATTGACAGCATGCTGCGCAAGGGGCGGGACTTTGACCTAGCGCATGGATACCTCGCACTCTTCCTAAAGGTCAGCCAATCACAGCACAGCACACAGATTGAGAACCAATCAGTCACTTTTGCGTTGTTTCCGCAGACTCACCTGAGGACGGTGTCACGTGACCCCGTTGCTATGGAGACTTTGCTTCGCCTTTCAGCTCATCTGGAACAGGTGTGGGCGGAGCTTCGGGCCTCGTTCGACCAATCGCTGTGTCTGCTGTCATACGCCAAGAGCGCCCTGCTGTAGGTTTCCATGGAGACCGTGTTGGGCATTTTGTATTTCAAGAAAAAGATCCATTTTTGTACAAGTTTTGTTTTATTCCTATTTTTGTGCAAATATGTAATAAATACATGAAACAGATTTTATCTGTGAAAAGGGGATTTGAGCAAATTCAAACACGAGTCTGAATCTGGAGCCAAACACGATCGACAACGGCGAGCACTAAACATCAGAGCTTCAGGATGAGGCTTCATAGAACTGAGGTTAGACTGAAGGTTACTCCAGTTGTATTGTCATAATCAGAATCAGAATCATTTTTATTGCCACGTAAGTAACAGGAGGTCACAGACTAGGAAATTGCTTTGGCTCAGTGCAACAGTCAAAAAGAGATAATAAAAATAAGAATATGATGGGCAGTAAAGTGACTTTATAAAGGGCGGGGGACAGGTTAAGAAGTGTTCAAGAGTCCAACAGCAGAGGGGAAGAAACTGTTCTTGTGGCGGGAGGTTCTAGTCCTGATGGACCGCAGCCTCCTGCCTGAGGGGAGTGGTTGGAATAGTCCATGTGCAGGTGAGAGGGGAGTGGTTGGAATAGTCCATGTGCAGGTGAGAGGGGAGTGGTTGGAATAGTCCATGTGCAGGTGAGAAGGGAGTGGTTGGAATAGTCCATGTGCAGGTGAGAGGGGAGTGGTTGGAATAGTCCATGTGCAGGTGAGAGGGGAGTGGTTGGAATAGTCCATGTGCAGGTGAGAGGGGTCGGCTGTGATACGACCAGCCCGGCCTCGAGCTCGGGCGACGTACAGGTCCTGCAGCGATGGAAGGCTGCGGCCGATCACTTCCTCTGCAGAGCGCACAATGCGCTGTAGTCTCTGTTTGTCCCTGACTGTGGCTCCAGCGAACCACACGGTGATGGAGGAGGTGATGGAGGAGGTGATGGAGGAGGTGATGGAGGAGGTGATGGAGGAGGTGATGGAGGAAGTGATGGAGGAGGTGATGGAGGAGGTCAACATCTGTGCAGGCAGCTTGGCTTTCCTGAGCTGCCGCAGGAAGTACATCCTCTGCTGGGCCTTCTTGATGAGGGAGCTGATGGTCGGCTCCCACTTGAGGTCCTGGGTGATGGTGGTGCCCAGGAAACGGAAGGACTCCACAGAGGTGATGGGGGAGTCCATCACGGAGGGTGGGGGCGGGGGGACAGTGCTCTTCCTGAAGTCCACAATCATCTCCACTGTCTTCTGGGCGTTCAGCTCCAGGTTGTTACCACTGCACCAGGACACCAGCCGGTCCACCTCCCTCCTGTAGGAGACACCAGGACACCAGCCGGTCCACCTTCCTCCTGTAGGCGGACTCATCGTTGTTGGAGATGAGTCCAATGAGGGTGGTGTCGTCCGCGAACTTGATCAGCTTCACGGAGTCGTGGCTGGAGGTGCAGTGGTTGGTGTACAGGGAGAAGAGCAGGGGAGAAAGAACACAGCCCTGTGGGGCTCCTGTATTTATAATCCCAGAGTCCGAGACATTCTTCCCCAGACGCACTCGCTGCTTCCTGTCCGTCAGGAAGTCAGTGATCCACCTGCAGGTGGAATCGGGCACGTTGAGCTGGGAGAGCTTGTCCTGGAGCAGGGATGGCAGGATCGTGTTGAAGGCAGAGCTGAAGTCCACGAACAGGACCCTGGCGTAGGTCCCCGGGGAGTCCAGGTGCTGTAGGATGTGGTGGAGGGCCAGGTTAATGGCGTCGTCTACAGATCTGTTGGCTCTGTAGGCGAACTGCAGGGGGTCCAGGAGGGGGGAGGTGAACTGCAGGGGGTCCAGGAGGGGGGAGGTGAACTGCAGGGGGTCCAGGAGGGGGGAGGTGAGGGACTTGAGATGGGAGAGAACCAGGCGTTCAAATGACTTCATGACGACAGACGTAAGTGCTACAGGTCTGTAGCCATTGAGTCCTGTGATCCTGGGCTTCTTCGGGACGGGGACAATGATGGAGGATTTGAAGCAGGCCGGGACATGGCAGGACTGCAGAGAGGTGTTGAAAATGTCCGTGAACACAGGAGTAAGCTCACTGGCGCAGTGTCTCAGAGTGGCCGGAGACACGTGGTCCGGGCCAGGAGCTTTGCGGGGGTGCAGCCTCAGGAAGAGTTGTTTAATCTCTTTAGCGGCTATTGTTAGGCTGGGGGCAGGGCTGATGGGTGGGTCGTTAGAGTAGTGGGGGGTGGGGGAGGGAGAGGTGTCAGGGGCAGCATCAAAGCGACTGAAAAATAAGTTCAGTTCGTCAGCTAGCTTGTGGTCGTCAGCACAGGGGGGGGGCTTTGGGTTTGTAGTTGGTGATCTCTCGTAGGCCCCTCCAGACAGAAGCAGTATCGTTGTTACCAAACTGCTCCTGTAGTCGTTCTCTGTGCCGGGACTTGGCTGCTTTCAGTTCTCTCCTGAACTGATATTTAGCTGCTTTGTAGCCGCTGCGGTCCCCCTCCCTGAAAGCAGACTCCTTTGCTTTCCTGAGCTGCCGGAGTTTAGCAGTGAACCAGGGTTTGTCGTTGTTATATAGATGATAAAAAGGAAGAGATCTGTTAGCATAAAAGTACCACTAGCATAGACTCTAAACAAGGACTGTAAAGACTGCACTGAACCCTGCTGTGGAGTAAATAACCAAACTTTACATTGTAACAATAACTTTTTATTGTTCTGTGGGACACAAACCAACCGACAGATAAAAAAAAACATGTTTCCATGACAACAGCAGTTCGTCCGACGTCCGTCATCACCCGAACTCTGCGATTGAACGTGGGTTTTTGGTCCGTTTTACTTTTGATGAAATGACGAGACACAAAAATACTGGAATCGTTCAGTGCACTCACACAGAATGTTCCACGGTCTGGAGTTAAACACTGATTACACGGCTCGCCTCTCCACAGACGTGACCAGTACTGACATTTCTGTACAATGTTGTATAATACTTTAGTTTTTCTGGATACATAGAACCGAGGCCATGTTTATTATTGATTATATATCTTGTGATTTAGGGAGTTACAAATTAAATTGGTGCTAGAGGCTATGATATGGACTATCCAACTCCAGTGTAACTAATATAGCTAACTTTAGCTAGCTTTGGCTAACACTAGTTAACATCTATTGAGTTAATGTTTCAGAATAAATGAAACGACGTCAGCAGCGCCGTGTTTAAACCGGTACAAGCCAAACTGTGGAACATTCCAGACTCCAGCGGATACAGCTTCAACAATAGAGAACAAACATTGAAAAAAAAAAAGCAGAAAACTGGTCAAATTTGGCACAAACAGAAAAATCCTGTTTTTGAGACGTCACAAAATGGCCGCCATCTTCTCAGTTTCCGCGTTCATAAATAAAGACGTTTAAATACAGTTCAGCAGGAGATCTCAGCGTCCAATGGCAGCGCAGCAGTTCGATGCCGATTGGTCAGTGCTTTTTCATTTTAAACAGCATTCATTAGGACACGCCCCCTTTCCCCCTCCTCCAATCAGCTACGTGGATGTGGGAATACGGAGTTTCCAGTGGACATGTGGGGAAACCAGTCTGGCTCAGCCCAAAGAGTCCAATAATGACTTAAAGGTCTTATTTATTCTGTAGACTGGTGACATCACCAGTAGCACGACAAAGTACCATGTGTGTCGTTTTATGGTACATGTGAGTAGTAAAAGCAGTGAGTATGTGGTGGTGGGAGGAGCCAGAGTCAGTGAGGGAGGAGCCAGGTCCCTCAGACGTCCAGCAGCTCCTCCGCCGTGCCGCCGCAGCGCAGACGGTAGCGCCCCGTCCTCCAGGAGATGGTGGGGTCCCAGAGCGCCGACAGGAAGATCTGCACCGCCATCGACTCACGGATGAACCAGGCCACAGCAAAGTCCAGTTTGGAGAAACACGGAGCGCCGCCCTGGAACCAGAGGAGGGTCAGAGCCCGAGCAGTAGCAGCAGTTCAAGTAGTAGTAGTTGTAGTAGTAGTAGCAGTAGTAGCAGCAGTAGTAGTAGCAGTAGTAGTAGCAGTAGTAGCAGTAGTAGCAACAGCAGCAGTAGCAGTAGCAGTAGCACCTGTACTCCTGTGAGCTGGATGTAGTCTGCGATGAACCAGGCCAAACAGTGACACATGAAGAACACCATCATGTCCCATCTGAAAGTTCAAGAAGAGCATTTACTGTGGAGCCTCTGCAGATCCCAGGGCCGGTCCTACAGGACAGTGGGGGGCCCTTTAAAGAAGAGGGCCCAGGACAGATCCTTATGAGACCCAAACCTTCCAACACTATGATTCTATGACACATTAGTTGAGACTGAGGCAGCGACCTGAAGATGTAGTGGGCGGCCCAGCCGATGATGAGACTGGCCAGGAAACACTCAGAGACCGGCTCCAAAACCGTCCCAGGCAACATGTTTATCCTCAGCTTAGTCCACCTGCAACAGGAGGAACAGGTCTGGGTCAGGACGAGACCAGGTCTGGTCTGGTCCGGTTTGGTCTGGTCTTGCTCTGGGTCTGGACTCACCGAATCATCCTGGACTGAAACTGTGCAATGGAATAGGAACCAGAGTTCTGCATCGCTACCTGCGTCGCCATGGAGAACCTCCACCCCCTGAAACACAGCGCCCCCTGTGGTCAGTGATATATTTACAGCGCCCCCTGTGGTCAGGGGTCTACACAGCTGAGGTACCGGTCAGCGATGGCTTTGGCCATGAAGTAATCCTCTGCAATGTACTGGGCGAAGGCGCGCAGGCCGCCCGCCTGGTCCAGGACGTCCTTCCTCATCAGACACGACATCCCAGTCACACACTTTATCCCCGTCACGTTAGCAGAGATGTAGGAGCGAGGGTGAGAGGTCCCAAAGTACACCTGCAGGGGTCAGAGGTCAGAGTACACCTGCAGGGGTCAGAGGTCAGAGTACACCTGCAGGGGTCAGAGGTCACAGGTCAGAGTATACCTGCAGGGGTCAGAGGTCAGAGTACACCTGCAGGGGTCACATGTCAGAGGTCACAGTACACCTGCAAGGGTCAGAGGTCACAGTACACCTGCAAGGGTCAGAGGTCACAGTACACCTACAAGGGACAGAGGTCACAGTACACCTGCAAGGGACAGAGGTCACAGTACACCTGCAGGGGTCAGAGAAAGACCAGAGAACTTAAAGTCTAATTATGACGAATGATGAAGGTCATGCCCCCTTTCTCCAGTTTCCCATTGATTAAAATCTACCAAGACACGCCCGTCTGCCCAAACTCACTGCTTAAACCAGGGCTGCAGGGGTTACAGATGCGGTCCAGAGGCCCATGGTTACTCTGGAGAAGCTGCAGACTGAACTTTTCTAAAGACAGAGTATCACACTCTGTCTTTAGAAAAGTTCAGTCTGCACATCACGTTCAGGATGACACCCAGCACCGTCTCTGTCCTTGAACTTTATTTGAATATTCAAACCACCTCTGATCCAGGAGTCTCTCTCTGGTCTCTCTCTCTGGTCTCTCTCTCTGGTCTCTCTCTCTGGTCTCTCTCTCTGGTCTCTCTCTCTGGTCTCTCTCTCTGGTCTCTCTCTCTGGTCTCTCTCTCTGGTCTCTCTCTCTGGTCTCTCTCTCTGGTCTCTCTCTCTGGTCTCTCTCTCTGGTCTCTCTCTCTGGTCTCTCTCTCTGGTCTCTCTCTGGTCTCTCTCTGGTCTCTCTCTGGTCTCTCTCTGGTCTCTCTCTGGTCTCTCTCTCTGGTCTCTCTCCCTCTGGTCTCCCTCTGGTCTCCCTCATTAAAGGGTACTCGTCATGCTCCAGACTCACCTGTTCCAGTGTGGCGGCAAACCCCTGGCGGTCAGCCACGTACGGCAGGCCGTGCACCAGGCCCACCTTCTCTGTCATCTGATTGGTCAGATCTGTGAGAGTGTCGGCTTTCACTGCACACAACAGTTTTAATCAAGTTATTTTAGTTTCTGTGTTCATCTGTAGTTTCTCTGTTCTAGAACCAGTGGCAAGTTCTGTAAAAGTATTATTGTGGTAAAAAGTACTGCGGTCAAGTGCTGTAAAGCATTGTCAAGTGCTGTAACGTGCCGGGAGCCTCACCGCGGATGCCGCTGTCGCACACCCACACCAGGCTGTACTTGGCCTCCTCGTAGCCGGGCATCAGGTTGTTGATCTTGGGGTTGATCCCCACCTTCTTCCCTCCTGGAGTGGAGACACCAGGAGACACCAGGAGACACCAGGAGACACCAGGAGACACCAGGAGACACCAAGAGAGGGTTAGAGACTCCTGACAGCAGCTTTCTTGCCGTTTCACAGATTGGGAACAATTATGTTTTACAGTGTTTCTGATGCGCCACGTGTAAACAACAACATGAAAACACAACTGTGTACTGCGTTACACACAGCCGCTGTACGGCGCGCACAGCCGCTGTACGGCGCGCACAGCCGCTGTACGGCGCGCACAGCCGCTGTACGGCGCGCACAGCCGCTGTACGGCGCGCACAGCCGCTGTACGGCGCGCACAGCCGCTGTACGGCGCGCACAGCCGCTGTACGGCGCGCACAGCCGCTGTACGGCGCGCACAGCCGCTGTACGGCGCGCACAGCCGCTGTACGGCGCGCACAGCCGCTGTACGGCACACACAGCTCTGTACAGTGAGTGTGATTCACCAATGAAGAGGCGGGCGTCCACTCCAGGATACTTCCCCAACAGCTTCTTACACACCTCCACCGCCGGGTCGTCCTGGTCCTGGACACACAGGAGGATCTCGTACTACACACACACACACACACACACACACAGAGAGACACAGGCAGAGAGACACAGACACACACACACACACACACACACAGAGAGACACAGGCAGAGAGACACAGACACACACACACACACAGACAGAGAGACACAGACACAGAAACACACAAATTGGTCAGCCCTTATATGGTCATATCTGGATTTACAAAGACAACATCAGAGAAACCACAGATTTAAATGCAAAATGGTGATGTCACACTAGGGCTGGGCGATAAAACGATAACGATATATATCGCGATAGACTTGTGTTCGATATCAATAGAGAATGGGGTCGATAGAATGTTCGATAGTTTAACTTAACTCCGTCAGGAAAAACAGGAAGAAAACACCGGAAGTAAAGCCGACTCATAAGCGCATGGCATTGTGGGGGATGTAGGCGGAGGCTTCTCGGCCAATAACAGCCGAGCAGGAACCGCAAAACTTTGTGGGAAATGCAAAAACACCAACAACCTGCGTAGCGTCCATGGATCTATAGCTCGTGTTTCAATGCCGTGTCAATGGTTATGCACGTACGTGCGCGGAATAACATGTGCAGAGGCAGTGGACAGACACGATGTATTCGGCGAAAGCAAGAGATTAACTTTTTCCTCGGGAAGCATGTGCGGCACAGAGCCGCACGGAGCGGTCACGGGGACACAAGACCCTCAAACAGCTAAACCAGGAGCTAAACCAGGAGCTAAACCAGGAATAAAAAACCAGGATTAAACCAGGACTAACAACGAGGGACACAGTGTGAACATATTCCTCCAGCCTCATCGCCCCGTGACTGTAAACAAGGCTGCTAAGGTTGGTTAGCCCACACCACAAATATATTTATTTAGGTTAAAAAAAAAAAAAAACTCCATATATATTGTTATCAACCGATATGAATGACTTATATCGTGATATAGTTTTCAGCCATATCGCCCAGCCCTATGTCACACAGTTAATTAACTAAGTCTCTCCCTCTCTGGCGCCCCTCTCCCTCTCTGGCGCCCCTCTCCCTCTCTGGCACCCCTCTCCCTCTCTGGCGCCCCTCTCCCTCTCTGGCACCCCTCTCCTGCACCTCTCCCTCTGGCCTCACCTTGGGATAGTCCAGGGTGAAGAAGGTCTCCAGGTTGGACACCAGGTTTGGGTCGACTCCTTTCAGAGGCTTCAACAGAGAGACTCCATTAAACTGAGAGAACGGCTGCTTCACCTCGGACCGCCTCCTGTGCAGACACAACCTCCTGGACACACAACACACAACAGTTACACACAACCTCCAGGACAAACGACACAGCAGATACACACAACCTCCTAGACACACAACACACAACAATTACACACAACCTCCTGGACACACAACAGTTACACACAACCTCCTGGACACACAACAGTTACACACAACCTCCTAGACACACAACAGTTAGACACAACCTCCTGGACACACAACACACAACAGTTACACACAATCTCCTGGACACACAACACACAACAGTTACATACAACCTCCTGGACACACAACACAACCTCCTAGACAAACGACACACAGCAGTTACACACAACCTCCTGTTTTAAGTGGTGCTCTAGCTCGTGTTGAAGGCCTTGGATTTGGATTTGGCTCCAGCTTCATGTGACGCAGCTTTAGCCATAAAACCTATAATCATGAGTAAGTCACGCTGCACCAGTCCCCCTGCCAGGACCATGTGACACCAAGCCCCTGGTCTCTCCAAGCTATCTGCCCTGGTCTCTGGCCAGCTCTGGTTCTGCTGGTCTCGAGCAGTAGGTGCAGTGGTTCGAATTTGGCAGGACCAGAGAAACACATGAGCATTCTGACCAATCAGGGCTGACCAGAAAAGACCAGAGAGAGAGGGAGGGACATGTGAGCATTCTGACCAATCAGTGTGCTGCTGATCAGAGAGTGAGTTTTTCTGCACCAAAGTGTGGATTTATAAACAACTGATGGATGTAAGAATATATAAAAATGTATTAGTATTTAAGATTATTATATGACTGACTGTACGCGCGCTCTGATTAGTTGATTTTTTTTGCACTGTACATTAAGGCTCGGTCTGTGCATTAAGGCTCAGTCTGTACATTAGGGCTCGGTCTGTATGTTAAGGCTCGGTCTGTACATTAAGGCTCAGTCTGTACATTAGGGCTCGGTCTGTATGTTAAGGCTCAGTCTGTACATTAGGGCTCGGTCTGTATGTTAAGGCTCGGTCTGTACATTAAGGCTCAGTCTGTACATTAAGGCTCGGTCTGTACATTAAGGCTCAGTCTGTACGTTAAGGCTCGGTCTGTGCATTAAGGCTCGGTCTGTACATTAAGGCTCAGTCTGTGCATTAAGGCTCGGTCTGTACATTAAGGCTCAGTCTGTACGTTAAGGCTCGGTCTGTACATTAAGGCTCGGTCTGTACATTAAGGCTCAGTCTGTACGTTAAGGCTCAGTCTGTACATTAAGGCTCGGTCTGTACATTAAGGCTCGGTCTGTACATTAAGGCTCAGTCTGTACGTTAAGGCTCGGTCTGTACATTAAGGCTCGGTCTGTACATTAAGGCTCAGTCTGTACATTAAGGCTCGGTCTGTACATTAAGGCTCAGTCTGTACGTTAAGGCTCAGTCTGTGCATTAAGGCTCGGTCTGTGCATTAAGGCTCGGTCTGTACATTAAGGCTCAGTCTGTACGTTAAGGCTCAGTCTGTACATTAAGGCTCGGTCTGTACATTAAGGCTCAGTCTGTACATTAAGGCTCGGTCTGTACATTAAGGCTCGGTCTGTACATTAAGGCTCGGTCTGTACATTAAGGCTCAGTCTGTACATTAAGGCTCGGTCTGTACATTAAGGCTCGATCTGTACATTAAGGCTCGGTCTGTACATTAAGGCTCAGTCTGTGCATTAAGGCTCGGTCTGTACATTAAGGCTCGATCTGTACATTAAGGCTCAGTCTGTGCATTAAGGCTCAGTCTGTACGTTAAGGCTCAGTCTGTGCATTAAGGCTCGGTCTGTGCATTAAGGCTCGGTCTGTGCATTAAGGCTCGGTCTGTACATTAAGGCTCAGTCTGTACGTTAAGGCTCAGTCTGTACATTAAGGCTCGGTCTGTACATTAAGGCTCGGTCTGTACATTAAGGCTCGGTCTGTACATTAAGGCTCGATCTGTACGTTAAGGCTCGGTCTGTACATTAAGGCTCGGTCTGTACATTAAGGCTCGGTCTGTACATTAAGGCTCGGTCTGTACATTAAGGCTCGGTCTGTACATTAAGGCTCAGTCTGTACGTTAAGGCTCGGTCTGTACGTTAAGGCTCGGTCTGTACATTAAGGCTCAGTCTGTACGTTAAGGCTCGGTCTGTGCATTAAGGCTCGGTCTGTACATTAAGGCTCAGTCTGTACATTAAGGCTCGGTCTGTACATTAAGGCTCGGTCTGTGCATTAAGGCTCGGTCTGTACATTAAGGCTCGGTCTGTACATTAAGGCTCGGTCTGTACATTAAGGCTCAGTCTGTACATTAAGGCTCAGTCTGTACATTAAGGCTCGGTCTGTACATTAAGGCTCGGTCTGTACATTAAGGCTCGGTCTGTACATTAAGGCTCGGTCTGTACATTAAGGCTCAGTCTGTACATTAAGGCTCGGTCTGTACATTAAGGCTCGGTCTGTACATTAAGGCTCGGTCTGTGCGTTAAGGCTCGGTCTGTACATTAAGGCTCGGTCTGTGCGTTAAGGCTCGGTCTGTACATTAAGGCTCGGTCTGTACATTAAGGCTCAGTCTGTACGTTAAGGCTCGGTCTGTACGTTAAGGCTCGGTCTGTACATTAAGGCTCAGTCTGTACGTTAAGGCTCGGTCTGTACATTAAGGCTCAGTCTGTACATTAAGGCTCGGTCTGTACATTAAGGCTCGGTCTGTACATTAAGGCTCGGTCTGTACATTAAGGCTCGGTCTGTACATTAAGGCTCGGTCTGTACATTAAGGCTCGGTCTGTACATTAAGGCTCGGTCTGTACATTAAGGCTCGGTCTGTGCATTAAGGCTCGGTCTGTGCGTTAAGGCTCGGTCTGTGCATTAAGGCTCGGTCTGTACATTAAGGCTGGGTCTGTACATTAAGGCTCGGTCTGTGCATTAAGGCTCGGTCTGTACATTAAGGCTCGGTCTGTACATTAAGGCTCGGTCTGTACATTAAGGCTCGGTCTGTACATTAAGGCTCGGTCTGTGCATTAAGGCTCGGTCTGTGCATTAAGGCTCGGTCTGTACATTAAGGCTCAGTCTGTACATTAAGGCTCGGTCTGTACATTAAGGCTCAGTCTGTACGTTAAGGCTCAGTCTGTGCATTAAGGCTCGGTCTGTACATTAAGGCTCGGTCTGTGCATTAAGGCTCGGTCTGTGCATTAAGGCTCGGTCTGTACATTAAGGCCGCGGTCTGATATTTCTCCATACAGACCTCGACCTCTGTTAATAAGCCGTTAATATTTAATACACGCGTTTTCTTAATACATTGTTTATATATTTAACAAATCCATCAAGAAACAAAACATAAATATTGACATTATTCCAACCTACGACATTAATTATATATGAGTGTGTTCACAGAAAAGTGACAATTGAAGTATCTGGACTTTAAAAGGTTATAACTTAAAAACTAAAATTACTTTTATAGATTGGAAGAAAGATTTCAAACACAGACACATTGAAGAGATAGTGTGGATAAAATCTAAAGATTGACATAAAAATGTTTAGCAACATTTTAAACAACTAAATTAGCCTCTGATTGGACCATTCTACTGTGACGCCAGTTACATAGAAAATAAATGTCCTCAGTCTGAAAAAGCAGAAGATGAACTCCCACAAGATTTACATGGTTAACACAACAGAAGGAAATCACTTGATATAAAAACGAATCGTGAAAAAAAAAAAAATTAATTAATTAAATGACCCCTGAAAAATGTATAACGGACGTGATGAGGACGGTCCTCTTTTCTCTAAAAATTAAATTTGAGAAAAAAAAAATATCTGGTCTGTTTTCACATTTATTTGGTTGACAATATGAAAGTATCACTTTGCATCTACTTTGTGTAAAAAAATAGAATCTCTGAATCAAATGTGGACATCTGAAAATACCTATCAAACTTCCACAAAGCTCATTCCGTCAAATCATCACCGTTACATAAAATAAACAGGGCCGCTATAGGAAACTTGTCTAATGTATAAAACAGTTTTGTTCTAGCATCTTCTAATGGACAGAGGAGGTGTTTGGAAACATGAAAAACATTAAATATCTTCTGATTATTAAAATCTAATTTTTGGCCTTTTGTCACACTTTTGTGCCCTTTAGTGTGAACAAGCCCATATATAAAAAACTGTTAATTACGTGTTTTGGGGAAAGACATGAGCTGTTTGTTTTAAATAACAATTTGTCAGGCATCATCTGCATGTGTTGTCATGGAAACAGAACAGGTGCAGGTTTGAATGGGAGCAGTCAAAAGGACGGCTGGAAGTTCTAGTAGTTTGAGAATCCTACTGTTAAATGACACATACATGGACTTAACTCAGAGCCAGAATAAATAACACAGAGACCAGAGAGAGACAGACCAGAGAGAGAGACCAGAGAGAGACCAGAGAGACAGACCAGAGAGAGACCAGAGAGAGACCAGAGAGAGACAGACCAGAGAGAGACAGACCAGAGAGAGACCAGAGAGACAGACCAGAGAGAGACAGACCAGAGAGAGACAGAGAGAGAGAGAGAGAGACCAGAGAGAGACAGACCAGAGAGAGACAGACCAGAGAGAGAGACCAGAGAGACAGACCAGAGAGAGACCAGAGAGAGACAGACCAGAGAGAGACAGACCAGAGAGAGACCAGAGAGAGACCAGAGAGAGACCAGAGAGACAGACCAGAGAGAGACCAGAGAGACAGACCAGAGAGAGACAGAGTTTTCCCTGCTACAGTCTCAGAATAAATAACCCACATTAATGTACAGCTCAGGAGCCAGGATTATATGCGTTTTTGGTCTTCTCTGCTCTGTTTACATGAGGAGGAAGTAGCTGTTAGCTAACTACTAAGCTAACTCAACGAAAACACAAATATGTCAGTTCGATTTTGTTTTAGAAATCAAAGCGGCATGAAACGTCAATGATCCCCTTAGAAAACCAGACAGTAATAATACAGAGAAAACAACTTCAATGTAGTTTAAGTGCGGAGAAAGCTAGCGGCTAAAAGCTAACGGCTAAAAGCTAGCTGATAAAACGCCCCTCCATGAACCGGTAAACCGTGATTGTGAAATTCATTAAGTTTACACAGTTTTTATAAATGGAATAATATCAAAACATGTGGCGGGTTGAGTGCCGTGTTGTGGAGTTAAAGAGGCAGAACATTCCACACGCCTGTTGTGGAACACAGAAGAGCCGTTAGCTTTAGCCGTTAGCTTTAGCCGTTAGCTTTAGCCGTTAGCTTTAGCCGTTAGCTTTAGCCGTTAGCTTTAGCTGTTAGCTTTAGCCGTTAGCTTTAGCTGTTAGCATCCACACCACTTACACATAGATGATAGACATGAAGTGCATCAGCCACAGCACCCCGAATAGAACCAGTCCGAACAGAGCCAGGGCCTGCATGGCGAGCTCCAGAGCCGCCATGGTGCGACCCCAGCGGGAGACAGCCCCAACGAGGCCCCGGGACACAACTAACGCTACACACGCAGGGCACAGAGGAGGCCGAGGGAGAGCTCCACAGAGAGCTCCACAGAGAGCTCCACAGAGGGCTCCACAGAGAGCTCCACAGAGGGCTCCACAGAGGGCTCCACAGAGGGCTCCACAGAGGGCTCCACAGAGGGGCTCCACAGAGGGCTCCACAGAGGGCTCCACAGAGGGCTCCACAGAGGGCTCCACAGAGGGCTCCACAGAGGGGCTCCACAGAGGGCTCCACAGAGGGCTCCACAGAGGGCTCCACAGAGGGCTCCACAGAGAGCTCCACAGAGGGCTCCACAGAGGGCTCCACAGAGGGCTCCACAGAGGGCTCCACAGTCCTCTCACACCCGGCCTTAGAGCTCCACAGAGCGGCTCCAGAGTCCTCTCACACCCGGCCTTAGAGCTCCACAGAGCGGCTCCAGAGTCCTCTCACACCCGGCCTTAGAGCTCCACAGAGCGGCTCCAGAGTCCTCTCACACCCGGCCTTAGAGCTCCACAGAGCGGCTCCAGAGTCCTCTCACACCCGGCCTTAGAGCTCCACAGAGCGGCTCCAGAGTCCTCTCACACCCGGCCTTAGAGCTCCACAGAGCGGCTCCAGAGTCCTCTCACACCCGGCCTTAGAGCTCCACAGAGCGGCTCCAGAGTCCTCTCACACCCGGCCTTAGAGCTCCACAGAGCGGCTCCAGAGTCCTCTTAGAGCTCCACAGAGCCTCCAGAGTCCTCTCACACCCGGCCTTAGAGCTCCACAGAGCGGCTCCAGAGTCCTCTCACACCCGGCCTTAGAGCTCCACAGAGCGGCTCCAGAGTCCTCTCACACCCGGCCTTAGAGCTCCACGCACCGATTTACAGATCCATGCGAACCCTGGAAGTGAGCGTTAAAACCGGGGATGCGTTCGCTAACATCAACCCCCCCCGCATGCAGCTCCACACTGTCCGGGGAGAAGGCTTCCACACAGGGGCTCAAAGCAGCAGTCAAACCCCCCACACACCCCGGTAGGTAGCGCGACTCGGCCCGGGGAAATGTCCTTCCCACAGCCGGCCTCAGAGTGCTGTGTGTCCGCATGAGAGGCGGTGAGGGTCGGTGTGACAGTCAGCTGACCTGCGCTGCTTCCGCTCTGTTCTGATTGGCTGAGTGAGGGTGGTCTTCTCTTTTGTTTTGTTTGCAGAACCAGGATGAGAATTTATAAACATGCCAGAGACCAGAGAGAAACCAGAGAGAGAGACCAGAGAGAGACCAGAGAGAGACTAGAGAGAGAGACCAGAGAGAGACCAGAGAGAGAGAGACCAGAGAGAGACTAGAGAGAGACCAGAGAGAGACCAGAGAGAGACCAGAGAGAGAGACCAGAGAGAGACCAGAGAGAGAGACCAGAGAGAGACCAGAGAGAGACCACAGAGAGAGACCAGAGAGAGACTAGAGAGAGACCAGAGAGAGACCACAGAGAGACCAGAGAGAGACCAGAGAGAGACCAGAGAGAGACCAGAGAGTGAGACTAGAGAGAGACCAGAGAGAGACTAGAGAGAGACCAGAGAGAGACCAGAGAGAGACTAGAGAGAGACTAGAGAGAGAGACCAGAGAGAGAGACCAGAGAGAGAGACCAGAGAGAGACCAGAGAGCGACCAGAGAGAGACCAGAGAGAGACTGAGAGACCAGAGAGAGACCAGAGAGAGACCAGAGAGAGACCAGAGAGTGAGACTAGAGAGAGACCAGAGAGAGACCAGAGAGAGACCAGAGAGAGACTAGAGAGAGACCAGAGAGAGACCAGAGAGAGACTAGAGAGAGACTGAGAGACCAGAGCGAGACCAGAGAGAGACCAGAGAGAGACCAGAGAGAGAGACTAGAGAGAGACCAGAGAGAGACTAGAGAGAGACCAGAGAGAGACCAGAGAGAGACAAGAGAGAGACTAGAGAGAGACCAGAGAGAGACCAGAGAGAGACCAGAGAGAGACCAGAGAGTGAGACTAGAGAGAGACCAGAGAGAGACCAGAGAGAGACCAGAGAGAGACCAGAGAGAGACCAGAGAGTGAGACTAGAGTGAGACTAGAGAGAGACCAGAGAGAGACTAGAGAGAGACAGAGAGAGACCAGAGAGAGACTAGAGAGAGACTAGAGAGAGACCAGAGAGAGACCAGAGAGAGACCAGAGAGAGAGACCAGAGAGATACCAGAGAGAGACCAGAGAGAGAGACCAGAGAGAGAGACTAGAGAGAGACCAGAGAGAGACCAGAGAGAGACTGAGAGACCAGAGAGAGACCAGAGAGAGACCAGAGAGTGAGACTAGAGAGAGACCAGAGAGAGACTAGAGAGAGACCAGAGAGAGACCAGAGAGAGACTAGAGAGAGACTAGAGAGAGACTAGAGAGAGACCAGAGAGAGACCAGAGAGAGAGACCAGAGAGATACCAGAGAGAGACCAGAGAGAGAGACCAGAGAGAGAGACTAGAGAGAGACCAGAGAGAGACTAGAGAGAGACTGAGAGACCAGAGAGAGACCAGAGAGAGACCAGAGAGTGAGACTAGAGAGAGACCAGAGAGAGACTAGAGAGAGACCAGAGAGAGACCAGAGAGAGACTAGAGAGAGACTAGAGAGAGACCAGAGAGAGACCAGAGAGAGACCAGAGAGAGACCAGAGAGAGAGACCAGTGAGATACCAGAGAGAGACCAGAGAGAGACCAGAGAGAGAGACCAGAGAGAGAGACCAGAGAGAGAGACTAGAGAGAGACCAGAGAGAGAGACCAGAGAGATACCAGAGAGAGACCAGAGAGATACCAGAGAGAGACCAGAGAGAGACCAGAGAGAGAGACCAGAGAGAGAGACCAGAGAGAGAGACCAGAGAGAGAGACCAGAGAGAGACCAGAGAGAGACCAGAGAGAGACCAGAGAGAGACACCAGAGAGAGAGACAGAGAGTGAGACTAGAGAGAGACCAGAGAGAGACTAGAGAGAGACCAGAGAGAGACCAGAGAGTGAGACTAGAGAGAGACCAGAGAGAGACTAGAGAGAGACCAGAGAGAGACCAGAGAGAGACTAGAGAGAGACTAGAGAGAGACCAGAGAGAGACCAGAGAGAGACCAGAGAGAGAGACCAGAGAGATACCAGAGAGAGACCAGAGAGAGACCAGAGAGAGAGACCAGAGAGAGAGACCAGAGAGAGACCAGAGAGCGACCAGAGAGAGACTAGAGAGAGACTGAGAGACCAGAGAGAGACCAGAGAGAGACCAGAGAGTGAGACTAAGAGAGAGACCAGAGAGAGACTAGAGAGAGACCAGAGAGAGACTAGAGAGAGACCAGAGAGAGACTAGAGAGAGACTAGAGAGAGACCAGAGAGAGACCAGAGAGAGACCAGAGAGAGAGACCAGAGAGATACCAGAGAGAGACCAGAGAGAGACCAGAGAGAGAGACCAGAGAGAGAGACCAGAGAGAGACCAGAGAGCGACCAGAGAGAGACTAGAGAGAGACTGAGAGACCAGAGAGAGACCAGAGAGAGACCAGAGAGAGACCAGAGAGTGAGACTAGAGAGAGACCAGAGAGAGACCAGAGAGAGACCAGAGAGAGACTAGAGAGAGACCAGAGAGAGACCAGAGAGCGACCAGAGAGAGACTAGAGAGAGACTGAGAGACCAGAGAGAGACCAGAGAGAGACCAGAGAGAGACCAGAGAGTGAGACTAGAGAGAGACCAGAGAGAGACTAGAGAGAGACCAGAGAGAGACCAGAGAGAGACAAGAGAGAGACCTGAGAGAGAGAGACCAGAGAGAGACCAGAGAGAGACCAGAGAGAGACCAGAGAGTGAGACTAGAGAGAGACCAGAGAGAGACTGAGAGACCAGAGAGAGACCAGAGAGAGACCAGAGAGAGACCAGAGAGAGACCAGAGAGAGACCAGAGAGTGAGACTAGAGAGAGACCAGAGAGAGACCAGAGAGAGACCAGAGAGAGACCAGAGAGAGACCAGAGAGAGACCAGAGAGTGAGACTAGAGAGAGACCAGAGAGAGACTAGAGAGAGACCAGAGAGAGACCAGAGAGAGACTAGAGAGAGACTAGAGAGAGACCAGAGAGAGACCAGAGAGAGACCAGAGAGAGACCAGAGAGAGAGACCAGAGAGATACCAGAGAGAGACCAGAGAGAGACCAGAGAGAGAGACTAGAGAGAGACCAGAGAGAGACCAGAGAGCGACCAGAGAGAGACTAGAGAGAGACTGAGAGACCAGAGAGAGACCAGAGAGAGACCAGAGAGTGAGACTAGAGAGAGACCAGAGAGAGACTAGAGAGAGACCAGAGAGAGACCAGAGAGAGACTAGAGAGAGACTAGAGAGAGACCAGAGAGAGACCAGAGAGAGACCAGAGAGAGACCAGAGAGAGAGACCAGTGAGAGACCAGAGAGAGACCAGAGAGAGACCAGAGAGAGAGACCAGAGAGAGACCAGAGAGAGAGACTAGAGAGAGACCAGAGAGAGAGACCAGAGAGATACCAGAGAGAGACCAGAGAGAGACCAGAGAGAGAGACCAGAGAGAGAGACCAGAGAGAGAGACCAGAGAGAGACCAGAGAGAGACCAGAGAGAGACCAGAGAGAGACACCAGAGAGAGAGACCAGAGAGTGAGACTAGAGAGAGACCAGAGAGAGACTAGAGAGAGACCAGAGAGAGACCAGAGAGAGACTAGAGAGAGACTAGAGAGAGACCAGAGAGAGACCAGAGAGAGACCAGAGAGAGACCAGAGAGAGACCAGAGAGAGACCAGAGAGAGACCAGAGAGTGAGACTAGAGAGAGACCAGAGAGAGACCAGAGAGAGACCAGAGAGAGACCAGAGAGAGACCAGAGAGATACCAGAGAGATACCAGAGAGAGAGACCAGAGAGAGACCAGAGAGAGAGACCAGAGAGAGAGACTAGAGAGAGACCAGAGAGAGACCAGAGAGAGACCAGAGAGAGACCAGAGAGAGACCAGAGAGAGAGACCAGAGAGATACCAGAGAGTAGAACCAAGGTTTTCCATGTTACGGCCTCAGTCCTGGGTCTACGGCCTCAGTCCTGGGTCTACAGCCTCAGTCCTGGGTCTACAGCCTCAGTTCTGGGTCTACAGCCTCAGTCCTGGCTCTACAGCCTCAGTCCTGGGTCTACAGCCTCAGTCCTGGGTCTACAGCCTCAGTCCTGGGTCAACAGCCTACAGCCCCCTTTGCGCCCCTGATCCACACTTCGCCGTAGCCTGCGTAAGCGCACTCTGGCGAAGGATATTGCCCATAATTCTTTGTGGTACACACACTCGGGTAAATGCATTTAAATGTAAGTTTTGAAATATATATGCTGTGTGTGTGTAAATAAGTTTTGCTGGTTCTTGGAAAGAAGCATAAACGTCTGATGAAGAATTACGGACATTGTGTTTTAACAATTTCATAACTTTTTTAATGCATTCATTCAATTTAAACTTTACACTTTGTACAATAAACTTAGAATGTATAAAAACTGACCAGATAACAGTTAGTTACCCACATTTAACTTAAAATTATACAGCTATCTCA